GGTAGAGTCGGCGCCTCAAAAAGGTGGAATAGTGTTCCGGCGGCTCTGCAGCGCCGATGAAGACGGTTCTCAGCATGGAGAGCATCTAACTAACTCTGCACTCGGCTCTGTATTAGGAAAGCTAAATGAAATTTGTAGCTGGGTAAAACCATAAATGGGCAAATAGGGGTGTTTGCTGATGTAAAAAAAATGACGAGCTGCCAACAGGCTGATCCCCTAGTGGCCAACAAGCGCTTGCGTGGGTCAGCCTCGAATTGTGTTTCGTAGTAATGGACAGCGTGAAATTGAGACTGAGCGTCAGGCAGATTATTTGTTAGAAAAGGCTTCTTGCAGGAATCAGCCGACGCTTCTGGGCATAGCCGGTGTTGGTTGCAAAAAATGACGAAAGGTGGACTGTGAAGCAGAAGTTCTCGTTGCCTCCTGTTGTCGAATCACTCACCAACTTACCCGGATCAGCAGGATCCTCAATATTTGACTCCATGGACGCCTTCCTAATACCCCCGCTCACTCTTATGACTGAAACAAAAGCGCTTTCCACACTCACACTCGTAGACTCAAGTAACCTAGATGCCGACTGGACATCTTAATGCTCCAGCCGGATTGTAGCCACAAGTAAATCGATAGCTCTATGAGCCCAGTAAGGAAAGCTGGACGGCTCTCTGTATTACAGACTTGTAAAGCTTTAGCCGAAACGTTCAAGAGCTTCCACGGCACCAACGGCAATCGCTGCTTTTGTAGGACAAGCAATGGGATGTGAAGGCATGCGCTTCTTCGTTTCCGTGAGATTGAATGCGTTCCTGGGAATCGTAACTCGGCTGCAGGGTCTGAGACAAATCCTTAAAAACTGATCTAATTAAGGCGTGACTTTGACCTGTATGCTTCGCAAATTTTCTGCAAGGTCCCACGGGCTTGTAATCATATTGCTGGAACTTCGTTCCCAGATATGCTCGGATCGCTGCTCCTTTGACTAATCATTTTAGATAATGCAATCTCTGGTCTTGACAAAGGAGGCTGGTGCAGCAGTAAGGACGTTATTTGGCAGCCTCACAAATCCTCCAGTATTTATGCTGCCTACTAATGAGCGTCATTTCTTTCTAGCAGCCAATGCCAGTGGCTGAGCGGTGGGCTTTGCCAACAGGCTGCGGCTTTTCCAAAGCATCAAATTATTACACTTTTTTTATGTAGCTTCACCTAAGCCAAATAGTGTATTCAGTGCAGGAAAAGAAACTTTGTGGGCTGCCATGCTGCTTGAAAAAATGAGCAGCACTTGTATCAGGACATTGTTTTACAGACCAAACATGTGTCTATACCATGAGAAGGGCTTTCAGAATTATGACTCTAGAGCTGCTCTTTGATTTGGCAGATCCCTGCAGTACATACATAACGGGCTTCACCAACGTGGTTGCTAACGCGCTCCCGACACTCTCTAGAGATTGACTTCTATGCATCGCAACCGCTCGTCTCTCAGGATTTACGGTTCCAGCGATCGTGTGTGCCGTTCTTGCTTTTGGCAGCCCTATAGTCGCTACCGCTGACGAAGCCTAGAATGATAGGAGGGTGTAGCACTACCATGCTGATGATGGGCCTCTGATCCAAAACACGGCGCGACCTCTGTTAATTGTACATTCCGCCTTTGCTCTGGGTGCCGTGCTGCAAAAACCTTATCTTCATGTTCGTTTAGGCCATACTGGGATTCATACCATTCTGGAATAGCTCTCACGGTGCTGCACGTGCCCTGGAATACGTTTAGCAGTTGCGGGGTGTGTAGTATGATGCCCAGATTGTCAACAGCTGTAGCCGCGCATTCTAATAGATTCGGCCGTTTACGAAGCCTTGTGGCCCTTAAAAGGATTTATACTGATCTGAACTCGGACGTATTACAAGGTCGGACTGCCGTAAGTAAAGGGTCAGGATAGCATATACGTTGTTGTCAACAGGCTAAGCAAATAAACGTATTATATCCCTTTCTCTAGTCCCATTACGGTTCAAAACGCTGCTTATTTAGTTCAAGTCGTATAGGAGTACTGCGAGTTTCCTGTGAGTATCTTTACGATTCAGGGTCTGAAAGTTGTTTGTGCGTTCTTGCGGGCGTCTATTACCTGCTTAAGCAGTGACCATAATATGACTACTGCTTGCCACACGAAGGCAGGTACACAAAGAGAGCGCACTTCTATACTGCGGTAATCATGACACCTTACGTACAAAATTCCAATTGCATGACCTGATTTCCTTCCTTACGTGGACTGGGCTTATAATAGAATAGAACACCAGTCCACGCGTTACTCTTCCTATTCCCTGTTCGCCGCTTAATGACCCCTCTTTGATCCACCCTTTGAGTTGGTTGTCCGGGATCAGCGGACATATTTTGCAGCAAAGAGATTTACGCCGCAGTTGGCTAGTGCAAGCAAATTCATGCGCAACGCACAAGAAGTAGAATCATCGATTAGGCTACATCATGATCGGCCGCGTATTTCAGGTCTAAAGATTTGGATCTGTTTAATGGGCATGCCCTATGGGTGCACCAGAAGGTAACCAGCTACGGGCGTTTACGGCCAGGAGGGCCACGAGCAGTTGCGGATTTCTGGCAAATCAACTCTTTTTCCCTCGTATTGATCTTGCTAGAAGTTGAGCTGATGCAGAACCGTCAATATCGACTTCAAAGAATTTTCAAAGCCCACTCTGAATCATTCGCCGACTTCATAGCGAAGGCAAGTGACCTGGGTGGAGGCAGAGGATCTGCAGGGAGCCGTAAAGGCGGTGGATTCTAGGACTAGTGAGCACAGAGGGCACACTAGGCAGAAGTCCCTAGTGAAGTTGGATGGGGAGTGCCGGCGTCAATGGTTGATGGAGGCGCAGTTGCAGACTCCGTTGCCTGCCGGGAAGCTTGTGGTTCTGTTCGCTTCACAACGGTAGTAGCCATGGATGGGATTTCCAAGTTCCTTGGTGACTGTTCTTCCCCAAATCAGGCTGTGCTTGAAAACCTTCCTTCATCTGTGAGCATCGACTAGGAAGTTCTCGCCTAATATCGTTTAGGCGTTTGTTACACTTAGATTCATGCTCAGGCAGTCGAAGGTACACTGTCCCTACATACATGCGTTTTCGAGGTCTTGAAGTTGTTTACGGTGCAGTTACCCGCTATATTTGCGTATACGCTTTGCTGGACTTGTGCGCGGCTTGCTCCCATTCACGCATTCCGTCTTTCTTCTGTTGTCTTTTGGTAGGAGTCTCACACAGTGCAGCGTTATGACAACAGCGAGTCAGAAGCCGTCGCGGTCGTGTTGTTTTAGTACCTCGTTCTTTTTTGGCTAGCATATGTGTCTCTTTTATCGTCGGGTTACTTTGGTGGTTGTTGCACACTTTGCTTCTTTTCTTTTGCATCATTTTTGTGTTCTTGCCAGCTTCGGGGGTCGCGATAGGGCGGAAATTATTCTGCCACCTGTACGCAGTCGGTCCCGATGTACAGGTATGCCCGACGACAGCGCATGCTTTGAAATGGAATGGGGAAGGGTATGGTGGACTAAGCAACCCCCAAACACTTCTATTACACTAGTGTTCAATACTACGAAATGGTGAGAAATTGACCATCCGGATTGTCAATTTGTAAATCTCATTGCTTACCGAGTAATATGCTTGATAAAAAAAGAGACAATGTTTTGTGCACGCGCACTAGAAGCTATATGCAAATGGCTGTTAATGCTTTGAGCGCTTCGAGGCTGCAGCTACGCTCCCCAGGTGTGCCCCGCTCCCCAGGTGTGCTCCGCTCTCGTGCTCAGAAGGCTGACGGGCGCAGGTGGGGGAAGGCACAAGTTTTTTTGGACAGCAATTAATAACTTTAAATTAATTTGGTATCAAAACTGGACTTAAGCGACTCCCTAAGGGGACCTTAGATAGAGAGTTACACAAAGCTCAAGCTAGAGGAAAGATTGGCGAGACTACTAGGGCACCAGAAGGCCGGCCGCCCTCCCCCTCCACCCGTCTACCAGCATGAGACTCTTGATTTACTCAGTAAACAGCGAGCTCTATTGCCCTCTGCATTTTCTACATCCCGGGTATCAGTTAGCACGCCCGAGACCCCGTGGGATTTTTCCATACCGTACTGACAAGCAACTCGGTTGAAGGCGCGCATCTGAGACGGGACACCTGAGGTTTGTGGCGTAATCCTCTGTCTTTGCCACGTGCAAAAAAGAAGGGAAAGGCCTGCCCTTGCCGAAGGGGGAATCAGTAACATTGCGCCAGGGTAGCTGCCTGCACCACATGTGCTCTGCCACAGGACTCAAACGGTTGTCAGTAGGAGGGCGAGGGCAGAAATAGAGGAAGAAGGGATATTTACAGCGCATTAGAGCCATACAAGGCCTTTAAACATTAAGTGGCAAAACCTTAAACAGTTAGTCATAAACTCTATTAACACCCACAGGGGGGCGGCGGCGGTGCTGCGAGATCGGCGTGTTGATTCTGCTGTCTGTATTACCGTTTCTTGTGCTCTTAACTCGTGGAGCTGAAGCCACAAAAAAGAATCAAAAACAGCCGACTAAAGACTTCCTTATCTCTGATTATTGTGAACTCCTCAGGTTCTGGGGTGAGTATGCCTATATATATATATGCGTTGTGCCGTTACCTATAATTGTAGAGGGCCCCTCCCCTCAGCCAGCCCAATTTCCAGTACCTTCCGTGTTTAACCGTTATCTTTCCCACATTTGAGGTAAGATGAGATGAAATTTGCACTCTGACCCGGCTATTTCTTTCTCTCGCATAGTACTCGGGTGTCTGCGCAGCTCGGGGGGATTCGCCCTGGCAAGAGCCCCCCATTAGGGAGGTCGGGAGCGTCGGTGCACTCACTTGCGTTCATCACTAGGCCGGACACGTCTAGATACAACGGAGGGCGCTACCTTTGGGGGCTTGCCGCGGCGGGTGCCCCTCAGCGCAGTGTCTACCAGGTGCCCGTACTAACCCCAAGCCACGCAAACCCAAAGCCCTCTCTGTCGCTTCGAGGCCCTGACAAGATGGGAAACTGGGCCTGTAGCTGCTCAAGGGGGTTTTGGGGAGAGGTGGAGGAGGCGATTTTCGGGGTACGTAGACAGGCAAACCAGGAGCGCAAGCCACTGGGACGGGAGTGCAGCACCCTCGAGGAGGGCTCCTCGACCCCCCGAGAGGCAGCCTAACTCTTCGGCCCTCTCCTTTGCTTTCCCTTGAGTCTCGTGGCACGCCTCCGCGACTCCCGTACACGATATGGGGAGTGCGTGCTGCGAACAGTGTCTTGTGCTTCCTGATCACCGCAGACCGACGCTTCAAAGAGCAGCGAGGCACACTACGTTGGAGGCGGCCGCGTGAGACGCCAAGTGGCGTTTGATAATGGCGCGGTGTACACTGGGGAGTGGCTGGGTGACGCTAGAGACGGCTACGGGGTGCAGGTCTGGGATGACGGCGCTCGGTAGGCAGGCCTCACTATGAGGCATCAGCTCGAAGATGCCGCATCGTTGGTGGCAGGCAGGAGTCGCCTGTCTAGGCCAGAAACACACAGTCTGCTGCTGCTGCTACTGTGCTCCGCAATTGTCACGCGCGTCTTCTGAAGGTGTCTGATTTTTGTGCGCGCAGATATGAAGGCCAGTGGGCAAACGATAAAGCGCAGGGAAAGGGGAAGTTTGTTCATGGTGAGGGCCCATTGGTCCGCAGGCTTCTTCTTCTTCTCCCTTTTCACGAAATTTGACGCTTCCTCTCTGCCTTTGCTGCGAGCTGTCTTCCAAGCGCGCTTCGTGGAAGCCGTGCTGCGTTCCACTCGCCCGCTTGTTTCTCCGCCTTCGGGGCAGGAAGGGGTATTGGGGTCGTGGGAAGCGCCTTTTCCTGTGCCCTCGCTCCGCTTAAAAAGGGGCAATCTGCATGCTGCCAAGCTCTGCGCTTCGAGAGCACACGCTGTCTCTGCATGCAGTCGATGGAGACGTTTACTTCGGAGATTGGGTGGAAGACAGGGCCCACGGCCACGGCGTATACCACCATGCAGACGGCTCAAGGTAAGCGAGGGAGGCTGTGTAGTGCGCAGTTGTGTCATTCGGTGTGGCTGTGGAAACTTTAGAAGTGTGTCTACTTGCGCACACATGTGTATGCATGCGGAGCCAGGAAACTATGCATGTGCTTGCTTCTCGCGTGTCAACGCTGCGCCACCTCAAGCCACAGACGCGAAAACAGGCCGCTCCCGTAGTGTGTTTCTGCCCTGCCGTCCTTCGCCCTACGCCTAGGCACGGCTCCGGCGTATTGGGGTCTTGCACGAAATGTTTTGCATGTGTGCTTAGGTATGAGGGGCAGTGGCTCGATGATAAACAGCACGGGCAAGGCATGGAGCAGTGGCCAGACGGCGCGAAGTACGAGGGTCAGTACCAGGCCGGCAAGAAGTGTGGGAAGGGCATCTTTACCTGGGCCGATGTAAGCCAGTCGATCATAGCGCTTGTAGGGGGAGGGGGTAGGAAGGAGAGAAAGAAATAAGGGCTAGAATACGAACCCGCAGAGAATATGCCGCGTGCTGAGGGCTGCGCCAGCGCGATAGGGTAAAGCAGGTGCAGGGCACACGCCACCAAGGCATACACATGTATGTATATACATATATATATATATATATATATATACAATACACACACACACAGGCAGGCAGGCAGGTAGGCACGGCGAACAAAGGAGGGCCAGCAGGGCGAGCGGCAAGAAAGGGTCGTCCATACGGCGTGGCGACGAAATGGCAGTGACAGGGGTATATATGGCACTCTGCGGAGGGGCAGCAGCAAAGACAGAAGGAGGAGCTTAGCGGGCAGAAGCGGTCGTGCAGGGGCAACGGGGAAAGGTAGGAATTAGGGGTCTGTTACTCTGAGCGCTGGGCCGAGGCAGGTTCTGACACTGGGTGTGTCAAGCCTTTTCCCCTGAGTGTGTGTCTCTACATGGCTGTTTGCACATGTATAGGGGAGCGTCTACGAGGGGGAGTTCAGCAACAACGACATCCATGGATTTGGAGTGTATCGGTGGGCAGACGGACGGAAGTATGAGGGGCAGTGGGAAAGGAATCGCATGCATGGTCAAGGCCGCTTCCAATGGGCTGATGGTCGAGTGTACGAGGGTCAATACCACCAAGATCAAAAGCATGGAAAGGTGCTGCGCCTTGTGATGGGCCTAGGGGATGGGACTGTGCAGGGGAGGGCAAAAAGAAGAACTGAGAGGAAGTCTCCGCAAGAAAGGGGGGGGGAGAGGGGGCCATACGATCGTTCAGGGTGTCTTGGGGATTGACCCCAGCGTTTCCACGACCATGCTTCCGTGCGACTTCGCTCCTTCTTTCCACCCGTGCACCCTCTTCCCTAATCACGTGCGCTCTGCTTGTGGTGTGTGGTCTGCGCACGCTGCAGGGCACTTTCTTTTGGCCTGATGGCCGGCGGTACGTGGGGAGTTGGCAGAACGGGAAGCAGCATGGCTGTGGAGTGTACATCACCGCCTCCGATGAGCAGCGAGTGGGGGAGTGGGAGGAGGGTCGGCGGGTGCGCTGGATCAAGGAGGATGCCCACAGCGCCCAGGCGTAAAAGAGTATGGCGTGTTTGGAGTTGGGGTAGCGCCTCCCGGCCATAATTTGCTCGGCATATGTGTACAGGCGGCTCTCAACTCTGTGCGTACAGTGTACGTACAGGCACCTGTGGGCTTAACGAGCGCTGGGGCGTCGTGTTGGGCATTCATGCATGCGTGTGCATGAATATGCCCATCCATAAGCGCGCATGCGCATGCTTGTGCAAGAAACACGGTGTACGTATATATGGGGTCTACAGAGGGGGGTTCGGATAAGCCCTAGCACCTACGCAGGAACGTACAGTGACGGGCTGCTGCACTGCGCCCGCCCAAGAAGTTGCCCGTTCCAGAGTCCAAGCGCTGAGAAGGGCTAACGAGGTCACCCTATCTCCTGGCAGACAAAGAAAACTGGCGCGCATAGCTGGACCCAACGGCTGTTCGTGGGGTATCCCTAGAGGGAAGCCCAAGCCGTAGCCTAGTGGGGCAACATACGGCAACAACTTGTGGGGGTCGAGCGCACTCGGGTGTGCTTGTATATTCACACCCCGACAACAGCCGCGCTCCTTCTTCCCGTCGCCCTGCAGAAACGACGCGGGCGAGAGTAGCGGGTGGGAGGTTGACACAGAGAGGGCGCGGAATCCAACTATAAAAGAGTACAATGCGTGTGTTCAAGTGGGGTCTGTGGACACCCCAGTGCCTCCCTGCAGGCCCCCCATGGTTGCACGTAAACCAGGTGTCATGAGCAGCCTGTAGTCCGGCGCCTCGCGTGCTGGCTAGAGCGTTAGTCCTTGAAACGGGCTAATAATACAAGCACTTAGACACTGATCCGGTGTGCACTCTATCTGGAAGCACGCCAGGAGGTGCAGTCCGCCTTGCAAGCACTCGAGCGCTATGCAGAAAGTGCCAGTTCCCTTGCTTATTTCAGCTTCGTATGCGCCTATTTGTGAGGCGTTGCACGCAGTATTATCACCAGCGCTCATGGCTGAACATGTGAGCGGACTGCGGCCGTGAGCCTGCCTTTAGTTGTGAGGCCCAAAATTTCCGATATCCTTTCTTTGTGAGCGCGCTATCCGCCGACCTACTGATACATCCTTCCTATCGAATTTGATGCACACCCCAACGCAACAGTTCCTTCCCTTTACGGCGGAAGCAACACCCCCGGCCAGCGCCATGCCCCCTGCATTGTATGCGCGCTGCACTGCACCTACCCCTGGGCTTGTATCTACTCTCTACCTCTGCCTTTTCTGGCGAGGGGACGGCGCGGTTCTCGGGTGACTTGAAGCTGAGACTGGCAGCTTCGTCGCAGAAGCAACCTACTGGCAGTGCAAGCACGGACTGGTGTTCCCCGAAGCGACACTTGTCGGCATCATACTCTAGCAATAGCAATCAACACGAAGCCTTCACGCAGCTTAGCTAATGCTGTCACGGTGTGACGGGCAACTACCAGCAAGCGCCGAGCCAACAAGAGACACCACGAGGGCCCCAAACTGATTCCAAGTTCGCGTTACGCATGCCTGCAGCAGCCTTAAGCATCTGCTGCCGCTCTTGTAAGGCAAAGGCCCCCAGGCCTGCGATGCCGCCGAGGCAGCAGGGGCAAGGGAGGAGCCTGTAGATGGGCTGGGGACCTTATATGGTCTCTGGTTGCGCTCGTAATTGATGACAGAATGCCTCTCAAAGCCTGATGCTTAGTAGAGCTCCTCGAAGGCCGCTGGCTCGAGAACCTCAACGTTGTCACCGTCAACAAACGCGCCATCCCTGGGACCCTTAACGGTTCTCTTCGTCTTGATGGTCTTGCCCTGAAGGTGTGCGTCGTGGTGAGCCTTGTCGTTCTCCTTGACCCTCTTCAAGAAGAGTTCGTTGCATCTGCTCTTGCGAACATGCTCAATGCGCACGTGCAACCGCTTCACGATCTGCCTGTTACCCACGACCTTCTTCACCTCCACTCCCACGGCCCTGCGGGTCACATTGAAGACAACTCCGGTACGCCCGTGGTAGAACGAGTAAGGCATGCCCTTCTGGATAGAGGGGTCGCACACAATGTCCACAAAATCACCCTTGTTGTACGTCACCAGGTACCGCGTCACCGCCGGCATCCCATGCATGCGGAAACCCTTCGAGTATTTTTGGCGCGTGCGCGCCCTCTTCCCGAAAGAAGTCGGCATCTTCGGCCAAAAGGAAGAAAAACGCGGTGGAAAAGAAGCGACGAGGCCACGGGCACCAGATGAGCCAGTGGGGAGAGAGAGCAAGCAACAATGCTGCTGCTACCCTCAAGAACAAGGGGCCACCGGACGGGAGGGAAGGGCTCCACAGGGGATCCTCCTCCTGAAATTAGCACCGCAAACAACCTGAACGCGTCTGCAAAGTTCCTGGAAAGAGGCGCGGGAGGCTGCAGCCGCCTCCGCTACGGCAGCACAGGAACCCCTGCGGGGATTTGTGGGGTAACGCCTACTACGCAAATTTGGGGCTTTGGGGCGGGCTCACGGATGATGAGCTGGAAGATTATTTATCGCTTATTCAGTTTTTTCCCCAATTAATAAATCAACAACGCTAGGGAATTTTCTCCCTGTGCACGCGGAGGAACTGACCGTGCCAAAAATTGCAGTCCGAGGTGTACCTCCATGTATATCAGCACCTCCATGTACTCTGCTATTCCATGTACTCTTATTTCCTCCGTGCTCTTTCGAAGTGGATTTATTCGAGAGAAAAATAGGAATCAAAAGTAGCTGCAGTCGGTGTATGCTCCGTTATTTGTGTGGCAGATTGGGGGAACAAGTCCTGGACCCCCCGTCAACTCCACTCCTGGTGAGTCAGTCACCTAGTTCGTAGAGCTGTGTGTGCGGCGCCCTTTGACACCGAGTCAAAAGAAGGCCACAAATCTACAGAAACGGACAATCAATTAGAGGCTCCTGTTGACTGCCCAGGCTCCACTGCCGTCTCGTGCACACAGCTCACTACGCTGCTGCATGGCCATTGGAACTTTCTCCAGCCCTCTAGCCTCATTAGAATGCAACGGCTCATTCGAAAGAAAGTACATGCTAGCATTATATTGTTCGTGCTTTTAAGATACTTTTACTGATTCGTAGACCTTCGAATTTAGGAGAGAAATGGAGATGTGCGTGAAAACATCTCAGGGTTCTATGAGGTTCGGAGTCGGCCGATCATGCCTACGCGCATAGGCCTCCCCTCCCTTTTGTTTGCTCTGAATGTAATCTCCTAGAGGCAGCCACTGCTTCTTCTGCTGGTCTTTCTTCTTGAAGATCTCTTTTCTGATCTTTTGCTCTTCTGTCTCGTTAGACCGGATATTCGGTTTTCCGTGTCTGCTTACCTCAAGGTCGTGCTGATCAAGCTGCGTTTGGAGTATCATTTGTTCCTTCCTACTGCGCTCGTACACTTCGTGCTGTTGCAGCCTCAGGAGGTTGTTGACGAGTTCGTGTATTTCAACTACTTCCCGTCCGACGGCGGCTAGCCGAGCAGCCAGCTGGGGTGTAGGGTACACTTTGTGGCTGTACATATCCCTCAGCACCTCGATCGTGCGACTTGCGGACTGAGAATCCATGGCGGTGTTAAGGGCCAAGCGCAGCAGCGAGGGGAACGAGACGGAGCCGCTAGAATCGCTGCTGTTCTCCTTCCGTAGGAAGTCCCACAATGCAAAGAAACGTCCAGGATCCTTCAGGTCTTTCGCAAACATCCTGCAAGACGCGACGACGACGCAGCACAGAGGCATCGAGCAATACTGACTAGAAAGAGAAGACGTGTTCCCCAGAAAAAGGATGCAAAGATGCTAGCCGCCTTCAAGCCTCTTCTAGCCTGTCGCATGGGTCGCTCATACGCATGCAGCTTGCACATGAACCCCCCGCCTTCCCGCCCTCAAACAGCGCACCGAAGAAGAATGGCGTATGTTTGCGTGTTTGGTGCCAAGTTGAAGTCCTGGAAGTGCTTCAGCATGTCCACTGCGTACTGTGCAAAGCCCGCGCGTCTGTACACCTGTATGACTGCGTTTAATGTCTGCACCTGTGGCTCGATCTTATGCTGACGCATGCACTGCAGCAAATGCCACGCGTAGCGAACATTATTGGCTCGCTCCTGATCCGTTGTGTTTGGCAGACGGCTAGCTGTAGCAAATAAAAGGATCAAACTGTTGTAGCACCTTAGCGACACGCGGACCCCCCGACGCGTCATGTCCTGCACCAGGCCGCGTGCCGAAGAAACGCTTCCCACGGTCGCGCATGCCTGCAGAAGTCACAAGCATACGTCTTACACTGCAGACTCTACACTGCCGCATGGGCATCTGTGTTGCACAGTAGTTGCCGTGTGGCTGAAATGCCACAGCCAATTAAGACGGCCTCCGGTTTGCCAACAAAGCGCCTTTCTGCGCTGCTGGCTCCCTCACATCCATTTAAGGGGCATTGGTCCCTAGGAGGCCAGACAAAGAGGAAGCAGGAGCACCTCATGGCGGGCGGCGTCTATACCTGAACGAGATGCTCGTAGACCTGGTTGGTAATTGGCATATCTTCGGCGATCATTTGATTGAAGAAGTCAAAGGCCGTAGAGAAAAAGTCCCGCCTTCTGCTACACGCATGAATGAGCTCCGTATACGTAACGTCTGTGGGGAGTACCCCGCAAGCCCGCATGTCGTCGTACAGATTCAGTGCCTTCTCGGCCTCCTGGAGTTTGGCGTGCATCTTGATCAGAACGGTAAACAGCACGGCGTCGGGCTGTATGCCTTTCCAGGTTCGAATATCCCGGAAGAGTCTCAGAGCCTCCTCGTGAGCACCCCGCTTCACCAGACTGTCGATGAGCACCGTATAGACCACGCAGTCCGCAGGCAAGCCCTCATCTTCCATCTTGGCGATCAGGGCGGCTGCCGCGCTCGTGTCTCCTGCCGCTGCATGCGCCTGCACGAGAGCCGCGTAGACCTTAGCCGTTGGCTGTAGGAGCTGAGCTCGCATCTTCAGAAAGAGCAGGCGGGAAGCCTCGGCATTGCGCTCCTTCGCTGCCGCGAGCAACAGGGAGACAAACCACTCGCTGTCTGGCTGAAGGCCAGCAGCAGCTGCCCCTTCATACACACGGACTGCGTTGGCAAGGCTTTCATGCTGCCCCTTCGCACGGATCAACGCCGCCACGTTCTCACTGGTACAACGACCCTCTTCCAGCAACTGCTCAAGCGTCGCGGAGGCGGCAGCAGCAAGCTCCTGCTGCCTTCGTAGCCTCTCAATGCCAGGATAGTAACTCTGCACGCCTTGCCAGAGATGCAGCAGCTGAGGGTCGACGCCTGCCGCGGCGTACTGCAGGGCCTGCTGCTTCAGCTGGTGTACCAAACGCGCACCGCTGTCCATTAGCTCATCCCTGCTGCTGCTGCTGCTGCTGCTGCTGCTGCTGCTCGTCTGCGGAGGAGGAAGGCGGCTGCGGATTACCTCCTTTGAAGCCGCGCCAGCGTCAAGAGCAGCACTGCTGGCAGGAGTGCCGAGAATACACGCTTGCTGCTGCGCCTGCTGCGGCTCCGACGCAAGGCCTGCAGTCACACTTCGCGCCTGCTCCTGCTGCAAGCGACTCTGCTCTTGAGACGCACAGCCGGCTCCAATGGCATGCTTCATGAGCCTTGCTGGCTCCACTTTTTTCCTTGCCAACGGCGGAGCAGAAAAGGCCATGTCCGCAGCCGCCTTATTAGCCCACATATCTGTGAGGCGCTGTTGCTGCCACTGCTGCGAGCCTTCAGACCCCTTGTTTTGCCGCTTTCTGCAGCCTGAACTTCCAGGTGCAGAGAAGTCTTCTGGCCACGCAAACACTTCCCGCTGCTGCTGCTGTTGCTGATTCTCGCCCTCCTGCTGCTCTTCGATTTCTTGCGGCTTCACCTGCACGTCACCCTGCTGCTTCTCTCCACTCAGAAGGCCTCCTGCACGCGCAGACGCGGCAGCGGACTGCAGGAATAGCGTGTGCGAAGGAGAGGCCTCAAAGTCTTCTGCTCGCTTCTCACGCCCTTCCGGCAACTCCCACACTGCTTTTTTCTTGCTTTTTCTCGCCTTTGTGATGAAACGCGCCGGTCCGCCCGCTGGAGCTGCCGGAGTCTGCACGGGGGCATCCGCGTCGAGGGGCTCTCCGGCATCTTCCTCGAAGATAGAATCTCGAGAAGCCTGTGCTGCTGCTGCAGCAACAGCAGCATCCGCATAGCTGCTAGCTGCAGCACCCACGGCGGTAGATGCAACGGCAGCAACGCATGAAACAGGTTCGGTATCACTCTTTCCTACAAAATCCCAGTGACTGCGTGGCAGCGGTGCAGCTCGCCGCTTCTTGAGCCTGGCGTGCTGCTGTCTGAGCGCCTCCACGCGAGATGCAGCCGCCGCCGCTGCTGCTGCTTCTGCTGAAGCGCAAGAAGAAGCGGCAACAGGCTCAAGGTCAGATCTGGCAGGGGCGCCAGCCGCAGCCGCTGCCGCTGCAGCAGCAGCGCGCTGCTGCTGCTGCTGACGGTGGCGCTGCTCCTGCAGCTCCGTGCATTTCTTCATGTTACGCCGTAGCAGCGACCGACGCGCCCACGTGCTCAGCTCCTCTTGATGCCATTCCTGCTGCTGCTGTTGTTCCTGCTGCTGCCTCCGGTGCTGCGGGTTGTGCCAAGTGGGGGACGCAGCAGAAGAAAAGGGCCGCATGCAGCAGCGCACCATGAAGCTCCCCCGTTGGAAGCCTGCGAGTTGCAGGCGCCTGCTGATCAAGTGCATCTTAGCAGAAGTTCACCGCGCAGGCCTCGAAGCCCCCTAGCCGACCCCGACCCTCAACAGGTCGACTTTTTAAGCCACGCTTCCTCGAGAAGTGCATGCGCCGAGCCTTCCTGGCATTGGGGAGTCGCTGCATTCACGAGAGACCGCATTTTAGCGGCTGGCGCGGGAACGGAGCTCGGTCGTGCTTGCGTGGCGGGGCCTTGTTTCCTGGCAGTGGGCAGCGAAAACTTCTCGCAGAAGGTGACGCAAGGGGGGTGTGGCGGCAAAGAGCATCTAGAAGGGGAGTTTAGGACGCGTTCCAACGAGCTCGCTAGAGAAGGGAGGTCGATTTAGGAGCATGCTGCCGCCTGCCGTTGGCTACGCAGGGGGGCAGACGGGGGCGGGAGGGGGCCCTGCTGTACATGTACAGGCCCATGACGCGACGGTAGTCAGCATCTGCTGGCTTCGGGGTGTTTGCGGTTGTTTGGACCCCTAATTGTGTTTTATTTGTCGTATGTATGAGGGGTTGCGTCCTGGGGGAGGAAGAAGGCGGCGATTGCGTGTGGCCTCCTGCAGTCCGTTCGCTGTCTTCGGCACGGACGGCATCCATCCTCCTACCCTGAAGCAGCATCGCGCGTGGCTGCGAACGGCCAAGCCGGCACTCTGAAGGGGAGACGGTCCAGGGGATCCCGCGAAGGGGCTGGCTGAGCGCGTGTGTGGCATTGTGGGGGATCAGGAGTCGGCGAGGCTCGGAGATTCGAACTCCACCCGCAGACACAGGCGGCTCTCGCCGGGCAGGAGCGCCTCGCGGAGAACGCTTCGAACGAGTCCCTTCCGCCTCGGAAAGCACGCGGCTTCCGCCCCCGACAATGGCGGGAGGGGCACTGCCAAGCAGGGGCAAGCTGCTGCAGCAGCACAAGGCTGAGCTCCGCGTGCGTCCTGCCGAGTGGCAGCGCGCTCGAGGATCCCCACTGCTCACAACGCACACCGACAGAAATCCCTCTGGCAGGCAGGCTGGCGCCTCGTGGGGAGCCTGACTGCTGCCGAAGCGTGCTAGCCTGCGACTCCGTGTGGGGCGGCTTGCGTGCAGACCTTGAGGACGGAAGCCAAGAAAGCCCATAGCAAGGCCAAGTCGAAGGAGGAAAAAGCAGCAGCCGCTGCCAAGTACGCAGATCTGGAGGAGCAGCTGCTGCAGCGGCAGCACCAACAGCTGCAAGCCGTTGCCGCTGCCACAGAGGACTCCTGTAGCCTTGACGCCCCCGAAACAGACGCCGAGACACCCTCAGGAATTCAAGAGCCTGGTAAGTCGACAGCTGTGCAAATTTCTGAGCAGGGATGCTCGCGAGCTTGCGCCTTGCAGTTTGTCGTGACGCCGAGGCTTGCTTCGCTACCCCTGGGAGGGGGGGAATGCGGGTTTGTGATTTTACAAGCGCTTTCTAGCTGGCTGTGGAGGCCGTTTCTTAGGACTTGTGGCTTGGCCTTGCAGCGAACGAAAGCGACGCCATTGAACGGCTCGAGGCTCTGAGTCTCTACGAAGACTCTGGAGGCGCTCGCAAAGTGTCTAGGGCCCAAAGGCGCCGCGAAAAGAAGCAGCTCAAGCTGAGGGAGAGGGAGCTCATGCTCGACGAAGCGCGAGGCAGGCTTGAGCGCGTAGAGGGGTTGGGGGCTGGGGAAGGATGCCTGGAGCACGACGATCACGGATTTGTGGGAAGAGGCGCTAGCAGCAGTAGCCATAGCAGTGATTGCAGCTGCAAGGTCCTCAACATTATTGTCTCCGCTGCTGCTGCCACTGCTTCTGCTGCGGGTGCTGCAATTCAGAAGAGAACAATTTGGGGGAGGAGGAATGGGCGGCCCTTGCAAATGAGCTCGAGAAGGAAGGCCTTACTATTTTCTCCGTCCCTGGAGATGGCAACTGTTTGTTTAGGTCAGGTTCTAGGGTTTGGGGAATGACGTTTTCTATGCATATATATACATGTATATACATATATATATATATAATCTACTTTTATATCTACATCTACATATCGATCTATTCGTATATATGTATATATGAACGCCCCTGCTCCCGCATGTCGTTGCCCATATTTACGTTGTTTTCACGGTTCACCCCAGGTTTGGAGGTTGGTGGTTTCTGCGACGCAGGTCTATTGCGCACCAACTGGAGTTGAATCCGTCTGCGAATGGGGAGCTTGACGTGAAGCGCTTGCGGGGGGGCATTGCGGATCTCATGAAAAGAGAACGAGACTGCTTCAAAGCCTTTCTGGACGAGCAGCTTCAGCAGGACGAAGGTCAGCTGCCTCCCTGCCACTGAGGGTCGTACTTGGGCTGAGGAGGCTGCTGCTTCTGTCTGTCAAGGCAACTGCCGTTACAAAGACGATGGTCGTGTGTCTGCAGCGGGATTCCTGACTCTCCCGCTTTGTGTTTTGTGTATTGCGTGCGTTTCTCGCAGCCTACGACGCTTTCTGCGAAAATATCAGGAGCAGTCAAGACTGGGGGTGAGGCATGTCAAGACTGGGGGTGAGGGGGGAGGGGCCTAAGTAGCCAGGGATTCGCGGCTAGGGGTGACAGTGCCGGAGGGTTGATGATACCCCGAAGCGCCCTGCAGCACCACGAGCTGATGAACTGTAGGGTGAGGCTTTGTGGCTTGCGTTTGAGCAGCGGAGAGATCGAGATTCTTGCGGCTTCCCAGCTGCTGCGCTGCCCCATCAAGGTGTATGCCGTGTCGGACGCCGTCACTGTGCTGACATATGTACGGTTAGAAGTCTGTTCGCCGTGCTAGTAGAGTTGTTTGTTGTTCGGCCTTGTGAAGCACCTGGGGAGTGTCGTGCGTGGCTGCACTGCTCTGCAAGGGAAGGGTAGGAGGTTTTAGCGTGTGTGTCTGTGGGTGCTATGGGGCCCTTGTGTGGTAGGGAGAGGAGTTCTGCGAGGCGCAGCCCCTACGCCTGGCCTTTCACCGTTTCTTGTTGGCTGCGGGGCCTCACTACAACTCCATTGTGCCGATGCCGCAAACTTCAGAGGCGGAGAACTGACTTATATGGAGGCTTCAACGTCCACAAGCAGCAGCAGGGCAGTGGGAGGGTGGGAAGGGAGCAAACGCTGCCTCTTGCACCAGTTGCCCCAGTAGGCACAGGGTCTGCCTGCGTGAAGGGGCAGGAGCGGCAGCAAACTGGAAGCAATGCAAGTTGTTGCTTGTTCGGCGCAACAACAGCGGTAGTAAGGCCTGCAGTCGCACCCGCCGCGCAGACTGCCGCTGCAGCTCCTTTCCACCAGCAGCGGCCTAGCGCTTCAACCCTAGTTCTAAGGGCATTAGTCTTGGATCTCTAGCGTCGGCTCTCTTTTATGCATCCGGTTTCATGTGGGCACCTCTGGGGCTTCAGAAGGGCGGCCTGGTAGACGCTTTTGCCACGTCTCCGGCTGTCAACTTGGTGAGCGCTTTGCCGCCTTTGTGCGCGCACGCGGCATGTGTATGCCCCCAGGCTACGAAGGCGTGTAGGCCTCGCTTTAAAGGCTCTCTAAGACGGAGGGGGACTGCTTTTTTGGAGCACTATCCTCCGAGTCCTTACAAAGCACCTTGGTGGGCTCTGGCTGCGAAGAGGGCGTAAAGCGCAGCAGCATGGCAGGAACGCTGTGCCCCTGTTGTGCTATAAGCTTCCAGACCACGCACAAAATAGTAGTGCCACCAGGATTGCGAATGAAGAGGCGCTAGCAATGAGGTTGCGGTACCATTGTTGACTTGCTGAAGTCTGCGATAAAAAATACAACGCGGGCCTTTCTTCCGGGGTTGGCCACACGGGAAGACGCAGAAAACGCGTTGCGAAAAGAGAGACAAGGCGGCAAAGCGTGGACTGACGGGGAATTGAACCCCGGACCTTTTGCATGCGAAGCAAACGTGATACCCCTACACCATCAGCCCCCTGCAGGGCGCCCCCAGTACTTAGCGCGTAAGCGACTCCATCGGCGTAGGCTGCTTCTATCGCATGAAGCCGCTGTAGCATGCGTTTAAAAAGGCCTCGTGGAGAGCCACAAATAGAGCTTTGACCAATGCACTTAGGGCGTCTCTGAGGTGCCCGTAGTTTGGCCGCCTCCCACAGCCCCCTGTCGATGCTTTCGGCAACTGGGGCCCCCAACTCGTTTCTCGACATTCTATTTCCTTTCATGTGGACGCACACTGCGCTACATTCGATAGTTTTTCGACGCTGGACCAGCGATGCCGGTGGTCTCGTGGATAAATCCCTCCTCGTCCTGCGCACTAGCCAGCATATCTCCCGTTTGCCCTCCCAGGGAGTCGCTCAAACCTTTCGGTTCTAATCCGTGGCTCTACATCAAAAGCGCGACGCTACCGCCTCATGGAGGGCTCCCTCTGGCTAAGGCGAACGACTCAGGAGAGCGCCATATCGACTCAGCCAACATGACTCAGCGGACGCTCACCACACCCCAGAGCCCTATGTATCCCCCTATCAGACGTTGTTGCCCTTAATTCTGCTTAATTCGCCTGCTCTTGAGCTTCAGGCCGCTGGTTCAGGCCATTAACCGCAAACCCTGAAAATCTGTGCCGTCGCGCCTTCCAAAATGCACCCGACAGATCCTTGGCAGCGGGGGAATTCCCCAAGCTTTCACAGTGGCATGTCTGTGAGAAGGCTTTCTCGGCGCCTTAATCTCCTTGCTGCTTTGTGCGTCGTGATGCTGCTTTCACACGCTCCCTCTGCATCCCACCAAATGAGCTCGACAGGGGAGTCGCAAGCGCCCGTGGCTGCGGAGAACACAGAGCCTGCCGATACAGTGCTTGTAAGCCTCCCTTAGACCACAAGCCTTGCAAGTGGCAGCAGGGCTCTACTAATGCGCCGTGAGCCTGTATATTGGGGGGTGGGAGGGGGAGAGAAGGGAAGCACGCAGGCAGGCAGCGCGAAGGCTTCTGCAGCTCGGGGTATGTTTGCGATTTGTGGGAGCGCATGTTTTTTGGATGCAGGTGGCAGTTGTGCTGCCAGAACTGTTTTTCTCAACTCCCAAGGCACGTCAGAAGGGCGATAGATTGCCGCTTGCCTCCCAGCAGCAGAGGGCGTCTGCCTCAAGAACCTTGAAGCTTCGTGTTGCTTCTGCTACTCCCTCCAAGCAGGTGCTCCTGCAGCTGGTGGCTCTCCATATGGCCCCTTCCGAGATGATGCTGCGGCAACACTTTAACAAGACGCGACAGGAACAGCAGCAGCAACCACTGCAAGAACACCCACAGCAACAACAACAGCAGCCACAGCAACAGGAGCAGCAGCAACAAGAACCGCAGCAGGAGCAGCAGCAACAACAGTCCCAGCAACAGGAGCAACAGGAGCAACAGCCACAGCCACAGCAGCCACAGCAGCAGCAGCAACCGAAACAGCAGAAGCCGAGGGAGCTGGGAGATTTTGGGTGGTCTCCTAAGGAAGAAGTGCTCGTAAAAGAGGTGCAGCAGCAGTTCAACGAAGCCCTTGTTGCTGCGAGTCGCAGCGACAACAGCAGCGTGTGGCGCGAGCGCCTCTGCAGGCGGGCAGTGTCTGCAGCGGCCTCTCTCTTGCGGGGGGCAGCTATCCGGCAATTTCATGAGTTATCTATTCTGGCTAGGCTCAGGTTTACCTCTGTGGCGGTCTTTAAAACGATCCGGAGAACTGGGAAGAGGATCAGACATGGGCGGAGGTTGGATGGTGAAAAAGAAAGCGAAAAGGAAGCTGAGAAGGATAATTTTGAAAGGTGCGTAGCAGACCCTATGGCTGAGGGATGCACTGCCAAGGAGCTCGCAGCAATGCCTCTCAAGCTGGATTTTGCCAGGAAGGGCGCCTCTCCAACCGTAAGCCTTTTCTTTACATCCTAGACGTCGTGCATGTGCAGCCCCAGTAAGTGCCTGAGCCGTTGATGGAGTGTTTCGAAGCGTACTCCTGCAAGCTGTGCTTTCGCTCACATTAGTGTGGCAACTGTGTCTCCACTAGAAACCAACAATCATCTTTGCAGAGCCATGGTGGGCTCTTAAGACTATTGTGTAGTGTGTACGCATGCATGTATGTAAGTATGTCTGTTAGCTTGTTGCGTTGGTTGTTTGTTGTACGTGCATATGTGCATGCATGAGTGCGTATATGTACGTATGTATGTATATATGTATGTACATATGTATTTGTGCGCTCTCGTAGGGGCTTCTATTTTCTGACGTCCTGGCAGAGTGGCAGGACAGTGTGGCTCTGGAAGCTCTGTTCCTCTTTACTTTTGAGCAAAGGAAATATTTCGACCTCACGGGAGCCTTTGTCAACGTATGACCACCGCTTGCTGCGTTTGCTGCAAGCTTCCGGTGTTATGCTGCTGGTGCTGCGGCAAGAACAGGCCCCATTGTGCCGGTGACAAGACTTGCTGCTGCGATCTTTTGCGTGGGTTGCAGCGTTACTCTAAAGGCTTCAAAGGGTTTTCAGTTACTCAGGGCTTGGCGTGTACGTGCAGGTTCAGGTTTTCTTACAAACGACGGCACACTACACGGTGGTTTTGTCGGTTCCATCCGACATGCCTCTTTCAGCATTTATTGCTTCTCTGCTATCGATTTCTATGGCTGATGCCGCTGAAAAAGGTTATCGTGTTGGTGATGGGGGACGGTTGGTTGCCGCTGATGGTGGGAGTGGTGCGGGTGCCCAAGGTGCCGATGGTGGGCCTGGCGGAGTTGCTCTCGCTACTAGTGATGACCCTGACGCTACTGATAAGCATGAGGAGGGTGGAACTGGCGATCGCGGGGAGCCTCCTGGAGCAGTAGACATAAAGGGGCTGGCTAAGAGCCTAGAGGTGTTTTCCGTTGAAGGAGAGAAACTTCCAGGCGAGATGAAGATGAATCAAGCTTCACCGAAGGGCATTGTTATTCAAGTGAGCTTTCCCAGTGCTCGTACCGCAGCTACCGCTGCCTAATCTACGTTTGCTCGTGCCCATGCTGTTGTGATCGGTGCTGTCGTGGCGTGCAGTCAGCAATCCATCTCAGGGAATGTTCTGGTCCTTTGGCTGTGTGCTCTGGGTTTCAGGTTTCTTCATCCTTTCCAGCCAGAGATGCTCTCCTATCTCTTCACCAAACCCGCATATTTTGCTTCTCCTGCAGGGGCCCTCAGGAGCCCGCCACGGAGGGCCCCTCAGTGGAGGAACCGTTGGAGCGCGGGGCCCTCGTGAGGGGGACCTCCAAAGAACCCACCATCATTGCTTCGCTAACTGTTAACGTGTGCAGTGATAGCGAAGAATTGGAAGCAAACCTCTTCACAGGTACTGCTGTTAGTATTGCTCCTCTAGCCCCTGCGGGCACTGATGCCGTCCTTGCACTTTTGCGTCCTGTTGTGCTTTGGGCAAAGGGACTCTTTTCTGTTTTCTGGAGTACGTGTGCAGCTCCCTCTGACCTGACTTCTTCGGAGGACGGGAAAGAAGAAGGCACGGAGCTTCCTAAGTGCAAGATGGCGCGAGTGATTGTTCCTGGCATCCCGGAGGATACCAGCGAGTGTGCAAAAGCACTACTCCTTGAGCCCTTAGACAACAAACCGGATGACCGTATGCTGCCAGCATAGGGACCTTACTTGCAGCGTTTTTGACTGTGGACTTAGGGCGTAGGCACTAGGGTATGAGGTTTGTGTTCAGGTTATCTCTGCGTGCCTATTTGCTGTACGTGGCGGGATTGGCTCCATCTGCTCAAAGAGCTTTCCTTCTGTGCCACGCTGCTGAAGACTCCCTTTGTATACCGCGGGACAGGAACGAAGTGGTGGAGGGGGCTCCCGAGGCGGAAGGAGGCAGCACCAAGGAAAGAGACGCACTAAGCATCGTTAGGCGGCTTTTGCTCGCAGAGGTGGAGGGTGAAAAGGTGTTTTTCTTCAAGCGCGTGAGGCTGTCTGCAGCAGTGCCACGACGTTGCTTCCCCAAGCCCTCTTTTCCTGACCCTTTCTCTCTTTTAGCGTATATACACAGCCCTTCACGTAGTCCTTATAAAAGGAGAAGTATAGGTACCCGCCTGTGTGAATTAAGAAGTCTATTCAGCCGTCTAGAAATACTGGCAACTGCAAACAGCCAATATGGGAATCACGACACTTGCTCTTGCTGTTGCAGCCCGCTGTGCCCCTCCCCGTCTCGTCTTTATCTCCCCTACTCTATAAGCACCACTTTTTCTACAACGTCCGTCTGCCTGATCGGTACTCGAGCGGGTCAGTGTGTGCCTCCCGCGTGCGCGTTCAACTGGAGACCGTGGGATCCACCACAGAAGAAGAAAACGTGTTATTTCTGGAGGAGGTCGATGATGAATTGCTGCAAGAGGAACTGATTTATCGATTTGTGTGGCAACGCATGCACGCGCCCTTCCTAGACCCCGCTAAAGATCTTCGTCTGTGTTATATCCCTCGCACTGCGTTATTTGCTGCTACCGCTGATGCAAAAATTAGGACAGGGAGGACAATAAATGTGTCCACAACAGACTGTGAAGAGAACGACTCCTGTGCATCAAAAGCGGCAACCATTACATCGGAAACAGACCCCAGTGCATGCATAAGCCTACCTCCGGGGAGCGCTGTACGAGATGTGATACAGGAGGTGGAGCATACAGAGGCCCAACTCTTTCTGCTTCCAGTTGACACTGGGGAAATACTCGAGAAAGGGGAACCACCGCGCAAGGTGGAATTCAGCGAATGCCGTGTCATCGTCTTCCCCCAGAACCTTGTGCTGGACCAGAGTACTATAAGTGTACGTCATCTACGCAAATTTAGGGGTACCACATGATGAAATGTCGCGTCTGTGTCCGCCATTGTTACGTACTTGTGCTCTGAGTGGTAGCTTGCCCATGACCTGGGAATCGGTTGCTGTACTGCATTTATCTACATGATTTAATATCTGTACGGTATTAGGTAACACCTATCGCCAGGCGTAACGTCCAAGGCGGCGCGTTTCTGAAAGTTGTCCGTTCGACGCTTGCAGACCCTACTATAAGCGCACTGAAGGCACCATCTTAATACCTACTAGTGGGGTGTTGTGCTTTGGTTGCTACAGGTGACACTTGCTCTTCCATCTGGTGGGCTATTCTTCATCGTTGGCATCCCTTTTTCCGTTGTTGCGAGGGAGCTACTGTTGTTGATAATATCATCCATTGAACAAGCTGAAGAGGTGCTCGTAAAATTCCCAACGGGGATGACCGCTCAGTCCCTTTTTTTAGTGTTTGCTGAGGGCGGCAGTGAGATACCGGAAGAAACACCAGTGTGGAGGCTGCGCTGCTTCAAAGAATGCGGTGCCTTTGGCCAAAGGAGTGGGCATTCTATAATGTCAGAGACTGACATGAAGCTGTGTAACAGCTGTAAAGGCTGGTCTACGCCTGTGATGTTGCAATTTAAGGTGAGACAAGACTTAGCAAGACTTTAAAACATAGAATCATGTAATGCATAGTTCTGCTTGACACTAGGCACTTGGTCATTTTTTCTTTGGGGGCTCTATCGCTGTGTGTGCAGTACCGCCCGCTGGACAGTCCGAAGTTCCGATTGCGCATGCAGCCCTTGAAGGACCGAGTCCTAGAATATTCAACGTCTCGATTTAGCCCCAGGATAGGTGTAAAGAAAGATATTAGCTCGAACACGATTGAACAGCTGCCTAGATCGTCGTCCATTAATTTTCTAGAAGGCGGAGAAATGGGTGGCGATCGCAAACAGTGAGCCTTTCGACTGTCTCAAGGAGCCCGCGCACGCCACACACGAACTGCCAATAGGGAGCACCGGATTCCAACACAGAAGGAAATATTCCTTTTGGCTGCTTCTATGCCTGCGTGTTCATGCTTATTGCCTAACATGCATAGCAGTGAGAGTGTCTTGTAGAAGACTCTTGGTTTGGGCAATATTATGTCTCGTTTCGCCACCCCAGGGCGTGTCTTTGTATGCATATAATGGGCGTTATGCTGCTAAAAAAACCCTCTGGTTGCGCGGCGCTTTCATCGCCCCCTTATTCTTAAGGCTGGATGGTGCTTTTCCTTCGTCCGACGTGCCCTCATGATATTGAGCGCGTTTATTGGCTGGGCCAAAAAGGTAGAAGCAATGAATGAATTTCGCCGTTCTCGTACTTCGCGGGTGCCTGTCTAGGAACCGATCCGTTCAAGAACAGCGCACAAATTACGTGCGAAATTGGTTTGGCAATCGCCTTGCACGACCGTTAGTGTGAGCCCTCTAGGATACCGTGACGTTGAAGCGAATGAAGACAGAAAAGCATATATTGCAACTATTTCTCTTTTTGTAACCAGATATGTGATCTAGACTCGATGATCAATGTAAGCTGCCCCAAACAGCCAACGATTCTTCAGAAATTGCGCACAGTGCCCTGTGTACGGCGCTGCCTCGGTGGAGTGCGACGGGCAAAGTCGGAACGGATGGTTTTCTGGCTCGTTTTTCATGCAAATTTTATGAATTTGGATCTATTTAAGCAGTTTTGCCGATTCGGCTCGTGAAAGAAAAGGTCTTTTGAATACAAGAGCCTTTTTCGCATGACGGTATACCATACTCGGGAGCACAACAAGCAAGTCGGCTGTTAGAGTAATGCATTTGTAATCGCGTTAATTCCAATTGAATCCAGTCCGTAATCGTGCTCCCTTAGTGCCTTCTGTGTTTATCTTTCTTACTTTCCTCTTTTGCACCGGGAACACAAACAACAACAACCCAAAATCCAACGCCTCACCAACACCAATCTGGTATCGTGCATTGTTCTGCGGCAGATCCACGTGCGTCTGCCTTCTTCTCTTCAATGCAATTTCATTCACACACACACACTAAGTGTACCAATCTTATAATCATTTTAATGAATTGGGATTCATATGCTTCTGCAAAACCCCGCTGGGCGCTGCGCGCTCATGTAGGCTCCAATCCTCCGTAGACCGACCGCAACCTTCCTTCGTGCATAACAACCAGAGAGGTAACGCCTTCTGTCGTATTCGGTGTCTGCTCATTTGTGTTCCCAAGACATTTGTTCATGATCCTCGAATTCCGCTAGAGGCCTCCCGAGGGATTTCCTTTTCTCTAAGACCTGCACAGTATCCTTCGTTGTCCGTCATCTCTGGCTCTGCAGTTCTCCTCACTGCCAGCACCTACGGGTGGTCAGCTACTCACAGAAAAGCCCGACCTGTGTGCTTTTCTACATTCTCCTTGTGCTCTTCGCCCTGCAGTTGACACTGCTGCCGCAGTACGGAAGGAGGACCAGGAAGGGAATCAAGACAGTGGTGACCAGCAAAGGAACCAGAAGAACCTCACTGAAATTTTCACGCACTAGCAGACGGAGATGGATGTGCACATGCCCCCAAACTCCCTGAAAAGACGCGAGCATGCTTCTGTTACCTTCGGGTGCAATGAGTTTGCTCTCGAGAGCTACACAGGCGAGCCCGCGCTCTCACACCTCGACCTTATTAAAGGCTGAGAACCACAAAGTGAGCAATGTGCTATTCCCGCTGATGAGTCGCTTGTACTTGCCGCTGGACGTGTGCTGCAGAAGTAAATGACAATGAAGTTAGACCGTCAGTTGCCTCGGAAGACCTAGAGGAGTTCGACTGTCCCTCGCGCACCCACCGCAGGAGAAGGGCCATTCGCAGGAGGTGATTGCATTCAACCAGAGAAGCCCTGCATGTGCCCATAGGCGTGAAATCTGAACCGAAACACCACGCATATAAACATCAACCCTAGGGCGTGCTGCGGCTGTCGTTGATAGGCTGAAGACCGGTCCCAATTCGATGACTGAGGCAGAGAAGGAGGTGTATAAGCAGCTGCTGGAAAAGCACGAGGAAGCAGAACAGCTAGCGTATCTGGAGGATGACCTTCCTTCCGAGGGTCCTCACCAGGAACCATGGGAGGTGCAGACGCGCATATTGCCGAGCCAGGGTACATGCAGTTCCGTTTCTGTCGTTTGTGAGACAGAAAAGAGTGCAGGCGACAGCAATGCAGGCCTACACGGGCAGCAGTGGCTGTGTAACACCTTGAAAAGGCACCAACAGGAGGTTCCTTCTTTAACAAGCTCTCACGCCCACCACAGCCTCCACAACCCCGCTCTTTTTGTGGATTCGCCAGAGGAATCTGGGGATGCTTCCTGTGTGTCTTTCTCTCCCTTACCGATGAGCACACGTAGCGCATGCAGCGCTAATCCTTGGGGGACCCTGCAACGCGGGGGGCCCCTTAGGAGCCACCGCAGGGCCTTCGTAGAGCCAGGGCCCCCGGAGGGAGATGGAGGAAGTGAGAGCGACTGGAGCGAGAGGGAGAGAAGGGAAGAGAGGCACAGTAGGATCGCCTCTAGGAGGCGGACGGGTCCTCAACAGCTGTCGAAGGAGCAGATTGAAGAAATGAATCTGCTGTTTGCTCGTAAGTTTATCGTTCTCCTGTTGTGGTTGGTGCTTTTTCAGCCTGCCCTCGTGCGTGCTTGTCTGATCTTGCCCTTTATGAACAGCGATTCCTTCGCTCAAGTGTTCTCTGGCTGACTCTTGCAACGACTTCCAGCCCTAGTGGTACCATATGCGGTGCCTCAATGTGCCTGTTTAATTTGTTCTTTACGCAGAAAAATGCACATAGTCGTCTTTACAACGAACCCTGCTGCTTTGGGATGTTCACTTGCGGGGACCCCAAACGCCAGCTCTTCAAATCCACCCCGTTCGCAGATACCAAGTGGCTAGCTGTCACTGGGATCCATAGAGCTAGTTGTGTGCCTAGTTATATGGCTAGCTATACCGTCGGCTGTATGTCTGCATTTAGAAAAACGAGCAGGGCCTCCCGCTCGGTGAGCCCTTCTCCAAAGGTCCCCTCCGGGAATTTCTCTGCATACAAAAGAAATATACCACTCTCCTTAGCAGTCGCGCGTATATGTACTTGCCTAGAGCGTCCGAATGACTCCATTTTTCTAGATATATCAAACTGGCGTGAGCTGTGCGCCGCAGTCGTGTCTACAAAGCAGACTACCAGGCCAGGACCTGCGTCCTCCCGCTGCTGCGAGACATTTTGTTTGTCTCCTATTAACACCCACAGACAAATGCGCGTTAAAATCTTACCGTTCTTGGGCCCGAATGCGTTTGCAGCAAGCAGTCGGGGGGCCCATTTAGCAAAAGCTGCAGTATGCACGCAAGGCACCATTCTTGCGTACATGCAGAGATAATGCAGACAAGCTCTGTACGTAGAAGTGTTTGCTTCCTCGTTGATGTTGGGTGCACTTGGGTCTGATCAGGCTACACTTAGAGCCACCCACGGTATCGTAGCGGCATGCACGTACCTGAAATTCCGAAAACAAACTTCTCCTGGACTTCTGTGGCTTGCCAAAGATCCTCATGAACTTGTCACAGTGCTTAAGCTGGCTTTGCACGCAGCAGAGGACTTAACAGACAGTGTGTACAAACAAGCGGGTGTACTTGGAGGTCGCTGCATAGTCGTTGTAGTGAATGCACATGTGTGGGCTTGGTTCCCTGCATTATTCCTGAGAGTAGGGGGAACCAACACCGGCCTTTTAAGCTTCCGCGGTACCAAGTCCAACGCAAGGAAAGGGGAGGCTGGAGACGCCTAACTTGTTCTCTGCTTTACTTCCCTACCTAAACATCTTAGATTTCAAAATCAAAGTCTCTAAGCGTTTGGTGTGGCTGTTTTTGTTATGTGACCATCTGTACCTAATCTTCAATTGCCAAAGCAGAGTACATCGAAGAGGAGTAACGCAATCATACCTCACTGTTGTATCAACTAAATGGCGTTCAGAAAGATTGTTCCAAAAGCATCTGTGCGCCGCAAAACGGAGGGGGTCTCATCGGCAAAGGACAGAGAGTCTTAGTGTATTCTGTAGCCCTAACTACAAAGCACTTAGAGTAAAACGTGGTGCTCTGAAGAGTTGCAACGGGTTAAGCTGCTCCTCCTCGTGAGCGTCCGGCAGAGCCATCTGTTCTCATGGGCATCGATCGATCACTCAAGCGATCCCAACTCAACGGAGCTTTCGCCTGCTCCTGCTCTCTCAAATTCTGCTGTTGAGCTGCAGAACTTCCTCTTTTCGTCTTTAGCCGAATGCTGCCGCTGCAGCGTTCGTGCGGAGCTGTTGCGTCGCTGCTGCCGGCAAGATATGTTTGCGATCGGACCGAGGGAACTGCTCGGGATGGCATATTTTGGGGAGAACAAAGGCAATGCTTCTCTGCATATACATGTGGTGGTGTGTGCATACAGACAGTGAAATTGCAGATATGCATGTCTATGCTCACCATGCAAAAGCACATTTCTAGCATTCATCATCTAGCCAAGGACTGCACATATACGCAGGGCACATATATATCCATATTTGCATAGCGGTAATACGGAAATATATGGTGTTGCACATGCGGGTGAACAATTGCATGTACACATCGAAATGCGTGCATACAAAGCACAGACCTGCACATACAAAATGCAGGTAGTGATGCTCACCCGGTGGTCTGGATCCACTCGTACAGATATGCATATGCATGTGCAGCACACACTTGTCAGTTACATCCAGAGTAAAACAAGGGGAGGGCACAAAGTGGTCAAAGAGATGCGCACATCGTAGGATACAGCTATCGCTTGCTGGTAATGGGGGTGTAGTGTTGCACATACCCTACACCCAGGAGACAGGAAAAATGTACATGCAAATCAATGGGCGCGTGCGCACGGTTCGATTTGACTCCATGAGGTACACAACAAATAAGCATCAGCGTATACTTTGTTCCGAATAACGTACACGAATACTACACGCAAGTTCACATGCAAGCATTTAGAGCAAAATGTTTGGTTGCATAGACAAGCATTTGTGGAGGTATGCGTGCTTACATATGCATTAGCGTGCGCGAGAAGGCAAAGCTCTTCTTGGCAGGTAGAGAAGATAGGGGGGCTTCGGCCTTTGTGCCGTACTGCCCAATGTCAAGAATACGAGAAGCTAACCGGACCACAAAAAGCGAATACGTGAGCGACTGCATCCAAGAAATCCCTCTCTTTGTCTGCTCTTTCTCTCTCCCACATTCATAGCAAGCGTTCATCGTCGGCAGCAACGGATACCTAGGTGCCCTCTGTCTGTCCGTTTCTTGTGTTCTTCCTCCCCCTTTGGCTGCGTACTATGTTTACTTGCTCTTCCTCTTGTGTCGTGTCAACATCGCGCGCCACCAAATATCTCCCTGAGAGTTGTCGTCCCGTTCAACCCTCAGCCTCCAGACCAAGTATATCAGGAATAGCAGCAGCATGCAGCCAAATACAAGGTATGCAATTCCCAAATAAAGCGTTCGGCCGTGGAGGGCAGAGGGCACCACCAGAACCACTGCCTTCTTTCCACCCCACGGCTTTACATCGTAGTTGATGGATATGTAAGCGTAGAGGGGCAGCCGTAGGGGCCCATTGAGCTTGCCATACAACTTCCTAAAGGAGGGCAAAGCTGCTGGCTCCATCCACTGAATAAAGTGGCTGTTTTCTACCATCATTCCAGCCTCACCAAAGTTGAGAGACTCGTGTATAGCCCATGCCAGGCCTTCCTCCGGCTTGCCTATGCTCTTCCTCCCGTCATCGTTGTCGTACACTGACATCCAAAAGTATACTTTGTCACGCGCTGCCTCCCTCTCCTGAGCCGAGGGGTTCTTATAGAGGCCTTCCCACCGATCGCGGAGAAGGATGTCCTCCTTACTCTGCCGCATTGGCAGCGGCTTCACGCTGCTCTGACTCACCGGCCCGTCTGGAGGAGCGTCAAAGAAAAGGAAATTGTCGTTGAAAACGTGCCACGCGAGGGACCCACAGGGGTGCAACACTTTTGTAACGTTGTCTACTACCCGCGTCGCAAACGGTTCGCAATCCTTCACATCATCGGGGTCGGTGAAGATGTGACCGGCAAGCTGTTTGTCGCTTCTATTCCAAACGATTTGGCCACCATTTTGATTGAAGTTCTCCAGCTCGTAATAAACGTAGATCTCCTCCCCCTCCAGCGCGGTTATGTTTTCTGCAGGCCCGCAAACTTCCGCAGTGATGGGCAGGCACTCATACCGCGTCCCTCCGTCTCCTAGAGAGTACTCCTCATAATTCAGCTTGCACTCCACATGCGTGTCATTCAAGACCAACAGGGTGATACCGAGGCATACAAACAAGACCGTCCCCACCCCGCACAGCACCAGGGCCCGCTGCAACGTCCACAAGGAGTATACCGAATAAAAAGATTCCATACGAATGCGGTGATTTAGCCACTTCACCAATCGGGTCTGCCAAGGCTCTTTGTACTCCTTCTGAATAGGTACCAGGGATTCGGAGAGGCGCAACCGCTGATGGCTAGCGGCCCCCCGCAGGTCCATGGAGCTCGGTCGCGCTGCTCGTTGCGTTCTGATGCTGCGAGTCGAGAATACCGACTTGAAAGACTTGAAACTTTGCGCCAAATTGATTCCACGCGACGCCCTCCGGGAGCCCCCTATGCCTGTGACAGTGCTCCGACCAGCGGTGTCGCAGTCCATGTGCCCATCGGAGTCTTCACTGTCTTCAGCTGCAAAAGGCGACTTTAGGATGGCGGCTGCCGCAGGCTCCCCACCCTGGCTGCGCGTGGAAAAGCTTGTGGCTCTGGGGGACCTGCGGGCTCCACGTACCCTCGGAGATCCTGGATCTACGGCTGTTGTGGAGGTGGTGATCGGGGTGGGTGCTGCGGTTGGTGCAACCGCAGACCCTCGCGAACAGGCAGCATTTGGGGGGTGGTCTGCTACCGCACTCAGGTTTGGACCGGATACGCCCCCTGCCTCCGAAGGGGGCGGGGGGCCCTGTGCAGGGCTTGCCAGTGCCATTCAGGCTAAAGATGCGGATCTAAACAGGGTAAAAAGCATGAAAAAGACCATCCCTCCCACCCCGTTGCCGCCCGAGTCCAATCCGAGGCCCTCGCTGACAAGGACCGTGGGCAGGAGGGCAGGGCCAGGGGGCCCCCTGCAGATGCCCCCCTTTGGTGGCGTGCTTGGCGCCCCTTTAGACCCCTGATGATCCGCAAGGGCAGAATGTGGTCACAGAACAAAAGGAAGTCCTTGTTTGAGGCCTTGCGAGCTCGATCGCGTGGGTACGGTAGCAGCGATGGAAGGCGGCGCCGGGTTCAGAAAGACGGAGGAAAATAGAATCTGTGGGGGAAAAGCGGCACCGGATGGAAAGGGCCGGTGAAGCGTTTTCGGGTGTACAACGGTGTTGTGTTTAAGGTGTTCCATCTTTTGGAAATACTTTGGTGTACATCGCAGCGATGCCCCGGAGAGGCCCTCGTTGGGGCCTGTAGAATTTGGGCTTATTGGGTGCTGCTTGTTACACACAACCGATGCTGCCCCTCCCATTACTTCGATTTATTTGAATTTTCTATGTGCAGCGAGCGGTGTGGAAGAAGGGGAAACGGAAAGTCCCCATTCGGTGGGCTATCGTAGAGCTCAGGTTTCTCGTCTACGCAAAAGCCAAGTTGTTTCCTGACCCCTAGCCCCAACCTAGTATTCGGGAAAATGACGATGTGGCAGATCAATAAAATTTCATTGGTGTGGCTGCTACGCACGCTTTTTGGGACGGGGAACCAGAGTGGACGCCCTATTTTGCGTCTGGGATAGCCGCTGTGATTTTTCGCGCTCCTAATTTCCTGCACGACGAGAAACAACCGAAGCCAAAGACACAGTTGGGGCTGCAAATCATCTTGCAGGCTCCAAGTCTCTGGTTGCCCAAACACATAGTCAGAAACGCAACCACCACACACCCCAATACGAGCTTGTGACCGGCAAGCAGAGCGCTCTCTTCCTGTGTAGGACAGAAGCTGAGAGTGCTAAGGCCCAATCGCCGTGTACCTCTTTGCATGCGTTTACGAATGTATGGCTTTAGCGAGTCTTAGTGCATGCGTGCACCATTTGAAAGCTAGGGCTTCAGCAAGGCCCGTACAAGAGACCTCCTGGCTGCTGTGTGCGGAGAAAGCAGCCAATAAGCCCCTCTCTAAATACTTGTACTCTTACTTCTCTTGTGTCCTACCTCTGCTGCGGGTGTACCTTTAGCACCCCCACAGGGCTACTACTCACATTGCATCGACAGGAACAAATGTGCGAACGCTGCATGCGCATGCCACCGTAGACGTGCTGCCCATACAGGGGGGTGCCATGCACCTCCATATGTGCGCATTTCTCGCCTCCGACCCCTCATGCTCCACCGTTTATTCGAGCCTTCTTCTGGCGAATTGTGACAATAGCATGGAACGGTCAAATGCTTCTTGTTATGGTTCTATCTGTTTCACATAGGCTTTTAGCATGATTCCTCATCTCTCCATACTGGTTGTCCGCTCTAACAATTACCCCTGCTGCCTTCATGTGTTTCTAAGTCCCCCACATAATAGCGCCAAAATCTCCCAGAGGAAGTGCTTTTGCTTGTGTCTCCCTCACTGCATGCCCATCCTAGTTTTCCCCCCTCGGAGTATACATATATATATATATATATATATATATATATATATATATGCACTGACGGAGCGAATGACCCTAAATGGCACGGACAGGTGCTGCATACGCAACTACAGAGCCAGAAGAGAGCTCCCAGAGCTTGCATTACAGTTGTAAAAGCGGTTATCTCATTGCTCCCCAGAAAACGCACGCTAAAGCTTCTAGTATACCTGCGTATCTACCAACACCTCTATGCTCCCGTGCGTCCCTCCGAGCAAACTGCAGGAGTGTGGCCGCTCCGCTAGGAGCCTCGCTACTCGCGTCGTCTGTGTGGCATTACGTTCTTCTGGCTGCACTGGTTCAATTGCATGTATGCAAAGTGTGTTTGGAAGGCTTTTGGTTTGGAGATGCGAAGAAGAACGGACTTTACAATACAACTTTGCCGCGCCTCGCTTTGAGGCGCCCGATTTGATCTTGAAGATCGAATTGTTCCTGCGCGAATCGACCGGGGCCATTGAAGATGAATTGTAGAGCGATTGAAGACAAGTTCACTTTAGGAATGACATGGGGCGTTAGCAAGATGTATTGCACGCCTCCCTCGTGTTCAGTATGTTCCAGCTGCTGTTCTTGATGAGGACTGTCGTTCTCGCTCTCAGGCTCGTGCTCCGCCCCTTTTAGGGCGGCTCGATTCTCAGCACGGGCACGCTTGGTGTCCCCTCTGTCTTGGGATGTGCAGCGTCTCTTCCTGCTGCTGCTGCCGCTTGCTCCAGCCGCACTGGCGAGACCAGCTGCCCCCCTGCAGAGCCCTGGTGCTGAGGTCGCATGCCTGCCGTGAGCAACATCTGAAAGCAGGCGAAAGAGAAGAGCTTCTCTTTCTGAGTCTAAGCCTTGATTTATTTCATCCAGCACTCGGAAGGAGCCCTGGGCAAAGGCCTGTGCACGAAGGAGGCGCAGGCGCAGCAGCACGAGGTCGATGAAGAGAGAAAGAGAAAGACGGAGAAGTAGGGACTAGCCGATGAGAGGCTTTGGTACTACTACCCAAGGCCCTGCGTAAATGGCTTAAGAGCTGCACGACGGAAACTTGTCTCTGCGAAGCAGAGATGAGTCAAGAAGGGCCAGCATGAGACATACACAGCAGAATAACGGCAGGGGTAAGGTGCAAAAAAATGCTTAAAATTGGAACAAGAGAAGCGCCAACAGCAAGAATAGGCCCAAGGTCCCCATGAAAGAGCAACACAGATAGGTATATATATATGTACATGTATACACACATCTACATATGTAGGTACCTATATACAAAGATGCTTGCATAGCACACGTGACAGTGCTTCCACATAAGCTATATATATACATATATTCTCGCTCTCAGGGGAGTATGGGAGCACCAGCAGCAGCAGGCGTCGTCACCTGGACAGCTAGCAAGTACAGGACAGCAACAAGGCTGCGCTCCCCTCCAGAGTTCGTGTTGGAAAGCTGGCGGAGAGGAACTGTCTTGCCAAAGCTGATCTGCAGCAGTAGCCTCATGCTGCCGAAATCAGGCAGCGGGTCAAGCTGCAGTGCCTCTGGCGCCCTTGCCTCTTTCGGTGCAGCAGTAGCGCCAGCAGCTGCTGCGGGTGCAGCCTTATTCGCTGTAACAACCCCCTGAGGAGTTGTGTCTAAGAGGGCAATGCGGCCGTCGGCTTTGGGGCTAACGGCGCGCATTAGAGACTTAAATCTGTCGCAGAGCACAGAGACCACGCGTTCGACTTTCGGCAGCCAGCTGAAGCACACCCACATATACACATACACATGCATACATACACACATACACATACATATACACATGCATACATATACACATGCATGTACACATGCATGTACACATGCACTTGCATACATATACATCTGCTTATACACACGTACATATATAAATCTTGAGTCTGAGCCGTTCGTGCAAAGCGCCTGGGCCTGCCTTATAGCTCCTAAGCGTTCGAAACTGAACACGTGTGTGGCTCTAGACCCCCAAGGCGCCCTTGAGGTTTGCAAGTGCAGTGCAACCCCTCAAATGACGCTGTAGTCAGCAATTAGCCGTTGTGGACGGGCATGTGTTGTTGCTACCGGTCAGCTTGCTCCTGTATGTGTTGATGCAGCGCCTTGGCGTCGCGCTGCGCCTGCTGGATGCCCCTCGAAAGGTCTAGCATTTCAGCAGCGGTCTTGGACAACTCTGTGGCAGCAGAAATGCTGACACGGCTTCCACGGGAGATGCGCAGCTTTAGGCGCTCCTCCTCTGCTTCTAAGGCTGCAAGGCTATCTGGCAGGGGAGGGAGGGGCGGCAGACGCAATCCACGAGCCAAATCTCCGCTGCACCCCGCGTCGATGCTGCTGCTACTACCGCTGCCAGTGTCAGCGGCCAGCAGGGCTTGTACTGTTGCTTCTTCTTCTGCAGTGCCAGGAGCACTGGCAACAGCACCCGCGGAGGGCAGCACTTGCAGCAGCTCCCTGTAGACACTGGCGGCTTCCCTTTTCCAGCTCTCGACGGCCTTCTTTGCCTCGCCGTAGACATCGCGCTGCTGTGCTGTCGCTTCTCGCAGCTCTGAAAGCTTCTTCTGCTCGTCCTCTAGCTGCGCAGAGGCGAAAAAGGCGACTGCAAAGCATGCACTAGACGCGCTGCTGATGAGCGGCAGAGGAGCTTGCATGCAAGGCCTACACAGGAGCTCCACCAGGGGCAGCACCTGCCTCACTCCGCAGGTGCAGCCTCGATACTGGCAATCTTATACGTTATTCATGGCTCTACCTGGCTCTCCAACTGTTGAATTTGTTCTTCCTCTTCCTTGAGCGCCGTGGCCGCCTTCCTCTGCTCCTCGGCTTTTGTTTTGAAGGCTAGGAGCAGCTTGCGAGCATCCACGAGCTGCTGCGCTGCACCTGCCAGCAGCTGTAGCTGCTCTGCAATCAGACGCAGGCGTTTCTTCTTGGACTCCGTCAGTGTTTGGCGGATGGTCGGAAAGGCCGCCGCTTCTGCTGCAAGACGACGATAGCGCTGATCTTCTGCTTCTGCTTCTGCTGCTGCCGCTGCAATGCGCTGCCGCAGCCGAGTCTCCTCCTCCGCCTCCGCTTGCTGAGAATTCCAAAATTCCCTCAGCAAGTCGCGCCTTTCTTTCTCTGCGCTCTCCCTGGCTTCCAACTCCCTCTGTTCAGTCTGAAGGCGCTGCTCTTCGAGGTGCAGCTTCTGGATCTTTTCTTGCTGTTGCTGTAGCTGCTGCTGCTCTTCGTTTTCCCGCCCTTGCGGTTCCTGCTGCTGCAGCTGCAAGATCGGAGGCCTCCGTGGAATGTTTGTTACAGAGTGTACGAAACCCCGCACGTCATAGGCACTCTGCTTCAGCCGGTGGGCCTGAGTTCCCAGATAGTAAACAATCTCTTGCGAAGGGCAACCCTGCTGCCTCAGCTCTTGCTTCGCAACTTGCTGCATGCGTTCTTCCTGCTGAGGGCTGAGATCCGGCCGGCAGATGAGGCAGAGGTGCGCCATGGTGTACTCTTGAAATGTAGCTGCAAACGGGGCAGGCACAGAAAGGAAGTCCATCAAGAACCCCTCTACCCCTGCAGCTCTCAGAGCCGGAGTGAGCCGAGGCCTCCTGCCAACGCTGGCGCTGGGGTTGAGCGCGAAGCAGCGCAAGTTGGCTCGCGATACTATCAAAAAGTCTTCCTCAGCGTCCAGGCATAAGAAGCTTAGCAATTTGGACCGCAAGAAGTGATCAGCTATCAAATGAGCGCGGCTGTCTGTCACCTGCGCGCAACAAACTCTCAGCCCCCCAAAGGCCTGAACTACCCACTGGCTCCCGATGTGGAGAGTGAAGGAAATCAACGGGAAGCATGCGAGCATCTCGAATAAGTCTGCGAAAGGCGGCGAGTCGAAGACGCAGCCGCAACGGCACTGCTTTCAAAGCCCTTACAGAGACGATAACGCCGAGGGGCCCTTCAACGCTTGCCCTGAAGCGGGTTGTGCGAAGGAGTTCTGTGCCCCTCCGAACGGATCCCACATCAAAGCCAACTTCGATGGTCGTGAGCATCTGCAGAACGTGCAGCTGCTGTTGCTGCTCTTGATGCTTCATCTGCTGCTGTCGCTGCTGCTGCAGCCGCTGCATTAAGGCCAGCTTGTCGGCTGCCTCCTGCAGGGCCCCCCTTGTGCTTCGCAGCTGCCGTGAGGCGTTGCAGAGTTGCTGCCTTAGCTCCCCTACTTTCTGGTTCTGCTGATGAAGCAGGCGCTTTGTCTCTTCCGGGTTAGAGGGCAGCGGCATTTCCTCCTTCTTGGCAGCATTCTATGGTACGCATTGGACACAGCGGAGCGACAAGGGGAACGCGTCAGCAGCGCGTAGGACTGTGTGAGTGCAACACAGACGCCACAGGAGTCTCCCCTTACAAACCTCCCTCGCTGAGCGGGTTGGCTAATAGTGTATGGCCGGGGAGGCGGCCAGTCAGTCAGTCAGCACATGGGGAGGCCGCTCGCCTCTGGAGGCTTCTGGCGTCAGAAAAATCAGTTTATACGGGGGATTGTGCAAGGTCCAGAAGAAAGCATGTGCCATTGCATAAGCAAGCAGGCAGAAAAAGAAATACCCGGGACAGTTGAAAATGTTCGCTTTGTCGTGGCAGTCGCTGCTGCTTCTCTTCTCTCGTTTTCAGGAGCTGCTGCAGCGTTTCCTCCAGCATGAGGCGCTGGGCGTGAGGGTCCAGTGCCTTCTCGCGTTGCAGCTGGAGGCGCCGCATGAGAGTCTGCAGCTGAGCAGGGTAGGTGTCCAGTTGCTCTGCAGCTTCCTCGTCAGCCTGCATCTTCTGCGGTACACGTCACCACCAGCACAGGGGCCACAACAGAGCAAGTGAGAAAGAGAGAGAGAGAAAGCGAGAGAGTGAGGAAGAGAAAGAAAGATCTCCTAAAGATGCGCGAAAGTGCATAGAAAAAGAAGCAACGGCAAACGACAAAAACAGCGGAGCAGGGTACAGCGCGAGAGGCTGCCACCTCCACGCGCCACGAAGAGCAACCCATGGGGAAAGACTGCTACGCCAGACGGTTAATTGGAGGTTGCGACGAATTCAGAAGCAGACAGACACACACACACAAACATACACAAGCAGACGCGAAAACAAGCACACAGCATGCAACTTAAGGCACGCGGCAGGAGGCGCTCCTGATTCTGACGAGAGCACAGAAAACAATGGATGCTTCTGCTTTGTTGCGTGGGAGCCCATCCCGCAGGCACATGCGGCTCCTTGGGCCCCGTGTCTGTGACGCATTGTGAGTGATTGTTTGCGCGAGCGCAAGTGAGAAATTCTTCGTAGCTGACCGCGTCGATGGCTTCGAGTGCTTCCCGTGCTGATGTCGAGCACTGTGTTGTGTCGGCTACCTGCGCCTTGAGTGCTTGGGCTTTGTGCTGCAAGGCCTCTTTTTTTTTCTGCAGCCCCTCCTTCTTGGATTGCAGTTCCTGCACTCGAGGCTTTAAGGCAGCACTTGCCTCCTGCAAATGCCCTTTCGCCAACTTGTATCCCTCCAGCGCCTCCACCGCCAGCAGCTGCAGCACTCGCAATCAAGAAGCCAGAACTTCTTGCTGCCATCCCGAGACGCAACGGAAGCTCCCGCACAGGCAGGGGGCTCAAATGAACGGCAGGCACAGAAAGCAGCAGCACCAACACAGCAGGGGCAGCGAACCCGCAGGAGGCGGCCGCGACAGAGGGTGAGGTGTCGTTTGAGGTTGAAGTAATCGGCGAGGTCTTCCTGCTGCTGGCGCAGCAGCTGCTGTTGCTGCTGTAGCAACACCCAACGACCCTGGAGTGTATCCAGATTTGCCAGGCACTGCTGCAGCTTCTCCTGCTGCTGCTGCAGTGCCAGCAGGCACCGCGCGTCCTTATCGTTGATGGCCTAATAAGCAGAAGCACCACCATGCCGGAGGCTTCATGCGAAATCGCGACTGTGCCCAGAGGAGGATGACAAGGGGGATAGCAGCCACGCAAAACGGCACAGCGCAGCGGCAGTGACTGCTCCTGCCGCCGCAGCGACAGCAGCACATCAGCAGCATCGCCTGCAGCGCGCAAACGGCTACCTGCAAGGTGCTGAGCAGCAGTTCCTTGGGAGTCAAAGACCCAAAGATAGACACCTTTTCTTGTTGCATGAAGCACAGGTAGTTGTCTGCCCGTATGGACAGTCGCTCGCGCTCTCTCTGAACATCGCTGAGCCGAGATTCTGCTCCGTTGATGAGGTAAGTGCTCTTGATGCCAGTCTCTGTCTGCAAGATGCAAAGATGCGCACAGTAAATACTGCTCATTTAAAAGACTCTGCTGCGCTGCTGCGGAGGCCTGCCCTTTCCATCCCACGATACCCACCCCTGTCTCACACGGAGAGAAAACTGCAAATCGCCTTTTGCCCCGTTGTGTGAACAACTCTTTACGATAGGGAGTCGTTCGTGTGGCAGGACCCTGGAGAGTTCTTCCCCTCTACCGCCCCTTCCTCCCCCCTCCCCTTCCGCCTCTTCCCGTTCCCCGTTCCCCGCTGCAACTGCATGCGTGCACCCCAGGCCTCATCTTGTAGCTCGTTACCAGGCCACTTTCCTGTTAAACCCCTCCAGCATCGTTCCTCTACACTGCCTCCTGCAGCGGGGTCGCCCTCAACCAACTATAGGTACCTCTGTCCCACCTTGTCGAGATCTCTCTGAATGGACACCACCTCATTTTCCTCAGTCCCTTTCAAGTTGAGGCGCACAGAAGCCTTGCTACCCCCGTATGTCAAATACCGCTGCAATGGCTGCTGGGACTGCTGGTGGTGCTGCGTCCCTCCACCTGCAGCTGCTGATAGCGACCCGCTGCTGATGCGGCACCCCAAAGCAAACTGAATAGCCGAAACGATCGTACTCTTTCCAACACCGTTGCATGAGGCAATCTGTCCACACATACATACAAATGCATACATGCATATGCATACATTCAAATACACACATATAACTACGTATAGTACAGCTACATACCTACAAATCCATACATACAAATACACACATACACCTACATACACGCAAATGCATACATACAAATACATACCCACAAGTGGATATGCACAACCACATGCATACAACTACATACATACAAATACATACATACGAACACACGCATACAAAGACATACATACAAACACATGCACACTCACCTGAACCCTCTGCAGACGTGCTGACTTGCGCAGATGCGCTCATTTACATCCATACATAAATACATTTACAGCTACACACCTCAAATTCTAAGCCTCGCAATCGCCACCAGATGCACAGTCGGATGAAGGGGGACAGGGACAGAGAGGACCGTGTCTCGAACCCTGTTCTCTACGAATCCCGAGCTTACGAGATTGGTGTACGGGGAGAAGTAAATCTCCACATGGCACTTAAATGCCATAAAACCCATGAGCCGCATGCTTATAAGCTGACCAGTCCCGAACTCCTCGAGAGGAATGGCCCCGTGAGGACCCCCATTTGGGGTACTCGTAAGGGGGGCCTCTCTCGAGGTACTAACCGAGTCCATGGCGCACACTTCGTGCGCAGTTACTTCTGCAGAGAAGGACCCGTGATTGACCTATGCTTCAAGCAGCCTCAGGGGGCCCCTAGGGGCCCCTGGGGCCCCCAATGTACGAGTTTTGAGAGAAAGGTAAGTGAATGACCACCCCGGGGCGTCGTCGCGCCCTGGGTATCATGACTGAACAGAAGAGCTCCTAGAAGCAGCTGAATTGGCCAAATACTCCGGGAGGAATGAATTAAAGCAAGAAAAAGCTAGGTATGATAAGTGCAAAAGAAGGCTTGGGGTCTCAATGGGCTGGTGTGTACAGGGCCCCTGGTGGGGCCCCCCCCATCATTAGAGTGACACACCGGATGCAGCGCATGACTCACCAGGCGCCGCTTGCCATTTGAAAATACACAGCCTTCTTTTTCGTCGTTCATGCTAATTACCAAAAGCTCCAGGACACTTGTTCATGGGATGTGTAAGCCATATACAGTAGCAAAAGAGCTCTAGTGTATTCGTTTTGGCCACCTCCTCGAAATGTGATTTTTGCTTGGTGAGCGTTGAGCCATGCGGAGTCTTCAAATCCTTGGAAGTCATTTTTAAGGATCCATGAGTGGGAAACAGGTGTATAGTGTGACACTGGCAACGAATGTAAAACGGGCACGAGGCTACCTAGTATGTCCCTAGGCCTCGTATGTGTCTTGCTACGCACACTGGGCTTAAGGGTTCAAGAGCTGGTTCTATGAAACAGGCTTATGAATATCCGTAACACCGTGCCCAACAACTGTAAACACATACCTTCGCGGGAAATCTGCAGGATGAAACCAAGAGGCCTTTACGTGGGGGATGTAGCTAGCTGGCCACGTGACCCGGGAGAGACCATGAGAGGTCTGTGGCGCTCCCACAGGTAAAGGGCGTAGCCTGTTCACCAAGGCACTGGAGTGAACACATTAAATGCTCTGCAAACAAACTCTCTGGTGAGGCCATGGGGAAGGAAGTTCTTGCTTGATACGGCCAGCAAAATAGTATCGCTGACCCTTGCGCATTCGAATTCTCACCGCACATGCTTCCGAGAAACTCGCCAGCTCAGCACTAACCAGTCGTATTCTCTTCGGATAGCCTTCGGGCTAGGCCCAAAGTGCCTCGTAGAAATTAAATCCGTATAGCAGTTGCTAGAAAAGGGACACCCCCGTCCATATCAGTGCTCTTCATCGGCCTCTGCACTGAGGCCGCACAAAAGAGTCCTCATTTTCACCATTTGCAACGCTTGAGCGTCGCTTAGTGTGGTGAAATCTCTGCTACCCAGGAAGTTGACTTCGAACTGTGGGTCGCAGAGTACGTTGTGCGCTGCCAGCGAACCCTACAAGGCGAGTCTCTAAGGAATTGATCAATTGGCTCCTAGCCGCACTCTAGGATCTGCAAACCTGTCCAGGGGGAGCGGGAGCAGAAGTTGACCAGGCGTTGGAGCTGCCCGATCAGCAGTTAAGTACAGTCAATGATGTAGGCGAATAGGGCATCAGCAATTTGCCTTCCTTTTGCCGTGTATCTATCCCCCCACGGTGCACTCTGCAATGACCCTCTTCCCTCGATTATCAACCTTTATGCTTAGAGCCTAGCCGAAAGACCCGTTTGGGGAGCTATATACTGGATATCATATCTGTTTTCTTCTGCATATGCCAGGGTTGCTGCCAGTGTGCCTAGCCTGAGACCAGGAGTGCTTTGGGCAAATCAGCATGGTCTACGACAGCAACGTCGACACATTGAGCATCAATCTGGATACTAAAAAGATATGTATTATCACGATCGTATTGGTTTGTGGCCAGTGCACCTGAAGGGCCTTGCAGCCAAGTATTTGGACAGTGATCGCCTGTGCACTTGCAAGCCCAAAGACTTCAATTACACAAAACTCAGGCACCCAGATATACACACGCTACCGTGGTACAATTTATTCGAAACGAATAAAAAAGAAGAAGAGACCTAAAAATGGGGCTGCACGTGCATCCCTGGGTAGTGAACATATCCATTTGCACATCCTCTCTAGCCACTCAGCTACTTCGTCGGTCACGCGCTACTCTATGGCACAAATTTCAGAGTCCTGAGAAGCGTTTCAGTCGACTGCTGCAGCACATCTCTACTTCCACGACATTCGGCAAGCAGCCTTTCCCAGGAAGGCTGCGGCATCAGGGTGATCTTCACGAAGCTATCCTCACAGGCCCACGGGCAGCATGAAGCGGGAAGAAGCAATTCAACCCCATGTCGCTGAGGTGCACGCTCCCCTGCTTCAACACCTGCAAAATATAGCAACCCAGCCGCCTGTCGAATAATGCATATATGGCTTACTTAGAGTCTACCTACCAGCCTATTCCCCATGCAAGAGCGTGTGAGAGCATGCTTCTGCCATACGAATCGCAGAAACCAACCAAAAATACTTCTAACGCAGCGCTGCACTCTTACTTGCATCGACAGTGTTGTGAACGGACTCCAGCTTGGATCTGCTGCTCCTTAGGTAGTCTCCGGTGGTTCCACATCCCTCTCGAGGCCTCCGGGGGCCTCTTGTGCCCTTGGAGGGCCCTGAAGGGCTTCTCGTTCCTGAGGAAAACGCTGACGAGCTTCCGCCCACCGAGAGAGCAGAGGCTGAAGCCTGCAGGCATGCACATATGCGTGAGTGCACGTGTTTCGGTGTGTTGCGTGCAGTCGCTGGTTTTCACCCATTTAGCTTAATAGGTTTTTGGTGTCATACAGTGTGCTTCTCCTCGTCAGCATCGTCAGAGGCGAAGTCTTGGGAGCTCCATTCTGCCCGCCGCGCTAGGATGGATTCTTCTACAGAGTCGCGAAGAACAAACAACTCGACATATACAGGACGCAACGCGCCCATCCTGTGAGCTCTTGCGACCACCTGCAGAGAGCCCGGCACGTGCCCATTGCATCGCAGGATTTTCAGACGTTCATTTACACATTAGGCCAGTAAAAATATTGCTACCGAGTGAACAGGCATCGATGCGGCAGATGGCTCCGCATATATGCCTGTTAGGGCCGCGGACGCGAAGCACGACAGGACAGGCTCTCAGAAAAATGCTAAGTGCGTTTTTCACCAAAAGAAGCATTAGCTGATGCAGTTGGAGGCAGGCATCACAGATGCAGCTGTGTCAATGCGATAAGCTTCCACCCACAAAAGCAGTGGCATGGGCACTATGGAGAGGAGGGCGGGAAGTAGACGTGCCTGCTGCTCGAGATTTGGATCCGTGGGGGGATCAAGAATCAGAACATGGGAGGCACAACTGAGGTCTAGGCCGTGTGCCCCCACACTGGTGGAGAGAAGCAGAACCTGAGTCATATCGTCCTCAACGAAACTGCGGAGTGCCGAAAGCGCCAGCTTCCGCTCGGTCTGGAGACAAAACACGCCCCCACATGAGCACGGCGAACGCAAACGGAGTCTCACGATGAAGATGAGAAAGCTCTAATTGTGCTAACTGCAGCTGCAAGCGCAGCAAAAGTAGCCGCTACTGCGGCTGCGGATGTGTGCCCTTCGGCATCCCACTGCATCTTCTTTCACAACGTGAGCCCCTATTTGTAGTCCAAGGCGTTTTTATGCGACTCTCGCTGATAAAAAACAGCTTACGCGCTCTGTAAAGTAACCACACCGGACGTCGTGCCTCTCCAAAAACTGCCCAAGAAGAAACAGGGACTCCCAGAAGGACGCCGCCACGATAATCTTCTCACATCTCTTCGGTATATCTTTCATTGATTTCACCTTTAAGGCCGAGGCCGTCGGTGGACAAGCCGGTGCTGAGGCTGGCTCCCCTACACCGACCGTAGAGCGCTCTGCTTCTACTCGCCTCTGCTGCTGCTGCTGCTCTGTGCCCCCGTTGCAGTCCTCCGAAGAAGCGAAGCGCACGCGGCGAGCAGGCGTGGGACTGCCCTCTGCATGCACAGAGGTGAACAAAAAGGCACACAGCTTTGAGGCACGGCAGAGACAGCGGCCCTCCCTAATGACCACGAAACCTCACAACTCTCGATTTTCTCCTGCCGTAGACTGGCTTCCACACGAACTGCGGTAAGCTACTACCCCATTTCTTACCGGGCAGGGCCCCACCCCCCCGTGTATGCACAGTGCCAACACTGGGAGACGGGTTGGAGTCGGTGTCTGCCAATGCGTCCCACGGAATGTTGTTCTGGCCAAATTGCCGGCTCTCAATCAGCGCAAGAATGCGACGTGCGACAGCTGCGTATTTGCTCGAGCGCAGAAAGCTTTGATCTTCTTGATCCACGTCGAGGGACGCCAGTTTGTCTACATGCGCTGTTGATGTGGTAGTAGAGTCCAAGAAACCCGATAATGCACTGGTTCTAGGGCCTCTCAGCGAATGCGCCATCGAACATGATGATGGGGAGACATTAGAAGAGGCGTGAGCTGCTCTTGAGGGTTCCCGCACGCCGTTACCGACAAAACTCTCAACGTCCTCCACGTCTACAAAGTCAATAGGTGCACCATCGTCTCCCTTCATGAGCCGGCGCTGTTGTTGTTTGGTAGGGCTTGCATTGCGGGAACCATGAAGAAAGAAGAACTGACACGGCGAAGTGCTGCTGACACATTTCTCTGCACCATCGGATGCAAGTGGATCCGCTGATGAGCACGCAGAAGACAGTCGGATGGCAGCTGCTGGTGAAGAAGACGCCTCCACAACTGCCGTCGTAGAGAGTCGCTGAGGATTGGGGTTCTCCCTGATCGGTGGTGCTTCAGATACGACTGCTGCTGGCTCTCGTGGGGAAGGGCTAGTCGCTGCGTTTTCACGCACACCAGGGGCCTGCGTCCAACGCGCTGCAGCTGTATCTGCTGCTGCTGCAGAGTTCACGGGAGAACGGCTAAAGGAAGCCAGGTGAGGATGACTCTTCCTCTGAGGCCTCTCATGCCACCGTGCCACCATCTCCTCCGCCTCATTCAACAGATCGGCAGAGAGCCAAAGCGAGGGAGAGCATGAAGCAGCATGGAAGTCTGCTGGAACAAAGACAGAGAAAGAACGAGCTTGGTGGAGGTAACAGGCAGACAGAGGACGTCGCCAGCCTCCCTGCTGGAATGCCTGCTCTGTCTGCTTGCCTCTTGCAGAATGGGCACACAGCAACCTCGCTGCAGCTGCATCTGCTGCAGCTGTGCGCGCCCGCAACGGCAGCTGAGGAGGTGAAGGCCACACGCACGGTGAGCGCAGCTCCACCTGTAAGCTCGTTGGCGGTGCTGCTGACGCTGCAGGTGTCACTGCCGCATGGTCGTCAGCAGCGAAGGATGCCGCAGTCCTCGCTAAGGCTCGTGCCTGCTGCGCTCTTCCCTTTGAGGCGGCGTACGGCCAATCAAAGTGCGTTGTATGTTCCACTGGAGGCTGCAAACGATCCATAAAGTCTCCGTTCACGGGGCACCAGGGCCAGCACAGCGGGCAGCCTGTCACCGCTGGTCTTGAACAAAACTGCATTCATACAGTCACAAAAAACAGGGACGTACTAAGGGCCATCTGCCAGTACGCTCGGGTGTAGAAAACAAAGAGCGCGCTCGAGGCTTTATGCAGGACCCCAACGCGAGAAGAGCGAGACAGAGAGTGACGGAGAGGGAACCGTGGCACGCAGATCCTCCACAACCCTTTCGTGCGACACTCCAGACCAGCTGTACCCTGCAGCCGAAGATGTCCCTACTCACCAAATCGGCAAGAAAGTTTGGAAAAAGGCACGAGGAACACAGGAGATGCAGCATTCTGCATGGCACCAACAGGGGGAAGCGAATCTTTTGGCAACACATATCACAGCGGACGGTGTGACGCTCGACGGAGCTGACACGTAGGAAGACCTGCACACATGCAGTGGACAGAAAAGACCATGTTCTGCGTCTCCTCAAGCAAGCCTACTTCCACCCAGCGACGCACTCCACAAAGAGATCGCATATGCATGTAGAAACATCCAGCACAGTCGCAGCGCTACCTATCCATATCCGCGTAGAAATGGAGTAGAGAAAGCCACAGCTTCCCAGTCAGGGCATCGTTCCCATCCAAATTCGCTGGGTTTCATGCATTCAAAGAAAGGCGCCTGTGCATGCATGTGAGTTTGCATGCATGCGCCAAGGTATGTATACGCACACATGCAAACATGTGGCTTTATATGTATGTAGTTACGCATGACAAGCAGTAAAGCACGGAAATCTTCAAGCAAAAAAGAATGCGAGAGAAGCCAGATCAGCACTATCCCCCAATGCAGAAACAGCCGCGCTAGTAAGGTACACCGTATTGGGCAGAATAGAGCCTTTGCACACATGTACACGAAGCACATATGCTTGAAAATTCAGGAATCATCCTTTTCCTCGCTCTTGGTGTCCATTCAGTAGCCAGGCGTGTGCGTGGCGGGCGTACCGCTGTGACGTAGACAAGTCTGCTGAAGTCGTATTTGTAGGGGAACGGATTAGTGTATTTCGGGTGCTTTTCTGCGAGCATTTGAAGAGTCTCATCGACCCATTTGCGCTGCACAAACAAATGGGCCTGACACCGCAGCGTGCAGCTGAAGCGCAGGTTCCAAAGAACGGTGCTCGCGCTACTGCGGTTGTTGCTGTGGAAGAGAGAGTCCTAAAAGGCAACAGGGAAACCAAAGAAAGGAGCAGCGCAAGTATCAGCTCGAACTGACACAGGATGAGGGCAATGCAGACAAGCATAGTCAGTTGCATCAGATGAAGCTCCTGGAGTGCTTCACTGCGGAACAGACAGCAACATGCATTCTGTGGCGATCCCGTGGCACTCCGAGGCGAACCAGCCACACGTCGGTGCACAGCGTTGCAGATACGAGGGCAGAGGAAAGTGGATTTGTAGAGGTAGACTTTCTGCAGGCAGAGTGAGACATGAAGGCTAGGGAAAGCCAGGGGCAGGTGGGCAGGGCAAGCGCACACTACCTCTGTTCAGGGGTGACCATAAATGCATGCAAGGCCAGATATGGCGTGTTCCCTCCTTCGCCCGACAGGCCCCCTATTCCCCTGTCAACGCTGAGTAGCAAGCGAGTGAGATGGATGGTCGTGCAGGAGGAGGCTACAGCATCGTTAGCTTACGGGATTTGTACGCGAGAAATATGTGCAAAACAGATTTCTCCGAATCAATTCCACAAGGTCGTTATATGTGGCCTTTTCCTGCTCATGCATCCGGATGGAGTAGACGATAGGTCCCTTAAGCGGCGGCAACAAACGGCAAAGAGCCTTGGTGTGGCGCACCAGCAAGGAGTCAAGAAGGCACTGTAGTCGATAGTGAGCGAATAACAGCCCATGCTCGCAAATAGCTCTCCCAATGCAAGAACGGAAAAGACTGGCACCTCCCTGGGAGACTCCTGCGGCATTCCAGCGCAACGGACGAAATGAGCCTTGCCGGGTCAGCTACTGTCGTCATATGCCTCACAATGCAATCGCGTCTGCGCAGCCTAGACCACACGGAGCGCAAACCCTTAAACAGTGAGTCTCGTCATTTCAAATGGCTCCCGCCCCCTCGACATGATGTCCGCCAACGTCAACAACTTTTCTTACAGCCCTTCACGCCAACGCGCTCTTCCTCCCACAGCTGCGCATGCGCAGACCCTGTGCTCCTGGAAAGCACCAACTCAACAAATATCATGAATTTAGCCTCCTCTGCTGACCCGTAAACGTGTGGCGATTCGTCAAAGGATGGCGGAGAAACTCGCAAATGGAGCGCAGCCCAGAAAGAGCCCTCTCGGCCGCTAGACGGTTCGTTGGCGTGCCGGTTAGAACCCATCTGCAGGCAGTGACTCCAAGTGCAAGAAGCAGGTGGCTCAGAATTTTGCACAAAGCAGTCTCACCAACTTAAAACCACCAACATCGAACCAAGGCAAACATCGAGGCCCCTGGAAAGAGAGACTAGAGCCGCACAAGACCAATACACGCCCAGCGGCAACGGAGCTTCTGAGCCTTTCCTCGACTCGCATGCAGCTGCCGCCGCAGATCCACGCCACCACCCTTCCACTAAGAGACTCTGTCTCTCAGCGCTAATGCATGCTGGACGATGCCTTTATGCCGGGGTTTTTCCCGCACAGATCAGGGTCCGCACTTGGCAAACTGGATGCAGGAGACTCAAGAGCGGCATGGACGCAAAGCAGCCCAAGCATCCTCGGCTGCATCCCGTCCTCCCTCCAAACACTGCACATGCCAATCCTTGTTGAACGCATCCTGATAAATTGCCTGACTCACCGTTTGTTGGCGCGCAGTGTGCAGGCAAGCTGGACGTGCAGACTGCCACTCTGAGCGAGCCTATGCCCCTCATCAACTGCAATTCTTTCAAAGTGAACTCCTAGAAGCGGCGATTTAGCGCACTGAATGCGGCTAATGCCTCTGGCACCGGCTGCAGAGCCAGGTGAGGTGAAAAGACTGCTCTGAGGCTGCCGACTCCGCCGTTTGAGCACAGAAGCCAGCTTCTGTTGCTGATCTCTCGGCATGACGCTCGCTAGCCGCTGCAGAAGCGTCATTTCCTCTGAGTCTATGCCTTCACTCTCTTCGTCACGTAGCATAAGTTGATCCCAAAAGCGTTCTTCTGCTGCTGCACCAGAAGCCAGACACTCAGAGCGCCGTCGTGGCTGCTGCTTTTGCTGCTCAGGTGTCTCTAGAGGATTGGCGAGGCACCTGCTAAATTCCTTTGTCAGCACATTAGTGGTGACCACCACAATGTCACTCGCTGCGATGTCGAATCGAGAAACAGAGGCTAGCTCTGCTGGCCGCTCAAACACAAGAACCTATGGCAATGCATGGCAGCACAACATCATCCAGTAGTACGCTTGCGAAATTTGCAGCGTCTCTCCTTAGGAAGCGCTGCGTGGGCAGAACACGGCAAACAACACGAGGGAAGAGCGGTGGCATGGCAATTTCATAGACAACGGTACCTCAGGCATACACCTGCAGCTCACCTTCACACGCTCAGAAGGGGGTAGGTGGTGCCAGCCAAACCACTGCTCCAGCTGCGCCTCCCAGTGCCTCGCAAGAAAGGGAGGACATATCACTAGAGTCGTATTGGAGCACAGATACTGCGGAGGCGACCGCAAGATTCTGCCCCTCAGCAAAGGAACGTGAGATAGGGTGGCTTGATCAGGAGAGCTGCCTGGGACGGATGTTGACGAAGGTGGTGTGGGTGCTTCTACACCCGCCTTTGCCTCTGTTACGCATGCTGCTGGACTCCGGCATTGACGTTTAGGAGGGGGTGGATCTGTGGAAGCTAAAGCAGAGTCTTCTTGGTTCCCTTCACAGGGCCTTTCCTCCATCTTCACTTGCAGCGCTCCTCCCGGTGTCTGCACAGAAGGATTGGGCTCTAGCGCGAGTGTGTTTTCTGCGTCTCGCGCACTGAGCAGCTTCTTCGCTTGCGCAGTTTGCTGCTCCACTTGTCTGACGGCGTCACTTATCTGACTGGACAGCATCAGCCCGTGGTGATTTGGTCTGGAAATGGTGGAGTCCTGTATGCATGTAGTGGCAACACGATGGCACACAGGCTCTGCATTCATAAAACAGTGCGCTGAAAAGGGCAGCAGAAACGCTGCTGCTGCCCCACCTGCGCAGAGCTCTGCCGCAGGGGGAGGGAATAAGAACACCCACAATATGGAGGTCCCTGTAGATACGCTGCAACTTGGACCTTAAAGCGGCTGTCTTCTCCTCGCCCCCCTTTAGCTGCCATTCGCTGAGCACGCGCCCTCTGCACAAGTCTTCAGCGAGACGCTGAGAACCTTCGATCGGCAGAAGGGGTTCTTGGGGGGGGAACGTGGGCTGTCCAGGGGAAGCAGAGCACAGGAGGTACCACCAAATTGACACTATGTGCGCTAGGCACTCTTCACGACTGGGAAAGAAATCACACCTAGGGAAATGTGTATACAATCAAGCAATAGCCGGGCAGAGCAGCCAGCAATGTGCCCGTGGGGTCAGCCGCATACAAGGTCTTTCATTTGGCCTGCGCTCGTGCAACCTAGAATGCGAGGATGGTGATTTCAGCATATCTGTCCGCGCACGTTGCGACAGCGTGTGCAAAAACATTCTGTTGCATTTCAAGGCTTCGTTTTGTCGTTTGATGTGCGGCGAGAGGCTGAGGTGGGAGGTTGAGGTGGAGCAGCAAGCGGCGCGCTAGGCAGCATACAAACGAAAGGCAGGACGCGCTCACATCATTGTAGCAAAAGAAAGTCTCAACGCCTGAAAATCGATCTTCACGAATCTCCATGTTCCCGTTGCCTCTGATAGGCACGTCTGCATATGGAAAATATAGGCAGTCCACAGGCCGGCCTCAGGGTAGATTTCAGCCACAAGATGACGCATTCTGCCGCGAGTCTCGACTATGTCGAGTTCGCGTCGCTGCACCGTAAAAAGCGGCAGGGAGGCCTATTGACACACGCGCACACCTGCTCCTTGGAAGTGCTCCCTGACAGTTGAAGATGGGATACGCCACAAATTATGGACGAGCGAGCTGCAGCAGCGAAACGCGGACAGCATAATGTGCATAGTGATATCATAAGGGCTTGTGAGGTGGACTTTCACTGTGACGCTGTGAAGGCGCACTGTCGGACTAGAGATAAGCCCACAGATTCTCGTCTCTAGACAATCTGTGATGAGCAGAGCCAGACTGCGTAGCGAGGATGCCCAGGGGTGGCGAAGCAGGAAGGGCTGATGCAGCATATCTCGAGGTATTTGGGGTGATACTGTGGTGGCATCGCTGCTCCCTGCAATTTATTTCATCCGCTGTGTCATGCACTTTTGCCTTGCAGCTACGTGGTTGCGACGTGCATCGAGTATAAGCCCAAATAAAGCTCGAACTCCGGCGAAGAATTTAAAACGCAACTTCAACCGTCTCCCGTACCCCTCACATTCTGCGTCTTCTACGCGTGCCTGGCTTTCCTTCCCAGCTTACGGGTTGCCTGCAGTTCGTGAAGCCCCTCCCAGCATGCGGGCCTGTCTTGTCCGCGTGCGAGTTTTTCTCATCAGTGGAGCCTGCAAGACTTCCTCCGTGGCGTGCTCTGCGGCTGCCTGCGATGTCGAAGACGGTATGGAGGCTGGCGGAGGCCATACATGGCGCGGGGGCATGTGCTTTCGGGATTTACAAAGAACGGCCAAGGAGAGAAGGGAAAGCGTCTTGCCTAGTCCTGGATCATCGCAGAACATGCCCCCTACACAAGCAGCATCTGGCTGCCGCCGTCGCCCTTCAACATCCTGGTCATACGACGATTCAAAGGAACCACCGCTGTATCCTAAAAGGGCAACCTTCAAGTCAGAAGCGACATACAGAGAGAAGTCTCCCCGAGATTGAGCCGTTTCTAGCAAATGTGGCAGCAATATCGCAGGGCCACCCTCTGCACTAGAAGCAGCGGAGGTAGTACATGCTTCCGCTGCGCCACAACGGTCGCCTAGCAGCACGAGATCTTTGGGGTGGCTGCTCGAAAAGACGCGCAAACATTTCCCTTGTCCCTGCAGGAGCCTCAAACCTTGCGATTCCTCGACGCGAAAGGCAGTCGTTGGAGGCTGGGCTGCCGGGCTGCTTTTGTCGGCTTGCAGCGCGGTAAGGTTCTCCTTTTGCGCCGCCCTCCTCGAACGCGCTTCACTTAGCCAGCTGCTGCGCGGGAGCGGCAGCTCAATCCAAGTGCACATGTTCTTGAGCAAGTCATCTGCTGGGCGGCAATCATTTCGCCTAGGCCACGGCCAAGCTGTCTCAGAGTCAAGTTCTCCGTCACGTCCAATCCCGCCTCCGGAGGGGGCTGAAGGAGAAAGTAGGTCACTCTTAAGCCGCCGCACGACCTTTTCGGCGCGGCTACCCTCTTCAGCCACTTTCTGCGCAGCGAGCCTATTGCCAAGAAGACGCCACGATTGATGCAGATCTGCTGGGGGCTGCTGGGGGGCGTTTTGTCTCTCGCGGTGTCTCAGCCACAGCAGAGCATGAACCTGGTGTCTGAACAGGCCTCCTGTTGCGCTTCGGCGACCTCTTCCACCTGCAACTGCCCCCCTCCTAGCTGCCGCTGGTAAGTTACCCGGTATACGCTGCAGTCCGCCTTCTTCCCCATCCGACTCTTCCCAGAAGGGCCGGACACCCGGAGAATGAATCCAGGAAGAGCCAACCGCCTCTAAGCCAGACACAACAACTTGCGCTGCTACCCAGTGCGCCTTAGATGTGCAGGAAAAGACAGCGAGAGACAGCGGGTCGAGGAGACACAGCACACGGTGCAGCTGGAGGGAAGACAATGCACACAAGCGGCAGGGGCAAGGGGCCGCACATGGACTGCTCAGTCCCTTTTGCTGCTGCGGCTGATGGCTCTTTGGAGTGTGCTGCTGTGGTGTGTCCTCTGGAGATGCGACCTCTGAGCTGTGCAAGGCTCTCAAGGAAGCAGCCGTCGAAAGCGCATCTACGCTAGGGCCGGCTTGTGGCTGTACCGGCCGCCCTTGAAGCCCCTGAGAAGCACAGGCACGGTGCAGTAGCTGTGAAAAGGCTGCGCTTCCCTTGCCGTCGACAGCAGGATCCACCTTAACACCCCACCCACGCGCTGCAGCAAAATCAAAGTGGCGAGCGACGGTGGCTGCCTGGGGCGCAAGCGCACAGTGCAGGAGACACCCCCAGCCTCCACAAATGCAAGGGCCCCTCATAATGGCCGCTTCCACTGCCTCAAGCCACAATCGGCTATGTATTTTTTCCCTCTCCTGCCGCTGGTGCAGCTCGTACAGCCCGTGCGAACCCTCGAAGGCGGGGTCATGTGCCTGCTGCATGAGGCCTCCCGGTAGCGACGCTTCCAACAAAGCCGCGGCGAAAGCCAGGAAGTGTCGCCATTCCTCTAAGTCCGTAGCATTCAGTATGCTGGCTCTCAGTGCCTGCCATTCTCTCGAAGCGGAGGCTAGCAACCCCCCGTGTCTCCCCTCACTCGCTAACTTCGCCGCCGCAGAGAGCTGCATGCCCTGTACTGCCTTCAGCTGAGCCTCTCCCCCCTGATATTGATAGGGCCGCTTAATCACGGCAAGGGCAAGAGGCGTGAGCACAGGGGGAGGCTCCTTAAGCAGCAGCGAAATACTCTGCAAAGGGAAGGAGAGAGGCAACAGGTGCTGGAGCACGAAGGCTTCAGCTGACGAGATGGAAAAAGAAACGGGGCGGTCCCGAGACGCGGATCCCCGAAGACAGTCGCTGCAGCCACAGATAGACAAGCTTTGTTCACAGGCAGCTCTACAACCCCCCGTAAACTACCTCAACAACTGTGCCACGACTGGTCAGTCTCCTACGCTGCTTGCCGCCGCTGAGCTTGGTATGAGGGGTACTAAACATTAGACAGAAGCGTACGAGGGCTTCTGAACTTTAACCAGCGGTCCGCCTCCCTTTCATTCGAAATTTGGTTTTACAGGGTTGATGCAAAGTGCTCACCTCAAGTTCACCCATACGCACAGACAAACGTAAGAGGCCTCTTGTTCAAGCGTGGAGCTCTCTTGAGATATTTCTCGACCTCCTTCAGCATTAGAGCAGCCATTCCAAGGACCAGGAGAAGAGAAAAAAGAGGTTTTACAGGCGTCTAGCCTTTTCCCGTTTGTGCAGGCGGCTCGGAGGTGGGACGCCAAATCCATGGCCTGCCTCCTGCGCTCCTTCTCCCCCCGCTGCTTATCATCCTGAGGCGCAAAAGGAAAAGTATTTTGAGGGATGCTTGAGGCAAGCTGGCGCACGCACTCAAAACTTTTGGACGTCGATACGCGTACGGTCGGAGGCACCAGCAACACGACTCCATACAGCAAAGCATGCCCAGTATTTAGCTGCCTAACAGGCTGCGGCAAATATCCTAGTGCTTCAAGCCTAGAACTCGGCAGCTACGCACGGGGTTCAGGCTTTGCTGATCACCAACGAGGCCCTGTTGATGCACTGAGAGCCACTCTCCTTCTGTAGACCAAAGCCCAACACAACAGGAGCAGCAGAACATTGGGCGAGACGAACTGCATTGTAAGGTCAAGGCCGTTTGCTAAGCTGATATTGAAACGTAGAGCCTTCATAGACGACTGGAGAGAGCCTTCACTCGCTCTGGAAATGTGTGCCTTCTCCTGTAGCTGGTCGCTGCCAGAGTTTCCCATTGGGTTTTGCCTACTAGCACAATGAAGGGCTAGCCTAGGATATCATCTAAAGTCTGAACCCTCATACTTGTAGCAGGCTCGGCTGCCTCCGAGGAGCAGTATCTGAATCAGCATAGTGCAAAGGTCCCTCACCCCTCAAGCCAATGAACTGCGCAGCACTGGGGCCGGAGAGCAACAGGAAGCCCAAGGGTGCCCAGGCATGCTGCGGCAGCTGCCATAGGTACCCCTGTCCTCCGGTTGATACTGAGCATGTACTTCTAGAGGGCTTGTACAGCTCATAATACGCGGAAGCCGCGCTTTTCATCCTGGTTATGTGCGCACTCAGCGTCAAAGTCCGTTGGTGCTTTCATTGAATGTGGCGCTGGCAGCTGCTGCCACAGTGTCCATGGATGCAAGGGACCTGAAGGCCAAACATGGAATAAAAAAGACTGACAGAACCGGGGAATTTGCACGCCGCAGTGCCACCCACATGTGGTCGGCACGCCTCTGCGTGACTTAGGTCGATGCCCAGCAGAAGAGACACTGAGACATTCGCCCTAGTTATTGCTGCTCTTGAGGCGAATTCTCCTCACACTTGGAATACGAAGCTATGCAGTGGGAGAAGAAGAACGCCGATGCGGCGAGAATCCTCGGAATCACTGCCGAAACCTGGGGGCAGAGGAGCTAAGTTAAAGGAGGAAGTAAGGTTATTACCGTGCAACAGGCACAGAGTGCCAGACCACAGAAAAACAGGCAGAAGATCAGTGTAGGCGACGGAAGATCTTTTGGGAACGTGGACGGAGGCGCGAAGTCGAATGGCAGCAAAGCAACGGAGCAGCTGCCGAGCGGTTAAGGGGGGCCCGGCTTAATAGACGGGGTGTGCGCGAATTAGGGTACAGCTGCTCTGGTTAACGTCATTGTAAGGAGCAGCGCAGTAAAGTGCAGAAGAAGGAACTTGGAACGGCCTGCATCGTAACTGCCGAATGACCTCGTCTTGTACCTAGAGGGCACCAGGGTCTCGGGGAGAAGAGAGGACGTGGTGACAGTTTTGTACGATGAAGCTTCTAAGCCAGCTGCTAGCTACATATTACAATTCAGTGAATCTCGAAGTGCAGAAAGGAGATATTACATGAATAAATAGCCTTCGGCAAGTTCCAGTAGGCCGGTGTCGCTCCGAGCCACCCCAGAAAACACGCAACTCAAGCTAAGCAAACAGCCATCATATCCACGCACCGCTGAAATATGTACCGAAAAGTCGACACATTAGTCAAGGCCTTCAAGGGAAACCCCCGTGCTGCCTCCCGCCAACGAGATAGCTTAGATTATGGATCTTGGAAATGCGCCCGGGTGTTGCGGTGCCCCAACATATCAGCTCCACACGGTTCACATGACAAGACCCGTCACAAGGCATATGGAGATCACTTGGGATCGTTTCGCCAAAATAAGTCTAGCGCCCCGCATGGAAAGGACACCACTATCTTGGGCACCGCGAGAAGGCATTCTTAACGGGGAGAACAGGAATACAGGCTCATAATGAGTCATATGATCGAGTATTTCACCGATGCCGCTCTCTTGCTCTACCCATTCGCCGGTATCCTTCTCTGAGCAGCTAATGTGTCACAGAACTGTTCCTCCAAACGGATGGAGCGGCCTTTGCGTAGGTCGAGCCCCTGCTTTAGCGTATGTAGACTCTACAGAGCCTACTACAGCTAGACGACTCGCACCACGATAAATACCAGAAAGTTCTGGTACATTTTAAAATGTAGAGGCACTCCTTAAACTCTACTGCAGTTTAAAGCGCCGTCATGAGCGCGCAAAAGACAGAGGCAGCCTCACACAGAGAGTGGGGTCCTCTTGGATTCAGTGAGGAATTGTGGACACAGTCAGGGTGCACGTCCAGCGGACAGCAAACAGTGCTGCTCTCCATCCGTTCGTGCTGCACCTCACGACTTTCTGTGCATATTCTTCGACAGAATCCCGTTCCGTCCAAACTTGGGCCTAGCCTGGTTTTAGCACCACTGCGAGAGCTGCATCTTGGAGGATTTACGGCGTACATGCTCTGAGCGGAGAGGCACGCACTGCCACTGTTGCAGAGAGAGAGAGAGAGAAATAGAGCTGCCGGTTATTGCTTCGCAGACCTGCAGCGTTGTGGTAGGGCCCTCATTTGCCTGTGGGTAGCTGCACTGTAAGGGCAGTACAAGTCCACGAATGGACACAAATGGGCACCCCTAGGCTTGGGCCTGACGCTTCAGGTGCTTAAAGACCTGGTCCTTTATCCATGCCTTGTTGTGGGGCGTATATGCATTCATCTCGCTGTCATGTCTGCACAAGAAGCAGCAGCATCCCGTAACTATCACTGCTAAAGGAAAACATACTCCTTTTCGCAAGAGCAATATCCGCCACATTCGCCACGCTTCCACAGAATCTACAAACCTACACATGGAGACGTGGTGGCCCACATGTAAAGACACGTGGAGGTTCCTTTCAGGACCTTGATATTCTAGGCCGAATGCCTCTCCCCCCCCTTCCCCCTCACTCAGCCCCCTAATAAAACGCAGGTGTAGGTGTGCTGCCCACTCAACTACCCCACAATCCTGTCTCGTCCCAGACTGCTTGCCGCACGCCATGGGCATCGGCTTAGCTCACACGAGAGCACATAAGTCCTTGACTGAGTCCAGATATCCGAAAAGGTCGCCAACGTCATAAGTGATATGACGGAGCTGCGGGTTTGACGCCTTGAGACCCTGCTCGTACAGCTGGCAGACGCCATCCATTGCGTCTCCTACTGAGTCGTACTCCAGGTAAGTCCGACTCTCGCGCCTGTCCGAGAATTGTACCAACAATATTGTGTGTGGCTGCAACAAGCACCATATCACACGGCCCTCAAGACGCAACTAAAACCCCCTGCACACACCCCAGCGCTCACCAGGAAGCAAGAACGAAGAAAACCCACAGACAGAGAGAACGTGCACAGACACTAATCCCGCTGCAACTTCTCTGAAGCGGATTTTCCGCTCGCGCAAATACCCTCTCATCTACGCCCAGGCCTGCTACCTGAGAGCTTCCCTCAGCTAGCAGCTCTGCTAATGGCTCAGCAAGAAGCAGCAAGTCACGCATTCTGCAATTTAGAGGACTTTGAGGTTCCACGTTAACGGTGCATGAGGCCTTTGTCGTCTGCAGAAGTGTCCGGTATCCCACGTGCAGGAAAAAGAGGAATCTGCTAAATTAGGCTAAAGGAATCGGAACCGGCAACAGCAGCTAAGTATTTGATCTGGCTCACCATTGTGAATAAGGGTATCAGGTGCCTGTCGCTAACGGCTGGTGGGGTTGCCTCTTGCTCTGAGAGGGATGGCCCAAAGCACTCTTTGCTGTCCGTCCAGCGAATAGGGGTTGGTGGAGCGCAACAGGATCTGCCGCAAACGCCACGCACAGCGCTCAGACTACTCTCCTCCAAGCGCAGCGCCTGTTCATGCAGATGCCCTGAATACCAAAGCTGTCGCTGAGTCGTTTACAAAGGCACGTATGGGTCTGCAGGGAAGCGCTCAGTATGGTGGGCCTCGTGATGCTGATGGATTTGGATGCTGTTGCCTCTGCAAGCAGATCGATAGCAGACTGATGAAGGCAGCAAGCAGAACCCCTCAAATGACCAGTCAATCAGCAGGAGGCCCGCAAAGGGGTGGCCGCCGAGAGCTATAGGGGCAAACAAGACAGAGACAAGAATAGCATCAAAGTATCCCTGCAGGTAGTGCAGGAAAGAATAAAGAAGCAAGTGAGGAGGGAATTAACGTGCTTTAAAGACTATGAGGCTAAAAAAAGCAAAGGCCCTCGAAGGCTCCAACTGGGCCCTGTGGCCAGCCCATAACGCATGCACGCTAAATAAGATATTTTGCCTCCAATTGGCTGGTGCCAATTCAGGCATTATTCATTTTTTGCGTTTATATATTACTAATGCGAATGGTTTCATCCGATACACCTAAGATTACCCAACCTTCTTTTACAAGTCTACTTGACAAGCCTCCAGCTCTTCGCCCTGGTGGTGCCCACTAGCTGCAGTGTATCCAATCTTAGCACGAAACCCCTTAATTCTTGACCCTTAACCCTCAGCATGACTGGTAAGCCTGCTGCTCCAGTCATCGGTTGGACTACCTGCTTCAGTGAATGCGGTATTTGATTCCGATGCTGTGCATCCGTACACAGTGTGGACGGGTTAAACAGTGGCTGACTGGAATCGAAGGAAAAGCTCCTTGAGATGGACATCCAAATATAAGGCCTCCTTTCCATTGCGGCAAACAGGGGTGGGCTTGCGCTGTACCAAAGATATAGAAAAGGGGAACCTTATCTCTCTGCGGCGTGAATAACGCTCTGAATGCAGATGGTTAAGCTACACTTGAGCACATTATACTACACTACTTGAATACGATTATAAATCTGTAAAGACCTGGCCAGCTCGCTTATCTGCTCGTGTACCGCATGTTTTGTAAAGTGGATTTCGCTCGGTACAAAAAGCTGCAATATTGTGTGACTAGGCACTAGATGCTGTGTGCTACCAGTATTGAACGGTCGGAGCATTGAAACGGTGCATCCTCGAAGGCCCTATGGGCCCCTCTTACCTCATTTAAAAAGCAATCCAAGTGGCGTGGGCCGACGAAGGCCGAAACCCGTTAAGGAACCACTCAATGGCTTGCTATTTTGTTTGTTTGCATTCAGTTAATTGTAGCCCTATGAACGACTTAGATGCATCATTACGCTTGCTGCTACCTCATACTATCATGTAAATGCTGGCCGCTCATCTACTGGCTGTGGATGCAGTAGGACCTCATATTTTTCTAAAATGGTTGCCTAGTTTTAGAAGGGCAAATGGCAATTTAGTGGTTTCCTCCTTAGGCAACATTTTGTCAAAACAACTCTCAGTTGATGGACTTGTTGGGGCCAAGCAAATGTGACAGTAGCTCCACACCTGGTAGATGTAGTTAACTTCCAGTCAATAAAATGTTCACGGATTGGTTGATGAATTTATACCAAACATAAAAGCGAGCCAACTGTAAGGCTCGGTAGGCGCTCGAAGACTTTATCAGCCTGATATAGGTGTTCTCCGCCTTTTACCCCCATACTAAGAAAAAAGGCTACTTGCAGCATATTTAGTTTAGGGAGAAGCAGTTCAATGGTGACTCTTTTCAAGTAGAGAAAGTCGTCTGCCTGCATTAATCCTACACATTAAGCTTTCACACAAGCCCTCTTTTTCGTCGAGGTGGGCTCAACTACAAGCTGTGAGCGAAATGAGAATGTTGGAGCGCAAAAGCTATCAGTATATTGGTACATCGCGAAATGCAAAACTTTGTGCAACAAAAGCCACAACTTGGACGAACAGCTGCTTTGTCAGTGGTTCTCCCCGGGCCCACCTGCAGTGTCACGTCAGTTGGTGGCAAGACAAGCAGTGACTCAGCAATAAAACGAGGGACCAGTGACGCTTTCCCAAATAATGGTCTAGATGGACCACTAGAGGCTGTAAGATCAAACGAGCGCAGCTCCTGTATCGTTGTATGAAAAGTTAGAAAAAAGTCCAGACTTACAACCCATCAAACTCGGGTCGACAGGTTTAACAAACTGTATAAGGTGAAAGAGAAAAGAAACCCATAAAGGACTCCGTGCTCTTGAGCAGCACTAGATATCCCCTAGACAACGCAAGTGTTTCTGTTGTGGGATATTGAGTCGTGTAGTCCAGAACTGCAAGCGCATTCAAAAAGCCAAAGACCTTGACCAACGAAACGGGGCTCAGCGGATGCAGGTTGCTTGGTGAGCACAGAAAACACATCAGAGGACCGGAAATGCCCTCCAGACTGCAGGGTAGGGAATGGGCTTACTGATGGAAGAGCCGCAGATAGGTACCCATCATCGGTCATTCGTACCTACCAAATAATTTCTCGTCACTTTCATCGTTTCAGCGAAACCCCAGCAGGGATATCCAAAGAGATAACCCGAACATAATGCGCTGTGTTGGGATGTAGAAAAATGCCTAGACTGTCTATACGGGTGTCATTCTTCTTCCTAGAGTAGCCAGTAGTCTTTATTGTGCCGTACGAAGAGTTTTAGGATTTTGATAGCCCTAGAGCCGTTTGCCTGCTTGGCTTCCTCCTGCAGCAAGATTTCACAATGCAGTTCACTATGGGCCTCACCAATGTACATAAATACTTTTGTCTATGATGACCCACGGTGTTTATTAAACCTGCGCGACTCCGATGCTTTTGCCACTCATGCATTTGGCATTACTGCCAAGAATAAGAATGGTAGGAGGATGAATCACAGCCATATTGAGCATGCCCTCTGTGATCCAGAACAAAGCAAGCACTCTGTAGTCTGTACACTCTGACTTCGCTCTGCAATGACCTTTCGCACAAAGCACGGGATCATGTTTCATAAGTCCAAGATGGGATTCACATTGCAGCACTGTTATCCCCGGCTTGCCAGCAGTCAAAGCCGCACAATCTGCAAAACCAAGCCCTTACAAGTCGTAAGCTTCATGAATGGATCAAGTCTAATGTAAATTTGACTTCATGGTCAGACTTTCGAAGGCAAAAGGTCAGGCTAGCGTCTATGTCGTTGCAGACCAAGTAAAATACGCGCGTTTTATACCATACTCCAGGTCTATCACAGCTTAATCAATCGCTCATGTATCCTCATCTCATGGCTGGAAGCTTCATATTTCTCAGGAGTATCGTGATGTTTGGGAATCTGAGATTTGGGAATGCGTTCTGGCGTGAATCCATGACCTGCCTGCGCAATTATTATAACATGACCACTGCTGTCGTAGCTAAGACAAGTGGGCAGACAAAGCCCACGACCCGCACCCTCCTGCACTGCTTGCAGTCTTCTGCCCGCAAAAACCCAAGTGCCTGGCTTGGCTTTCTTCCTTGTGCTGAGTGGGCTCAATCTACAAAAATGCACTCGGTGCACTTCCGCATCCCTGGCATGCACTAGGGAAAATCTCTCTGCTTGGGGCCTGGACCCTGTGGTCCATGGTCAGTAGACACCCTTAGCAGCAGAAAGATTCGAAGACGAGCTGGCTAGTGGACGCGAATATATGCGCAAAGATGAAGAGAAACAAGGGAAGAACAATGATATGCTGCAACCCGCTGCGGGTTTCGAGCCTGATTGTTTGGTCCAGCTGGACCAGCAGGTTCTATGAGGTTTACGGGGGGTTTACCAGACGAAAAAATTTGCGGTCAGGTTCCTAGGATCGTTTGCGGTTTTCTCACATATCGCATTTCTTTCGTACTCCATCAAATTCCCCGATAGTTGGACGTGCCACAGCACTTGTGAGTATTGGATACCCAAAAGAATGTTCGATTCTGCAAACGTTTTGCTGATCTTGCCGAGTAGGCAAGTGACCCGTGTGTTGGTAGAGGATCCACAGAGAGGCAGGCGGTAAAAGTGCTGGTACCTAAGACTAAAGCATTGAATTCTTGGATTCTTAAGCGCCGATGGCATACTACATGGAAGTTTTGAGTGAAATAGGGTGACGAACGTCAACTTCAATGGTTGAGAAAAAAGCAGCTGCGAGTTTGGTTATTTGAGGAAAACGGCTCGGTTTGGTTAACAAGACTAGTCGCCATGGACGATATTCCTTGCGCGCTGATGTAGCTATCCTTCCCCAGCACATGCTCTGTCTGAAATCATTGGTTCACCTATGTGTATCGCAATCCTAAATTTCCGTCTCTTGCACTTTTGTGGCTTTGAAATTGATTATACTGCATGCATCAGCTGTTTTCCCAAGAGGTCACTTTATGGCGCGCGAAAGCTTTGCTAAGCTCGTGTGCTTTTTTGATTCTGTTTACACAATTGACTCGTGTTCCTCTGTCTCTTACCGGGAAGCTCACTAACCTAGCGCTTCGATGACAGCGAGCCATCGCGTTGCAGCGGTCCTGTTGGTGCGGTGCCTCGCCCGTTGTTGCCTAATATGCGTGTGTGCCTGTCTTTGCAAGAAGTCTTGTAAAAGGTTGATGCACACTTCGTGTTTCTCACCTGCACTGTTATTTCGCATTTCTTCTGCCTGGACAGTGGCGATAAGGCGGGAACTCTTCCCCTACCTTGCACGCAGTTGGTCTCGCAGTGCAGGTACGGAGCAACACGGCGGCGTATTTTTTAGTCGGTGGAAAGGATGTGGCGGACCAAGCTACACTTACACTTTCTACTACACTACCTATGTTTATACCAGTTTTTTGTCAGTGCTCAACCCTAGGTCTGTCCATACGTTCTTTTTGTTTATTGCAAAGTAATGGAAGTCGATAAAAGAGGACGCAACATGTTCCTCTGCTCCAGATGCAATGTGCAAATAGTTGTGGACGAGTACTTGGAGCGTGGAACTACGCGCATCCTAATTGTTGCTCTCCCCGTATGTGGAGAACTTCGAGGGTCGCGGACAGGTGAAGGCGGGAGGGATGTTTGGAAAACAACGAACTTTATAACAAGTTTGTATCGGGTGTGGAGTTACGTGTCTCCCTATAAAGAATTTAGACGGGGAGTTACAGCAACTCCATCAACATCGCTGTAGCCTACCGAAAAATTCGTATTGAGCCACCACCGAGAAATAAACTCACAGACCGTACGTTTACAGAGGCAGGAGGCTAACTGGCTCCGATTCCTCAACTACGTGTGTAAAGGCAGACAGAGCAATGCGTGTGCACGGTTATAGTAGTGAAAAACACGGTTCCCTGCCTCACTTAATCATGCCGGGAAAACAGCCGTATTAGCTTTCCGAAGCCATGTTCCTTAGGAGGACGGTGCATGCCCGCTCTGCTACGAAGGCTGATGGCGTACAACAGATATTTGTGTTTCCGCCCGGTGTTACTTTATGCAGTCCTCTGCACAGGCTTCTACCTTCCATAAAGTGTCGTTTACAGGAAACTTCCTTTTAAACATCGTTAATTTACCCCGAGAGACCTTACAAAAGTAAGGCTGTATTGGGCCTTACTGCCTATCTGTGGCAGTAAGGGTGGTCCCTACACTGATTAGATTATCGCCTCACACCGTACCACAGGGTCAACTAGACATGCTTAGAGCTGGTAACAAATCTTGGATACAAAACCAAGAGGTCATTCCTAGTATGTTGAAGGGTAGTGACGGTGAACTGTACGCATGTTCCGCCAAAAAGTGCACTAACGGATCCAGAGAAAAAAGTTACTAAATTTTGTGACGCCGCTTGAAACTTAACAATCAAGGGACATTTCGCGTTCTTGAGGCCAAAAATGCAAACTGGAGTCACTGAGATCACATATTGGGGCTGCCCGCCACGCATGCATGCGGAAATGGTCAACGGGGCTGTTGTATGCACACACGCATTCCTAAACGGCAATCACCCTTACAAGGAAGGCAGGTTGTGGAGAGAACCCTCATAAGCTCTCTGGGAGAGCGTCTTCAGGATAATGATACTCCTGGTGACTCCGAGAGTCGTGACGCATTTCCACAGCACTCATCTGGTTTTTTAGTTAAATCGTGATATAAAAACAGTAGTAATGCTAACTAGATGCCTCGACGGCTTTTGAGTGAAGTGTGAAGCTCCTATCCGACACCTACCATGAATGATCAACCTAGCCCATTTGCCCCTGTTGGTAGCCCCCATTCAGACATTTGTTGACTTCTCTCAACATAAGTTCTTCTATTGGCCTTCCACATTTTTCTTAAGGCATGGATGCACTTAGTGCACACATCCCTGAGGATGGGACCAATAATCAATTGGCAGAAGAGGGCCTGCAAGGGAGTCAGGAAGGGCAGCAAAACAATCAAGAATCAAGCAACCTAGTGGCGCTAAGTTTCACAGAAGCCGAGGAGAAAAAGCACAAGCGGAAATTGCAGGAGTTTAGACAGTATCTGGTAGATACCCGGGTGGTCCCAGTGCTAGTAGAGCGTACGTTGTTGATGCACGCCCATACCTCTTCACTTTTAGACTACAAAACCTAGTCATTCGGATAAAAAGGGTAAAGCACAATGGTAATCTGTATATATACACAGAAGTAAGGGCACTGAAGGCCCCTAGGATCCACAGAAATTGACCTTCCCCTATGAGCACCTCTGCGACCTTTGGGGTCCCTAGCGGCATCTTGCTGAATTTAACATTTTCTACATTGTAGATCGCCTAGCGGCTAGAGCCTAGCCTTCCTTTCCTTTCACCAAAGACTGCGTAGCTTAGTAGCACTAAGGTGCTGCCGTCGTGTGAACAAGTATTCGTTTCTTTAGAGCGTTTTTCAGGCTCATGTGGAGCAGCTGGTACTACCATGATGAGCTGTTGTACTCAGTCCTTTTGAATATGCAACAAGGCGAGAGTCTGCCAGCTGATCCGCAACAGGTATTGATTGACCACTTTGGCGAGTACAGGTGAGAGGAACATGCTGCTGATCCAGCCGCCGTAGCGACAGGTGTAGCTTCAAGAAATAAACCCGTTGCTGCTGCCTGTCTCAGGAGGTCATGTAGATTTGGCCTGTTGCAGGGACCCTATTCTGGATGTAGTTGAAGAACTCACGAGCACCAAAGAGTCACTGATGGCCGAAAGAGCACAAATGGAAGATGTGCTAACCGCCCTGGGTGAGTACTGAGAGCAGTAGCTTGTACGGCAGAGCCACTTCAGATTCTGCCAAATGATTTAACCAAAGTAGGGCCACGGTTGACTGTGGAATTGTGGTGATCGAGTTGCTACCGGCTGTATTGGCATTCAAATCAAACAGGATCTGTACCAAATGTACAGAGACGAAGAGGGAGATTCTCAAAGAGCAGAAATGCAAGCAGAAGTTGTGGAAGGCCATGTGCAAACAAGGGGTGCGGGCGGTTCTGGTGCTGCGGTGCAACATTTTTAGAGCACTGAAGCTTCATTCGGCTGAATAGGGCTTGGAGTTCCTTAGCGCCAGGACGGGTCCACTGTGCCATGGACAAATAAAATAATGTAGATGCTTACATAGAGATATTTATACGTGCCTTCCCTGAGGTTGAGTTTTCCCCACAGTTCTTTATCACGCACCCGCATGCATCTGCCTTCATTTTTGTTGAGACCATGTCATATTTCGGTCTTCCCTACCTCTTTGGCTAGAGCAAATGTTTCGCGGACTTCTACTGTTGGATGTTTGTAGGCTTCAATTACAAGTCTGACGATCTATCAGAAGCTAGCTGACAAAAAGAAACCAAAGGCGCCCTTAAAGAATGTCGTTTTCACCCAAGAGCTCTTCCTGCACCTTCTCGCCACCCTCCCCCAGGTGCCCAGATACATTGTGGCGGCTAGAAAGCAACCCTGGCTTGGGCGAACTCGAAATATGTCTCGGCATGAGTTTAAGATATACGATTGCACTGGGTAAAAGTAACTGTCAAAGTATTGGTCATGCATAAAGCCAAGTGCTTTCGCGTTTGACGGAGAGGAACAACTCCCTTGCACACTACCGCTGCTATATTAGTGCGGATCGACACACAGATGGGCAACAGCGTTGTTTTATGGAGCTCCACCCACATGCAGGGATCACATAGTTGGTCATTCCTAGATTCCTCGGCTAGTAGGACGACTTTCTCTTTGAAAGCGTTTCAGACACGGGGCTTGTCGGCACATGAAGCCTTTGGAGCTGTATGCTATTTTGATTACTGCCACTGCTACAGGGAATGCCGGCTCAAATATTAGAATATGTCTGCCCCACAGGAGAACCCATGGAATGCCTTCCCTCAGCAAACCTGAAGGATGACGGGGAGAACCCTATTTTGAACGCAGTAGGATGCATGTATCCCCATTGAAGCGGCGCAAGCAGCAGTTCAGGGGGTCTTTGCGCCACAGCAGCTGCCGTAGCGAATACTGGATCCATTGCTACGACATCAAACAAAAGCCTCGACAGCCGTTGTGTGTTTTGCTACCCTTCTCTATAGGTGGTTTATGCAATGAACCATTTCCAAGTCAAAGAAGCGTGAATTCAAGAAGTAACGCCGCAGACTTGAAGTGAAAGTACACCCCAGCGTGCTCGCCAAGACGTGCCGCCCCACCTATATTCCCCTCCCCCTCACAGGGCCCTCTAGGCCCCCCCAACCATCCCACATCAAAAAAAATTAACTGACTGTGAAGGCCTCCTTGAGGATAGGGGAGACCACACACAGACAACAGCCCTTAGTGTCTCAGGCTCTGCAGGTGCTACACTACAAAGAATTGTGTTGTTCTGGCCCTGTGATCCACATTTTCCGATCTTAGTACTAGTGAGGGGTGGCTGGGGAACCACAGGCGCTCCCCTCTGGGTACGAGCTGCATCTGTTCATATACACCTCGCTAAGGAGTCAAACAAAACCAATGCCACGGCTCTCGCTGCTGCTGCTGCTCTACGCAGTCGTCACTAGGCGCAGCGCATCCTGTAACGCTGTGGTATAGTGGTTCACCGCCTGCACAATATCATCGTCAGCGCCTTCGCGGGCCTGAAAAGAACAATCAAATCTTTACGTTATGAAATTAGAGTCCCTCCATATCTCCCCAAAATTCCGTCCAACAAAAATCTGCAGAAGCACATGCCCTTGCAGCATTAGCATCGAGTGGAGCTGCACGTACCTGGGACTCGAGAATGAGCCCGTTCTTTAGTGCTGCAACTTCCTCGAGAATGAAAGTGTGAAATTTTTCTTCTCCTCTTTCCCTAATCCGCTTTGCTTCTTCCAGCTCTTCTCTCAGCTGTTCAATCTTCTGTTCTCTCGCGTTCTGCAGCAAACGGGCATGATGAGCAGAGCCGCACGCATGCAAACACAGAGGGGCTTCTTCTTTTCAGGATTACGCAGGGCCGGCTGCCTATCTAACAAAGCATGGGGCCACTAGTGTATCAATTGGCAAGAAGCGGCTACTTGCAATACGGGCTACGATACAAGGCACGCACGCGTCTTCTTCCTGTGCAGCCACCTGAGCTAGGATAAGGATTGCGTGCACTGCTTTACCTTTTCAGCCTCAAATTTTCCTTCTGTCCTGTATTCTAGGTCTCCCAGCCGTTTGGCTAGCTGCAGCTCTCTCTCTTGTCGGCCTGACTTATCGGTTTCGAATGCGTGCTGCAATATACACACACACACACACCACGCAGGAGCTTCAAGTGATACAGCAGCATTCAATCGAATCACGGCTATGGAGGAGGCACATTGAGCGCGTTCCAACATGAGTTCTCTGCAGCGTCAGCGCATGAAGCAACACCTACCTGCAGTGAGGAGATATCGTTGGAAATAGCGGCGTTTTTCTCCTCTGCTTCTCTCGCTTGTTTGTCTCTCTCAACGGCAAATTCTCGCTCGACAAGAGAGATTCTCTCATTCAGCGCATCCACCCCGCATTGCAGCTGCTCAAACTTATCTACGAACACCTGAGAGAGCTTGTCCTGCACCTGCAGCAGCTGGCTCTCGAACATCTGCAGTCAAACAAAGGGGTGAAAAAAGCTCAAGAAAGCGCAAATCGAGATGCTCTCAGGGTGCAAAAAATGGCAACGACGGCTGGCGACTGCTGGAGTATTCATTGAAAGTGGGAAACCGGCATGGGACAGTCAGGCAAAAAGGAAGGCAGTGGATGGGGGTTTAAGATGCAATAAGGAGAGTCAATACAGATGCTCCACGACAGGATAAATACGTACAAAGGAAAAGGGTGGGGAATAGGCTAGCATAACCGCAGAAAGCAACAGTCTCAAGGCCCCACCCCTACCCCCTCCCTTGCGATGCGTGGCCTTTGCCACACACACCCTGCAGAGCGCAGAGAGACTCTTGGAGGAGCTCGAGTCACGCCTTTGCGCGGAAAGAGGTGGGAGGAAGCAGGGGGTCGGATGCCGGGTTCTTATTATGGACACTACGGTGGTAGCCATCGTACCGCTTGCAGGGCCTTATTGGCTTCCACCCGTCGCTTGATTTCTGCATTCAGGGTTTTCTCCAATTTGGAGATAGCCTCTTTTATGGCAATGACTCTGCCCTCTTCACTTTCCCGTCTCTGCTTTGCCTCTGTTTCCATTTGGCGTTCAAACCCGCAGATGCGTTCGGAGAGGACAGCCAGCTTGGATTTCGTGGTGTTCGAGAATCCCAGCTCGGCTGCAAGGGCCGAAGCCTTGCTCTGGTGCAGATGATCCATGCTTTTAACGCACCAGAGGCTGCTGGACTGCTCTTCGGGAACTGTCGCGTGCTCTTGACGCTTCTCGGGGAGCTGTTCCCGGTGGCACTGCTGCAGGAGGCCTCGCCACGGGACTCAGCAGAGCCAAGACGAGAAACCTTCGTTGGACAGTTATTCCACCTGAAGCAGCCTCTTGCCGCTACAGCGGCACCCAAGCAGCGGCTATGCCGCAAGACACCTCCTTAATCTTCGTCACTTTTGCGGGCGTGCCGGCACGAGGCGCCGACAAAGGGCCCTCCAAGGCCAGACCCAAAATGCTAAATCCTGCCTACACCCCTCAGGGCCTAGCCACACTACAAAGCTTGCAGTGGAACAATTAAAAGATACACTTAACTGCGATGAAGGAAGCAGGCACAAATACCACCGGGCAAAACTGGGCCTGACTGCTGGTCCCCCAGTCGGCGGTGGTTCCTCTGTCTGCCGCTGCCAACGCTGCCACTAGAATGCGCCCACGACGATCAAAAACTTTAGCCAAAAGCCGAATGCCTTTATCTGCGTGAGCCGCGCTGGAGGGGTCAACAAAGCGGCAGACTCCTGAAGGCTGGGGAGGGCCTTAGCCGCTGCAGCGGGCCTCGAGCTGCAGCCAGCTGCTGCTGCTGTTGCTGTTGCCACTGCCCTCGCAAGCGCTATTCTTTCCCTTTGCTGTTGACAATAGAAAATAAAACAGCAAAGAAGCAAATAGAGAAATGAACGGAGAGCTCTTCGCTGCAGTACCTGGCTGCTGCTGCTGCTCCTGCAGTCACTGAATTGCTGCTGCTGCTGCTACGGCGGGGTGGCACTGTCTTTGCCGTGGCATCTACGGCTATATAGACAAAGAAGCAACTTTGAAATAATATCTTCCTTTTCTTCGAGCAGAAAAACTGGGCCCTCGACGGCTGCCGAGGCAGAAGATCCATAGCAGCCGACATGCTGCTTCTGGTGCAGCTGCTGCTGTGGCAAGACACAAGCCACCGGGCATTGGACAAAGAGAGGCAGCTTGCATCCATTAAAATAAAACAGGAGCTGATGCGCTCTACAATTCGTGATTCTGGAAGCGCACATACGAGTGAACAGGTTACACAAGAGTCTTGGCTGGTGCACTTGCTGCTTTCAGCAGTCAGTAAGGCGGCCGGCCATTGACTCAAGTGGTTTGCTCAACATTGGACAAAACCAATGCACAAGCCTGCCTCGACCTGATCATCTGGCTCTCCAAGAGACTGGAGCCTGCATGAGATACAGAGGCCTGCATGTGAGATTTTTAGGCGGAAGGTGTCCAGTGTCTTCCAGTTTCACAAAGCGAACTCCAAGTTTACGCACACACGTTGCAGCGCGCTGAGCTACACTTCAACACTTTCTACTACACTACCTACGCTAACTAAGGATTAGTAACGATGACCAATCGGCTGTCTGTTCGTGTACCGTTTTTATTGCTGCAGTGCACTTAGCTTGATAGAAGAAGATGCAATGGTGTCGTCTGCGCGTGCGCTAGGCGCTATGCACACTAGTTAGGGATGCACGGGTTGCTCCAAGTGTGCAGCTGCATGCAACGTACTAGCTGTTCCTCTCCCCTCATGCCGCATCCTTAGTGGCACGGTCAGAAAAAGGAGGCAGCTGCTTTGCGAAGACACTCAATAACTTTGTGTTTGCTATTTATTGAGTCCAAAGTTGAGTGTTTCCCCACAAAGGCCTCTTGTGGAACATTGTGTAAGTGGCCTCTTATGGTGTCAGAGACTCAAAGAGTGTGACGTAAAGCAGTGACTTACCTCGCAATTAAATTGTTTCTACTTTGCGGCGTTGCACATGAAAACGAAGGAAGGTGCAGTCTTAGCTCATTAGCATACACGTGAGTAGCGTGCATACATAGGCACATAAGAGCTGAACGCAATCGCTCTACAACTCGAGCACTTCGGCTGCTCTCCGAAGTAGCCCAGCCCGTTAACAACGAACAGTCCGTAGTATGTGCCAGGAATTCACTGAGAGTCTAGATACATATTAACTTTGCTAAGGTTAGCTTCCGAGCAAGTATTCTGCTTAACGCAAGCGGCTGAGAGACAGCTCAAATTTGGCGCAAGCCTCCATAAGCAAAGAAGCCCAGACAGCCGCCAACGCGACGGTGTCGGGCCCGCAGCCCAGTCGTCGGCTATAACTGACTCCTAGTTGTGCCAAGACCAAACCAGAGTTAGCCAACAGGTATAGCGATTGTGCACATTCTTCACAGGACGAGACACAACACGGCATTAGGATATAGAGAGGCAGTCGGCTTCACCAACTTTCCGGAGTCCTTACTTCGGTGTAAGCGAGCCTTGTTCGACAGATACAGACACGGACTGCAGTTGCAGTGCGTCACTTCGGCTTCCATAGGGAGACCCCTTATTAGCACCAAACCCAATACAACCATGAAGTAACGCAAAAGTATTCTTGCGTGCCACTCTAAAAGAGCTGCTGCCTGCCGATGCCCTCTGCACCCTACAAAACTACGGCAATACATGAGAGCGAGGGCCATCGCAAAGGTTTGTGGACGTTGCTGCAGCCTTTGAACAGGCCAAGCTTGCGCAAACAGTAGCATACACTTGTACTACACGTACACAATCTTGATTCTAATCGTATTCAATGAGCTAACTCTTATCCGCAAAAGAATCAAATATGAACAACCAAACCAATAATCGTCTACCTACTAATTCTTGATTACATCTAAATAGTGCCGCAGAAAGTGCCTTCGTGTAGAGCTCGACCGACTACAGCAATGGCCAAAGGGGTGCATACGGGAATACTGTGGTGAAGGAATTCGCACACTCGAGAACAACAGCTTGGACAGAAAACACGGAAGCTTGAATCATGGTAACGAGGGGCCAGCACCGCCACTAGGGGCACAGCATAAGAAAGACGGAAGGGGTGCGAACTCCTTTCAAGAGGGCTGAGCCCTAACTACTCCGTGGGGAAGAATGGAAGTGCCTAGCTCCAGTCTTGTGTTTCTCTACTAATTGATGCAGCCAAGATACATGTCTTGGCCAACTAGACTCAAGATCTCTTTTCATGTCGCGTCATGCCTTTGGTGTCAGAACCATACGTAAGCTCCCCCTATAGCCAGTGGCAGCCCGTGCCTTTTGGTGCTTGGTGTCTGGTCGTGCGATTTGCCAATTGTGTCCAAATAAGCTATGGCAACCCTAAGGCACTATCCTGTGCTAACTGCCTACGATTTCCTGAACTCAGAAACAAGTCAACAGTTGAAACACCAGATGGAGGGTAAGAAAGCACATCACTGGATTGCTTACTCTTCCAAGAAGCCGCTGTGGAAGCGGCTTCTCTAACGGCTCTTCTACAATGCACACCACGGGCCCGTTTCTATGTGCCCCTCTAAATCAATCATGGCACAAGGGGGATTCGCTTCACCTAGATACATGGACAATTGCACGACCCTGACAAAAAACTTTGCTAAATGCCACTCCCAGGCATCCTATAGTTCCTATTGTGCAGGGCAGCTTCCATGAGTGGCCGCGGCAAGCGAATGCACTGCGGAAGCGACTCCCGCAGTCGCTGTCGCTACCAGTGCTTGTGCTGCCTTTAAAGCGTTGAATGCTACAGCGCGACAAGGTCTGCATCCTCCATTTGCCCTACAGAAAGATACCCCCAAAGAACAACAACCCCACCCCTTGACGAGGAGATGCCGCCGGTGAGAGCCAAAGGAGCTCCTCGGGGGTGTGGTGCAATGCAGCGGATTTGCTGCTGACTCTGGGGGCTCACGCTGCTGCTACAGAGGAAACCTGCAGGCAAGCAACGACAGAGCCAAAAACTGACAGAGAATTCGATGCACGGCATATCTTCTTCACGTGTTTGACTTGCCATCTGCCTGTCTCGCTGCTCCTCTGGCTCAGCCTCCACCCGACAAAGTCCATACCTGAGCTCGCATCCCAGAGGTGTAGGGCTCCTCCCAAATGTGCTGGACCGCCAACTCCCAGAACTTTGTCCCTCCACAGGCTGCAGCAGAAGGCCCTTGCCGGGGTGCGCATATCGCCCCCCAAGGGGCCCTCAAACTTGGAGGCCTCATTGCGGGCCCACTCCAGCAGAGTCTCTTCGTTATCGTCTACTGCTGCTCCTGCTGCTGCGGCTGCAGATGCTCGTTCCGTAGACCCTTCAGCAAAGCTCTCTCCCTCGTCGGGTGATTTCTTGGGGTACGCCGCAGTAACAGTGGCAGTGGCCTCCGCTTTCCCTTCCTGTGCAGCATCCTGACCTCCCGTGTCGTCCAGGAATGCGTTGTTGAGAAAGACGTGGAAGGGCCTGCTGCTGCTGCTGTTGCTGCTGCTGCTTCCCGCCTTGCTGCTGCACTTGATGCTCGTGCTCTGCACCGCGAGCAGTTGGGGGAAGAGGCAGTCAGGTGAGATTAAGAGGGGGGAGGGTTTGAAGTCCACCACGCGCGGCTGCGTCTGTTTCCTTGGAGGCAACGGATAAGGCCGCAGGTGGTCCCAGGAAGAACCCCATACCGACATTTGCGCCCTGTAGCTCGTGTCGTGTAGATCCCACAGCTCGCACACTGGAAAAGACAGCAACCCTGGAGCGTCACCAGCAACACAGCCACAATGGACGAAGCACATGACGGAGGGGCGCAGCAGTAAGAAAAACAAGCGGCTGCAGGGGCAGCGTGTGAGAGAAGGTCGAAATAGGCATGCGCCCAGCCTTCAGGAGGCGTACAAACGCCTAACCAAGTCGCATGCAAAGCGGGGGCTGCAGAGAATGGCAGCATGCATGGGTGTGGGGCCCCTGGGGAAACGCCAGTAGGTGAGAAAGGGCCTTACCGGTGGCTTCTCGATTCCTCTGAGAATGCTGCCGCTCCCCAGTGACCAGAAGGGCCCTGCCGTTGGCAGAAAACTCCAAAGCGGTGTACACCGTCAGCTCATGCGTAGAGGGGAACGACAACAGCGGCTCGCAAGGATGCGGGGACAGGGGCAGAGACATCAGCTGCGATCAGTCCCCCCAAAGCACAGCGGAAGAAGCCAGATTCCCAAGACAGGCTCAATTGTATACGGGATCTAAAAGCTCAAGTCGAAAGACCTAGAATTTCCGCAAACGTACCGTTACATCGCCTCCCAAGGTCGCCACAGCAAAGCACGATTCCTCTGGAGAGACTGCAACGTCGGATATACCATCCTCAAATCGCATGCAAGAAAGAACCCCACGACGTGCCCCCATCCCGCCTCCGCACCACCAGTCTTGGGAGTCGCATGAGCTGAAGGGTTGCAGGGGGTCCTGGGGAGGCACTCTTATGTCCCAAAAGTTTAAAAATGCTTCTTTGGAAGAGGCAGATACGCATGCTGCGGCCGCAGAAACAATGCATGGGTAGGCGCCACACTTAGCCGGCAGGACTAACAGGAGCAGAAGCGGATGGAAAAGTACAACAGATGGGAAGCTGCAGCGGATAAAAAGCTGCAGCAGATAAGAAGCTGCAGCACTAGCAGCAGCAGCAGTAGGTGCCGATCAGTGGCATAGGAACAAGCAGCAACACGACCCCCGCAGGCGAGATATGTTGTAACCCCTGCCTGCCGGCTAACGCTGAGCGGTCCGAATGTCAGCAGCAACAAGCCGGAAATTGAATTGGTGGCGGAAAGAGTGCGGCAGCAGCAATACCAGGCAGCCTACCGTAAGGACCAACCGCGCGAAAGGAATCTATGGGGCCCTTCTGCGCATGCCAGCTGGAAACTTCTTTTCCCACTCTGGGATCGAGCAGAGCGATCCTTCCCTCACAGCTTCCGACCGCTATCAGGCCCTGCGCCTCTACCCAAGCCACACTACTGCAGGCTCTCCTGTTGTTGCCGGGGTTGCCCCTGCTGCTTCTGCTGCAGTGTGGCAGCGCAGAGCGAATACGAAGGCCTTCTAGATCCAGAAGGAACGTCTCCCCCGATGTGGTGCCAGCGACGGCAACAGTGGCTTCCGTGGGGTGTACTTGAAGACACCCCACAGCCCCAGAGACGCCTCCCAGTTCGAAAGCATGAGACGCCACAAACACACCGGCCACCCCCGTGTCTCCCGTAATAAGGCGAGACTCGCCGCTGGCGGAGGTGCGAACAGCCGCTGATTCCTCTGCACAGCCTAGCACGGAGCGTCTTGCTGCTGCTGTGATGGCTGGCTTTGCTGCCGGAGTTGCCACCGTTGTTGTCGCCGCTGCTGGCTCTGCTGGCAACCCGCTTAATGCGCGTTTCGTTAAGGCCCTCGAACGCTCGCCAGGGATGCTGAATAGGGGCAAATTAACGGTGCTGGGCATGGCCTGTAAAACGCTGCTGCCGCTGCTGGTGCTGCTGGTGTGGCCTGCACCATCTCCCTTTTGTTGCTGCTGTTTCTGGTGCTGTTGCTGTTGTTGTTGCTGGTGCTGTTGCTGCTGGTGCTGTAGTTGCTGCAACCGGGTGGTGTATCGGCATCTGGGGGCGAACACCCCTTGAAGAGCGGCTTCTGCGAGGGATACGACAAACTGATCCACAGCTTCATCCGACTGCTGAAGCAGCGGGGCAGAGCTTGCAGCAATGCTTCGCACAAGTCGTGCGGCGGCAGCAGCTGCTGCTGGCGCTATTGGAGACGTACCAGCACCTCTTCCTAACACCCTTGACACCTCGAGGGGGGTTCCCTCTGCAGGGATGAACCTGGTGCTCCTTACTTCGGCCACTCCGGCTGGTGCATCTTTTGCGCCACCGCTTCCCACTCCCTTGCGAGCGCTTGGAGGAGGAGCTCCGCGTGCAGCCGCAGTGGAGGAAGACGTAGCGGTAGCAGCAGATGCAGGAACCGCTGTTGCTGCTGTTGCTACTGCAGGCGACGCCGCGAGCAGCTGCATGCAGGCTGAAGCAGCGGCAGAGAAAAGCGCCTGCGTCACGGCGCTCCCCGAAGAGGCCGGAGAGGTGGTACCCGCTGTTGCAGCACTCGTCGTTGCGGCAGCAGCAGGAGGAGGCGACTCACCAGCTGCGGCGCTCGTAAGGCTTCTGTCGGTGTCGCCAACGGCGTCGCTGTACACAGACGGCACACTCGGCTCCATCCCTGGTTGCAGGGGCTTGCAGAGGCGCAAGATATCTTGCAACGGATCTGCATCTCCGGCTGGTGTGGATGCTGCGGCTGTTGAAGAAGGGTCGGCTACGTCCTCGTCCTCCTCCCATGGCAGATCCGACTCGCCAAGGCAGTCTAGAGCTAGCTGGCCTCGAATGCTCGTGCTGTGCAGCATTTGCTTGATAAAGTCGTTCTGCGTGCTGTGGGAGTCTCTCCACCTTTCTGGTGCCTCCTCTCTCCTCTCCGCTGCTAGCGATGTCTCCGCGCCGAGCGCTGCAGCAGAGACATCTGAAGAAGCGTCACTGCTTGCCTTGTGGAGTCTGTGGAAGCAACACAGTACCGCAGGAGGCGTGGGTGCTCCCTGGCTTCCAGGAAAGAGGCCGCTGTGCTCAAGTGCTGGTCCTGCAGCTGCTGCAGGAGCCTCCCCTGCCGAGCTGTGAGGTGCAGCCGAGGAACGCGGCTCTTCGTGCTGACTTGCGCTGCATCCCTGCTCTTGCATCCGTGGCAGTTGCTGTTGCTTCTGCAGTTGCTGCTGCTGCTGCACATCCGTCACCGAGGCGGCTCCAAGGCCACGATTTTGCTGCCAGAACAAAGCCTCCTCAGGGAGAGGGCAAACCTGCTGCTCGGCGTGCTTCTGATCCGGCTCTTTGAGCTGCTGCTGCTGCTGCTGCTGCACAGCTGGCCCTTTAGTCGAAGGCGACTCGGGCATCAATGCTCTGTCAGTCCTCTCCTGCTGATAGGGTCTGTGTTGCTCTTCTAAAGAGGCGTGCGGGTGTACTTCTGCTGTGCGTGCCGCAGGAAATGGTGGCTTAGCGACAATGGACGTAGTCACGGTACCGGTGCGTTTGCTTACGCTTGCCGAAAACGAGGAGCTGAGAGAGACTGCTGCTTCGCTGCAACTCCCCATGAGCAAACCTTCATGCTGGTCCTGCTGAGGGGCTTGCGGTGGGTGTGTCCGCTGCCGTTGATGCTGCTGCTGCAGCTGCTGCTCTTGGTGCTGCCTGCTGGCAGCATCCTCTATGGTGCTGCTTTTGCCGAGCTTTTGCAAAGTCTGATCCTTGCTGAGGAAAAGCGAGGCCCCCTCCCGATCGCGCCCGTCTTCCCAAGCCTTCGCGCTGTCTCTCTGAGCCTCCCCTAATGCTGCTGCAGCGGAGGCTACGATGGCACCATGGGGACGGTCATCCGTAGATCGGGGTTGCACGTGGGAGGGGGGATTTGGGAGAGGGAGGAAAGAAGGAGGACGTGATGGTGGGAACGATGGTGGTATAGCTGCTGCTGCTGGTGCTGCTGCACTTGCCGCTACGCAGCCACCCCCAACCCCTGCCTCCCCGTGTTCGAGCGCGTTGTTCGCAAAAGTCGCTGCATCTTCCCTCCGGATCGCTAGCTGCTCAGCCTCTCCGACTGCCGCTCCTGCTGACCATTGGTGCTGTTGCAGCCGGTGCTGCGCCTCAAGTGTGGGTCCTTGCGCCTCCGTGTCCTCTCTGTTTATCGCCTGCGCGTCTTCGTGCAGCTGAGAGGCCCCTGGAAAGCGCCCTGGATTTTTCCTGTCTTGAGAATCGCTCCTCGAAGTGCCCCTCCCACTGCAGTCTCCTTTTTGCTGCTCCTTTTGCTGCGCGGTTTGCTGCTCGTTTGAGAGCCGCTGGCGAGAGGCAGCTCTTGTTCGAGGGGATCGTCTGGAAGGATCTGCGAGACTTTCCCAGCCGGCCTTTTCCGCAGACACCCCTGGAGAAGACCCTCGCCGCTCAAAGGAGCGGCACTTATTAGCACCCGGTCGTGCCTTGGAAGTTCTTGAAGGCTCCCAGTCACTGTCATCGCGAAAGTGTGAGCCCCCTAGAGACCCCCTCCCCACGGACTGTCTGGAGGCAGAAGGAGCCCGCTCGCTTTTCCCCCCTCCTCCTGCAGGGAGCTGTTGCTGCACCAAGAGGGAGGAAGGACAGTGCGTGTCAGAGATACCTCGCCTCTCGTTAGACCGCCTGCTCCATGGAAGCTGCGAAAATTTACCGCGCGAGCTGCCCGTCCTCAAAGACGCCTCTGATGTGCCCCAGAGGGCACCCCTCTCCCGAGAGCTGTGCCACTCGATAGAGCAGCGTCTACTAGAGGACTGACTCTCAGAAGAGCAAGGTGCTTGCCGGATGGGCTGCCGTCTAGAGACATGGCGATCACCTTCATGCTCTACGGAAGGCCTCCCAGAGGGAGACCTACGGGAAGAGACTCTGTAACGAAGCCACCACTCTGGGGAGTGCCTCCTCGGTAGGCACCACCAGTCGTGAGTACCCCCACCTGTGTATGGAGAATGCCTTCTACTACGAGGACTCCTCGTGCTTCTGTGGCTGTACTCTCTTGTGGGAGTTTTGCTCCTGTGGCTGTACTCTCTTGTGGGAGGTTTGCTCCTGTGGCTGTACTCTCTTGTAGGAGGTTTGCTCCTGTGGCTGTACTCTCTTGTAGGAGGTTTGCTCCTGTGGCTGTACTCTCTTGTGGGAGTTTTGCTCCTGTGGCTGTACTCTCTTGTGGGAGTTTTGCTCCTGTGGCTGTATTCTCTTGTGGGAGTTTTGCTTCTGTGGCTGTACGCTCTTGTGGGAGTTTTGCTCCTGTGGCTGTACCCTCTTGTGGGAGTTTTGCTCCTGTGGCTGTACCCTCTTGTGGGAGTTTTGCTCCTGTGGCTGTACGCTCTTGTGGGAGTTTTGCTCCTGTGGCTGTATTCTCTTGTGGGAGTTTTGCTTCTGTGGCTGTATTCTCTTGCGGGAGTTTTGCTTCTGTGGCTGTATTCTCTTGCGGGAGTTTTGCTCCTGTAGCTGCATTCTCCTCTAAAAGTTTTGCTCCTGTGGCTGTATTCTCCTCTAAAAGTTCTGCTCCTGTTACCCTTTTCTCTTATGGGGCTTCTGCTCCTGTGGCTGTATTCTCTTTCAAAAGTTTTGCTCCTGTTACCGTCTTCTCTTGGACTTCTGCTGCTGTGGCTGTACTCTCCTCTAAAAGGTTTGCTTCTGTGGCTGTCTTCTCTTATGGGAGGTTTGCTCCTGAGGCTGCATTCTCTTCTGAAAGGTTTGCTTCTGTGGCTGTCTTCTCTTAGACTTCTGCTCCTGTGGCGGGGCCATGCGGCTGTTTCTCCGCAGTCGCCCTCCTGGGGAAGACGGCTGTTGTGCACCAATGTGTCAGAGGATGGCACGCTGCTGCTGCCCCCTCTTGCAGCTACAACTGCAGCCGCTGCTGCCGTGACTGCCTCCTCGACTGCCGCTGCAGTGGTTGCTGCGTCAAGCTCTGGTGGTCTCTCCAGGGAGGCAGCGCTGCTCGGGGGCCGCTCGGGGGCCCCGGGGGGTTCCCCCTGACCGTAGGGGCCCCTATAGTCCATATCGAGACGGCTGGAAGCTACAGAGATCGCCGATGTGGCTGCCAGTGCAGCACTGGCTGTTGTGCTGCTGGACGTTTGGTGCAGCTGGTGTCCATAGCATCGAGCACGCCGTACCTCCAGAATTGGAATTCACACACACAGCCAACGGTGCAGAGCAGCCCTGACAAGGGTGGGCTCTCATTTGGATGCTGGCGACGCCTTGGGGGAGTGAGGGCCCTCTGCATGCGCTGGAGCCGAGACGGGGGGCCCCTGAGCCCGCCTCTTTGGGGGCCCCTTCTCCTTATCACTCAAACGCCACAGGGGTGCGACACAAGAATAGAGGCCTCTGGTGTCAACTGGTGGCGTTCCAGTAGTGAAAGCCCAACTGCTCCAGGAACGCGGTACACACAGCTTGGGTATCGAGGGAAGCCTCTGGTGTGCTGCCTCTGCGGCGACGTCCTTCCGTTCGTGCTGCTTTTTGCGTTCGTTTTACAGCACCTCCTGGTGCCTAAGGAATGCAAGAATCATGTTATCTAGTGAAGGCAAGGCCAGAGCGGTCCGGATTCGTACGGCCGCTGACTGGTGGGCCCCCGGGGGTGGGCCCCTCAACATGGGGTCTGCTGACCAGACGAACACAGCCCGTCGGGGGCCCCTGAGCTCTTGCTGCTGCTCTTCCTATCTTTTCCTTTAAGGTCCCTGCACCCTTAGAGCTTCAAAGCAAGGGCTTTTTGCCTGCTGCCTTGCGCGCTTCAGGCCTAAGGGTAGGTCAAAAAACGCCCGCGACTGGCACTGTACGGGTTCCCTACGCGTGGACACGGAGGGCGTCTCCTTGCCGTTGTGCTGCAAGGCGAGCCTTTAATGAAAGCGGCCTATGAATGCCCTGAGAAACAGTTCGGCGTGTGTTAATCTAGGTATGTGTAAGGAAAAGAGGTTTTGGACCTCAATAAACCTCCCAAGTGTTAGCAGCAGCAACTGCCCATGCAGCGCTGGTGGCCACCGCTAGTCCGGCGGCAGCAGCAGGAACAGGCGTAGCAAGTATCCCCAGCACGACATTGCAGATGCTTGTTTCTTCCCTTTTTTCCTTTTCACTGTGTTTTGCCTCTATTCTTTGTTATTACCTGCCTTCGAGGTGAAATATCGAGGTGGTAGAAATGCTCGGGGGAGTTGCATCGACGTGCGCGTCGAGCTGCTGCTGCCGTTCTTGGTACGGTCGGTGCCATTGTTCTGTGCGTTGCTACTGCGAGTCCCCCCTCTGCCTCATCTATTGAGGAATATTTCTCCCAGTCACTCCCCCATTGGTGATCAGCTGGGCCGGCGTGCTGCCCCCTCCTTGTGACCTTGCTTTTCGAGGGTCCCGTTGTCTGTGAGCGTCCTTCCCGACAACGGCGACGGCGAGTGCAAGAGTTTATCCCTTCATCAGAGCAACAGTAGACACCACGCGGATATGCTGGCATTTGCCGGCTCGCCTGCAGCGTAGGTGGCTTGCACCCCAGCGAGTGGAGTGTTTTCATGGCCTGGCTGGTGTGGTTCGTTTGTTCTAGCTGCTCCCTTTTCCCTTCCACTCTTCCTTTCACGCGCTTCGCTGCGCTTTCCCAGGCTGCGCCTCCCCAGCACACTGTCTAGCCGTGACACACCACTGCTTTACACCCAGCCCCTTCGCGAAAAAATCTACCACAGCAGCAGCGCACAGCCCAGCCCCTCGGGAAAATGGGCTTAGGTGGCCGTCGCCACTCGAGTGACGAGCCGGAGGTGCCGGAGGTTGTGGGGCCTCTGTGGTATGGTGTGTGGGTATTGGGGTTGGTGGGAGTCGGGGTGTCCATTGCTGCGATGTGCCTGCCCGACTGGCGCGTCAGCCAGGCCATAGAGTTCCGGTATATGTTTAGGAGTAATGAACAGTATCAAAACTACCAGCAGACGAAGTGGGGCCTCTACAACATCTCCTTCGATGGGGGCCGTTCTATGGTGTCTTGGAGTGACCGCCTCACGACGAGCGAAGAGGCCATCACCAATGCAGTCCGCTTAGGCCAGCAGCAAACCACAAATGCGCAGTACCAGTCGTGGGCTGCACAGTGCCCCGCCGCCTGCCAGGATGCTCTGACGACGCGCCTCTCCTGCTACAAACGGATTTCCACAGTCAACACGCTTCTTCTCGGTATCCTCGCTCTCGGAGGAACGCTCACCCTTATCGGAATCGGCTGGTTCTTCCTCTTTGGAAAGATGGCCTACCTTATGATTGGTTGCTGGTTTGTGGCAGGCCTCCTCACCTTTGGTGCCCTAGGATACTGGGTTTGGGAAACAGACACTTGCTGGAACATGATCATTCTTTCTCAACAGTTTCCCCTCCCCAAATTCTCCACCGCCTTCTACCTCATGATCATCGGCTCCTCCCTCTACATTGTCACGACAATCGTCGGTTTTTTGGCAGAACTACTCGACAGGGCCTCTGAAAAACAGCAGAAAGACTTGCTCAAACAGCAGGCACTCATGGAGGGCATTGGAGGACCAGATGCCTTCGCTCCGGGCATGGGAGGACCGCAAGGGATGGGCCCCGGCATGATGGGGGCCCCTGGAATGATGGGGGGCCCCCCCGGGATGATGGGGCCTCCAGGGATGATGGGGCCTCCAGGGATGATGGGGCCCCAAAGTATGGGAGGACCAATGGGCAGACCGAGCGTCGTAGGGGGGCCCATGGCACCCGGAATGGCCCCAGGAATGGGCCGAGGTCTCCCTATGGGGGCCCGCCCGGGTATGATGGGAGCCCCTGGGATGGGGGGCCCCCCCGGGATGGGGGGCCCTCCCGGGATGGGGGGCCCTCCCGGGATGGGGGGCCCTCCCGGGATGGGGGGTGCACCCGGCAAGGGGGGGCCCTCGGGGATGATGGGCATGCCAGGAGGCGCACCACAAATGCAGAGGCCTCCCATGTAGGAGGGCCTTAAAAGTGGCGGTGCAGCTGGCCAAAGTGCAGGAAGGGGGCGCGGCCCCTCATGCCGGGAAGTTGCTGCAGACGCAGGGGCATCTGTACAAGCTCCCCAGGAGGAGAAGTGCAGCAGTGGCAGAACGGCCGTGGCACCACAGCGAAAATCTCCCGCAGGGCAGCGGCATGGCCACAGCAACTGCAAAGCAGCAACCGGGAGTAGCAACGAATGCAACCTACAGGAGAAAACCCTTACCTTCAGGTAACTATTAGTGGAGGCGCAGGTCTCTTGGTCATGGTTCAGGTACTTCGGCATCAAAGCTCTGAAGCAGCAACCGCAAGCAAGGTGTGCAGGCAGTTAGCGGCTGCCACTGCTGGCTCTCTTCGTTTGCTGCTATCGCAGCTTAAAGAGCCATTTGTTCCGTGTCTCTGAAGGTCTTGTCCCCAAGAGAGCATTTGTGCCAACAGCGGCAGGTGCAGCAGCAGCTACGGGGGTGATAACAGCAACCGCAGGTGTGGACATCCATCGGTGTGATTTAGGGAGAGCTGCTTCGTCACCGTAAATGTGGCAGTTGCGGCGAGCGAGGACTGGTGCTGCAGCGGCTTATGCTGCATTTGTCATAGCGGTTGCTTGGTGAGGCTCTTGGTGACGCACCTCGCGCTGCCTCATCTGGCCTTTTAGCAGCTTCATGTGAGGAAAGCCCTGTGTGTAGAAGGGGCCCTCTACGGGAGGCGTTACCTAACGTGTTTTGTTAGAGGCTCTTTGTAGCTGCTCCCCATATGGAAGCCTTAGCAATTGCCGCCAGCGGCTTTAGCTGTAGGAGAGCTTCGCTCATTGCAGCAGTAGCAGCTCTCTTGCTGGGGTACCAGCGCTGCTAGTAGCTGCGGGAAGTAATGGGCTGGCGCTTCAGGTGGTTTGCTTGAGAGAGGTTGCAGGGAGGGCGGCTTGGGGTCTATCTATTCTGGCAGTGCTAAGCCATTGTTTCCCATTTGCGGCATTTAACGAAGGTGCAGCAGCTGCTGCTGCAGTTGTAAAGTAAAAGAGGTCGAGTGGGCATCTGCAGATGTGGGTTAGCATAAGACCTCTAGAAGCACGTATGGGGGGAGTCGCGCGCGTAGCAGTCTCAGTAGGTGCTGCTATTGCACCAGGACAACAGTAGGGACCAAAGCATGAGTTGCGCCTGAAGCATGTGGAGTGGGGAAAGGAGTTACACTGGCAGCTACTCATTGGCTCCATTGACGCCTCGACAATGCCACAAAGGGGGGAGTTGAAGGAGGTTGGGAAAGTGCGTCAGCTCAGGAGTAGAAAGCACGCCAGCGGAATAGTAGTAGAAGCTGCACAAAAGCAAGCCAGTCTACGAAGTGTACACCACCTGGCAAATGCCAAAGATCGGGGGGAAGCCGGCACTTTCGTTCACTGGAAAGCTTCCAGTGCGCTGCCCATATGGGCAGGCAGCTGCGCCTGTATTGCCAGCTAGTGTTGCGGCAACCCGCACATTTCCTCAACGTGCGATCTAGGGCGGGGTGCCTAAGGCTGTGCAAAAAAATGTTTGTGTCGGCGTTGAAGGATGTGTGTGCCTGCCAGCAGCGAGAACCTAATGCTACTTCTAGCAGAAGCTAGTTGTCGGCGTAGCTGTGTACGCTAAAACATCACGGATGAACTCGCGGGGGGAGGAAGGCGGGGAGCGGGGGGGAGAAAATTGAAATAGGTGGACATCTGCAGGATTAGCAAAGATTGTTTTTAGCAGCACTAGCATTGGTAGTCGAGCTAGCAGCGGTAGAAGTAGCGTTGACGGTACGAGAGCAGTATAACGATAGTGTAGCTTCGCTGTAGTGCAACATTAAATCGTAGGTGGTGTTAGATTTTGACAAGAGGGTCTGACATCTCTTCCGTGTCCAGTACCTGTGCTGCAATATTGGGGGGATGGCCTGCAGTGCATTGACCCTTGAGAACCTTATGCAGACAGCTGCAGCTACTAAAGCCGTATCAGCATCAGCAGCTACCCCTGTGCCTACAAATTTCAAGCCAATCTGCAGTTGCACCTGCAAATACGGACGTCTTTGCGTCAGTAACGACAAGCACTCCTGAAAGCAGTTAGGGCTGCGACTCCAGGCAACAGAAAGAGGCGACAGTGCATTGCAGCAGCAGCTACAGCAGTAGAAGCAAATCCAAAAACGAATCCCCCGCACGCATTCCATGCGGAAAAATCAGTGTTTGGTGCGGGACTGCGCCTTAGCGGCTTTCGCCCTTGCGGCATCTGCCAGCAACTGAACAGTCTTAACGCGTTTCTGGCCCTTTCTGAGCTCTTTGATGGCTTCTGCATTCGTCAAGCCAGTTCGTCTCTTTTGAGCTCTTTCTACCTTTTGGGCCTTGTTCTTTGCTTGCAGATGCTCCTGCCTGTCTCTTGCCTGCTGCAGTGTCAGCTCTCCGGAGTCTATGCGCTTTCGCAGCTGCTTCTGTCTCTGCTCCTTCTTACGACGCCGTTCTGCGCGCCGCTCTTCTTGCGTGGTTTCCTCTGCCGTCTTCCTCGTTTCCGGGAGACTGCCCTTGTTGCCGCTTCTATCCACCGGGACAAATACAGGCACGGCCTCTTCTACTCTCACTGCAGCAGGAGCACCCTTGCCTTCAGCGGAGCCAGCCAGGGCAGCAACAGGGCGCGGTACAAACTGTGCATTTGTTAAGGCGTCGCACTTATACATTACCTCCCCAAAGAGCTCTAAAAGCTGCCGCTTCTCAGCATCCAACTGCTGTTGCTGCTGCGAGGGGGCCCCCAGCAACTTCTCCTGATACTCCCTGGCGTAAAGGTCCCCAAGTCCTTCCGCAGGCTTCTGCATATTCAGCTCCTCTTCCGCTGCAGCCGCCGCGGCTGCGCCAGCCTTGTTGCTGCCCGCGCCGCTCGGCTTGTTAGGTAGTGCTTTCCGCTGCACGTCATCAAAGAGGGCCTCCTCTATTCGCCCCTTTACGATCCGCTCAATAAACGTGCTGATAGCAACAGCTGAGCCAGAGGCTCCCGCCGCCGCTGCCGCCACAGTCTCCTCGTCCCCGTCATCTTCGCCTAAACGCAAGTCTTGGTGCTGCAGCAGCAGTTGCTGCTGCTGCGGCTGTGCAGGAAAGGGAACTGTCAGGTCCTCTAATTCCAGCAGCGCGTCTTTCGATCTGTGCCTGCCCCAGGCCTCGCCAGTAAACTCCCAGCTCTTAGGCGCTACCAACTCGTCCTCCAGAGCTTCTACTCTGGACGCCAGCGCAGCAAGAGAGTCATCTCCCCCCGCCACCCCTGCAGCTGCTCTAGCCGTCGAGCCATCTGAGCCTGCGCGCACCTTACGCCTGTTTGGAGGCGTTGCTGCAACAGCTGCAGCCATGGGAGCCTCATCAACTTCGCTGCTACTGCCGCAACTGCCCTCCTGCTCCTCCTCCTCCCGCTTGCGGCGACATCTGCGCTGCTCCCGCCTCTCTCTATCTTCTTCTTCCATAAGAGCTTGAAGCCGGTCCAACTCCTTTTCAAGGCGCCGATCCTCCGCATCCAGAGGACCCTCAGAAGCAAAGCCCTTAAGCTCCCCCTCGACCTCTTCTGACTCTTCTGCTGTCTCAACATCCCTGATCTCATTTTCGCTGCTCCTGCAGTGCTCACGCAGTCGGCGCTTGGATTGCTCTTTACCCTTAGACTCGCTATAAAAGGCCTCATAACTAATAGCACCACCACCGCCCTTGGCAGAGGGGTCTATCCCTTCGTAGAGCAGCAAATCTGCTGCTGCAGCTTCTTCGTCATCTAGCTCGCTTTCCTCCTCGTCATCGAGCTGCTGCTGCAGACGCTGCCGTTGCAGACGCTGCTGCTGCTGCTTATTCTGTTTCTTTTCCTCTTGCTCTGCCTCCTCCACAAAGCGGTGCATCGCCTCGAGAGAGAAGAACTCGTCTTCCAACTGGTGCTGCTTAGGCTTCTTGCTGCGGTCCCGCTGCGCCTTCTCGTGTTCTCTGCCCTCAATCTCGTCTAGCAAATCGTCTGCTTCTGCAGAGGCAGCATCATCATCCTCGGCGTCACTCTCTGACGCTGGTCCTTCTGTACCCTCCTCTCCCTCTACTTCCTCCTCTACTTCTTCCTCTATTTCTTCCTCTTCAGCGCTTTTTTCTTCTCCTTCCTCCTCTACTTCTTCCTCTACTTCTTCCTCTTCAGCGCTTTTCTCTTCTCCTTCCTCTTCTTCCTCTACTTCTTCCTCTTCAGCACTTTTTTCTTCTCCTGCCTCCTCTTCTTCCTCTTCTTCTTCCGTTCCCTCGTCGCCTGACTGCAGCTCCCCTCGCGCTTCGCTGCCGTCTGTTTCTTCCTCAGCAGAGGCACCTCCCATCACTGAGGCCTCTCCTTCATCCTCTTCGCTTTCCGCTGCTGACTCGGACTCGAACCTGTGGGTGCCAGCATGAAGGAGCGACAAGGCTTCGGGGTTGAAGATGCACCGCTGCAATTCTTGTTGCCGCTTCTGCTGCTGCTGCTGCAGTCGCTTGTCTGCGGGAGCACTCACACGGGCCCCCCTGCGTCTCTTGCTCCCGGACAGGTCGTTTTCCGAAGGCATCCCTTCGCCAGTGTTAGTGAGGCCCCACACCTGACGCAGCTTCCTCAGACGCTTCCTCGCTCTGCGGATGCAACGAGTGGCTTCTCCATCGAGCAACTCCCATACTTGCTGCAAGTTCAGCTGCTGCTGCTGCAAGTCGCCTTGAGCTTCGGCATTCGTGCCTGAAAGAGCCGCCTTCTCTAAGGCCCGCAACTGGTCTAGATAAGTCTCCTGCTGCGCAGCAGCAGCAGCAGCAGCAGCAGCAGCAGCACGAGGCCCCCTTAGGCGCTGCGAGGAGGCCCCTTCTACGGCTGCAGCGAGCTCCCTCAGTCGAGAGACGCACAAGGCCAAAGCCCTCCCCTGGTTCGTTGCTGCTGCTTCCTGACGCAACAACTCTCCTGGGGCCTCTTGCAGCGCCTCAAGCCACATCTCTACTTCCTCCAGATGCCGCCTCTCCCCCTCGCCTGCCGACGGCGGGGGGCCCTCCGCCGCATCTGCTGCTGCCGCGGGTGCCATCCAAGTCGCTACCTATCTACGAGAGAGAGAGAGAGCACGACAGGGTCGAGACAGCACACAATGCAGCGCACTCGGTTACTCGCCAGCTCACACGCTCTACTGCCCCCTGATATACAGTGAAAGCTCGACAAGCCGTGGGCGTTCTGGCTGCTCCGTTGCTGGAGTGTTGCTGCGCTGTTGCTGCGCCGTTGCTCTCCTTGCTGTACTGCTGATGGGGCCCTCGCTGCCTTAGCCGTCCGATCTCCCACAGTCGCCGCTGCGTTCGCTGCTGCCGCGGCGCGCCGCAACGAAACGCATTAATTAACAAAACGGACGGACACTGGAAGGCTTCAGGAAGTTAATTGCTTGTAGAGCAGCCCGAAGACCCCCGGGATCCCCGCAGCCCTAGCGATGGCCCCACGCGTTGCGACTGTTGCATGGGAATATTGGAAGACCGTGACAAGGTGTTGTCATTGCACAGTTGACGAGGAAAGATGAGGCTGGACACAGCTTTAAATGCCATCCGATGCCAGAATGTAGAGAACGGACTGAGGAAGCAGAGCACGCCTGCAGGACGCATGCTTCACATCAAGGCGGCCACCTGCGTGCGCGATTCTTGCGATGCCCTGGCGCAAGGGTTTCTCTCGCCTTCTTTTTGCTGAGATGCCCGGAAGAAGTCAGTTTTTAAACCTCTTGGATGAAACGCACGCCCCTCAAGCAGGCAGGGGTTGAGGGATGACAATCACAGGGCCTTCTCAGGGGGCTGCGATGCCCGTAAGCAGATTCCTTAGGGCAACGTACACCGCGTACTTTGAGTCTTGCCTTGAAGTCTCCTTCCACAGTTGTAGCTGCTGGGTGCGATGCACCTCGAACATCCCTTTGTCTGCCGGCGGACGGGTCAATAGCGTTTCGTCCCCCCAGAAGGTCGCAGATCACCACAGGAGAAAAGGTTCTCCTGGAAAAGTCCACGAGCCACTGTCTATGCATTAGGGGCACATCCCACCACTTTTAAATGCTGTAGAAGCGACTCGATATGGAGCTGCGCCGCGCTCGGCGACGCGTGAACACTTGGCCGCTGCACTAGCTCTGTTGAACTTGGCATCAAAAAGAATGGGCTCTTGCGTTTGTCTGCCCCTATGTATCAGTGCAGAAAGACGACTGTACGTTTAGCTTTTTACCAGAAGACGCAGTTCTACGGGCGTCCGCACTTGATGCTTCCTGCACAAGTAGCTTTCAATGCTCGCGATGCTCAGAAGCTGAATCTGCGTTCACCGTAGCGGACCCTATTTCCTCATGTCGGATAATACGAGGGGTGCGGGCAGGAGAAGGCAGATAGTCTTGAAAGAAGCACTCAATCACTTTCAATCCAGTTCGTGAGATGCCAGTTTAGTGGCTCGCAACGAAGACTTTAGATGGAGCGTGACACCATACAGGCGCTATACCTAGCACAAGGCTGTGGGCCTGCGTCACACCCGCGGCTTTCCCGTTTTAAAACTGCAAATCTGTCGGTGCTGTAAACACCGCCCAAAGCCAAAAGGACTCTTCCCCCTGTGCGCAGCCGTGGCTGGCGCTATCTCTAAGAGCCACGAAGGAGCTCCCAAAACTCCGCATATGGCCCAACGCTTTATGACGCCCCCCCATACTCCGCATCATTTTACGACCCAATGTGGGAACGCGTCTACCGTCTTTTATCCACCGCCGGCGAACGCTGGAAATTCTAAACCAGTCAAACACGAATAGACACGAACGGGCCCCCACGTGGGGGCCTCTTCCCCCACGTTCCCAACCAGCTCTCAGGCCGTTTGGACCGACCCCCTTGAACCGATCCAGAAGCCCTTGTAGGTCTCTACGCAGTGCTAGCTAGTTCTTGGTGTAGAATACCTACGCCGACGGCATGAGTGGTTGCTCACAGGGAGAATCCCAGAACTTCAGGCCTAGGACGGTCAGTGCTCTCTGCGCCGCAGCGGCAAACTTCAGCAGTGTGAGACCAACAACAGCTGCAGCTGCCGCTACTGCACCCTCTGCAGAGCTTGTTGCCTCCCCCGTCCCACTACAGCGCTGCACGGACGGCAAAGCAGCCCTGGCATAATCTATGTAGTGCTGGAGCGACCTGATCAGGAGGCCTGTTTATATGACAGACTTGAATAAAGTTCGATGCTAAGTGGATATGCAGCAACTGCCGCAGATGAGAGAGCTACAGTCCCGAGGGTGGCAGTACGGGCCTCGGTGTCTTCATCAAAGGGACAATTATTCTCTTTAGGTCTAGCTGCTGCACTTCAGCGGCAAAAACGCATCGCAATACGGCCTACGCTTGCTGGACCTGCTGCTGTTGCTGTCGCCGCCCCTGGTACAGATGATGCGACACACACCAGCGGGGAAGGCAACGTTTCCGACGGTCTCAAGCAAAAAATTGCACGCCCGTTCGTCACAGCAAGGGAAAGCCAACAGGTACCACTGCAACATCAACCTGCTGCTGTTGTTGCCGCACGGCTCATTAATTGCTTGTTTGCATGTACATCCCCAAAGTGAGGCGGCAGCAGCCGCAGCTGTCGACGAATCTACGAGCTCGTGGAGTTTCTGGGCTGCAGCAGGTAGACACTGGCTGCAGCGGCAGAAACTTTAAGACTTGCTGCGTTGAATATGAGCCTGTGAAGGCAGAAGGCGCATCAGAGGCTCGCTGTAATGAGCTAAGTGCGCGTTCTGTGTACAGGGGCAATACGGCAAAGAGAGGAACTAACTGCATCCAGCAATCCAAACCTCCTGACGCAGCTACCGCGAAAGGCACATTGCGTGTAGAAGCAGCAGGACACACGACCGAAGGCCTGCTGTGCGGGGGAAGGCCAGCCCAAGCAGCAGCAGCATCTCAGTCAGTGCAACAGCAGTAGAAGCACATGCATGCGCACCTCGAGCAGAGCTTCCCTGTTGCAAGACAGGAAGCGCTTCAAGATGCCCTTCCCGTCTTTCGCCTCTGACTGAAGCAAGGCCGTCAGCAGCAACTCTACTTCCTCCCCCGAGAGGGGGTGAGCCAGCTGCGCACCGGGCAGCAAACACACTGCAGGAGTAGCACATATTGCAAGCGCGGCAGCTGAACGGAGAGACAGGTTTGCAGCAGCGCGGTGTCGGTGGGTGGCTTGCAGCAGAGGCAGAGATGCAACAACAGAGCGTGCTCAAAAAGAGAGTATAGCCACACCTCATTTGTGCGAAAGAGGTTGAGCGCAGCAGCAGTCCTAGGATCCGCCACTGCGGCAGCGGCTTGTTGCTTTATGACCGCACTGTTCGATTCGGTCCCCTTAGCCGTCTCCCCAGTGTTTCTGCATCCACAGCAGCAGCAGGGGAAGCAGCAATGCATGACGAGACGCCAACAGCCACCAAGAGAGAGAGAGAGACAGAAAGAGAGAAAGAAAGAAAGCGAGAAAGAGGAAGATGGGGAGGTAAAAGCGGCGGCAGCCTTGTTTTCAGCGGAGCTCGAAGGCTCGCAAGTGTTCCTGCCGAGGCTGCCTTGCTGACGCCTTTGCAGTTGGTGCTGTCTTAGCCAGTGCTTACTGAACCAAAGCCTTAAGAAGCTGGTAAATGCTGCCGGTGTAGTCGAGGAGGAGAGAAGCTCCGCTGCCCGCGGCATCTGCTCCGGTGATGTACTTCTGCAGAGGAGTGCAACCACCGCTCTCCTGCTGCTGTTGCATCAGCTGCTGCTGTAGTGACGCACACCCAAACGCGAAGGGGTCGAACTGCCTGAGTCCGCATGCACACAATAAAATGCTGCTGCTGCCAACCCCATTGCCGCACAGGCTCTTAGAAGAGATGCATTCAACGCAGTGCCTCGAGCTGACGGTTGCTGCCCGCTAGCGGAGCCAACTGCAGAGATGCAGCTGCATATTGGACGCAGGAAATGTGCGCTGCGGGATCCGGCGAGAAAAAGAAAAGGGCATGGCAATTTTTTTCCAACAAGAGCAACGATAAAGACGGTGTAGGAGAACAACACCGAAATAATAGGATGCATGCACATCCATGTGATGCATGCATGCGATGGTGCACTTGACGCACGAGACGTCCAGGAAGGTGGAGAGCAACTGGGAGATTCCCATGCAGCATATGTCTAATAAGCAGCTCGGCGTTGGGGAGGGCAGCTTCGCTGCAGCCTTTCCAACTGCTCGCAGCACCGCCTGCAGGACCCGCAAGCAACTGCCGCATGAAACTGGAGCCTCTCATCTGCAGAAGGCCTCTCTGCCTCGCCACCAACCCCGGTTGCTATCGCTCAAAAGCCGCTTAGAGGTGATGCTCGACAAGCAGTCTGCGAAAATCAGCTCTTACATGTCCTTGCTGAACAAGGGAGGGGATAGGCCACCGCTGGAGTTCGAGCACTGCAGCAACTAAGGGCTGCAGCAACGCCGCGTTGTAGTACACCCGGAGCCGCAGCTCGCTTGCACTGCTGCTGCTGCCACTGCAGGGAAGACTGGCGTTGCTCTCCTGCCGACTGTACAGTGCAGTGTCCTCATCATCAACAGGGGAGGCGGATACCGCTACGCCTGAGTGTAGCCTGCTGGCGCTCGCGTTGGGCAAGGGCTTAGGGCCTGAACTGCTGCTGCTGCTCGCGGCAGCGACGGCAACCATCGAGCTGGACTTGTGATGCAGCAGTGCGCCAATGTGCTGCAGCAGCACGTCTCCGACATTGCTCAGGGCATACACCCGCTGGAGGTACAGACTCAGACGCCGCTCGTCTTCTCGGCTGCTGCTGCTGTTGCGGCTGCTGCTCTCTGACTCCAGCGCCCTCTTCGTCTCCGACACGCTGCTCCACTCGTTCCGCAGTCGCTGCAGCAGCGGCAGCATGCCTTCGGTGACGAAGAAGAGCAGCAGCTGCGCAACACAGGGCGCCAGAAGCAGCAGAAGTAGCAGAAGTAGCAGCAACAGCATGCAAAAAAGGACTACCCAAGGATCACACCCGTCAAGGAAAACAGACGACACCCGCTTCCGAAGCCGCAAAAGCATCCCATTGCCTGAGCCTCCTCACTTGCTGCGATGGGTAGGGAGGCTGCGGAGGCAGGCTCTCCGCCTCCAGGACAGAACACCAGAAAAAGCGAATCAGCTGCTCGACGTGCTGCAGCGGCAGCTGCTCCCTCATAGGCACCAGGAGGACCTCCCTTAGCCTCTCCCCCAAATCTGGCATCAGAAAAAATCCATCCGCCACAGCAGCACAGGTACCCCCCAGCCTATAGGCCAAGGTTCGCAGATGATAGCAGTGCCGCCTTGTCAGCAGCACCGCTGCCTCTCGCTCTCCGATGCCGTCGGTACTGCCATCGCCACGCCCACTGCTGCTGCACGGGAAGGCCAGCAAAACTGCGCGAGACAGAGCAGACGCGTTTCCAGCTAAAGCCGAGGACGTGCCCTGAATCGCAAGAAACTCATCGGCTCCTGGAAGAAGCAGCTCCCGAAGATGAACGAAATACGCATCGTTCACCTGCAGGCACGACGAGACACACACCACAACTCTTGAGTGCCCCATGTTCTGAGCCACGGCCCTTAGAAAGGCTACCGCTGACATCCAGACCGAAGCGCTGCGTTTCGCCAAGAAAACGTTCTCTCTTTCTCGCTGTTTCCCTCTCAGCAGCAGCAACAACAAATGCCGCTGATGGCGAGCTAGCGCTCACCTCGTCGGTCCACAGCTGCTGCAGTGTTTGCATGAACTTAAAGAGGGTGGGCAGCACGTGCTGCACCAGAGACGCCAGCGGATGCCTCCTTGGAAGCAGCTGCTTCTGCTGCTTCTGTTGCTCTAGCAACTCTCTGAGGCACTGCGGAAAAGGCTTCCGCAGCTCTGCATCCTCCTCTGTCAAAGAGGAGACTTTCAACGACGGCAGGCCTATCGCGCTGACGGTGCTGCACTCCACGGCATAGCCGCCAGCGCGAGCAGCAGCCGAGTCGGAAGGAACAGTTGTGCGTTTGATCGAGCTCTCCAACGCCGAGAGAACGCGTGCCAGAGTCCTCCTGCAGCGACAGCACCCGTGACAGCGCACACACATACATGCACATGCATACATACACTCCTGATTACGCAAAAAATCTTGCTGCACTAGCAGCAGCAGCAAGCAGCAGCCGCAACAAGCCACAAACGAGCCAGCAGCAGCAGCGGCCGTAGGCACCGTGAGCTAATACCGAATTCTCGCACTAGCAGCCCTAGTCAAGAGCACACCTGCGTCTGGCTGCCAGTTCTTCTTCCTGCGACGTCTGCTTTCTGCGAACGTCACCAAATAGATAGAAGATAAGAGCTGTCGTGGGGGGCAGCACTAAGGCCGCTGCAGCAGCATCGCCGGGATCTTGCTGCAGCAGCACCTGCTTCTGCTGCTCCGCCTCAGTGAGCAAGTTGCTCAGTGCCGCTGCAAAGGGCTCTATCAGAGGCAGCGTGTGCTGTTGCTGCAATGCATAGTTCCCCGTTGCAGACACCAAAGACACAAACGCCTCGATCAAGAGGCCTCGCTCCGACCGCAGCAGCTGCAGCAGTCGCACCGGCAGGACATGCAGCCAACTTGAAAAATGCGTAACACCTCCCCACCCCACCCCCCCGATACAGCAGACGGAGCAGCGGCAACAAGAGCGGCGCAGCTGCAGAAGATGCGGCAGCACCAGCACAGGAAGGCACGTCCTCACCTGCTGCTGCTCATTATCTGAGGCATGTATTTTGGCCTGTACGTGCTGCAGAAGAGCTGGGAGGTACTGCTGGATGGCAGACGCGCCGGCACTGGAAATGCAAATAAGCGTCTGGAGAGCCCTCCGCTTGCACAGGTGGACTTGCTGGGGAGCAGGTAGCGGGTATGCCCAGATATTGTCTATTTGAGAAGCTGCTGTCTCAGTAGACAAGATGCTGCAGCCGCAGCAAACAGCACACATACACACACATAGACACGTACATACATAGATACACGCGTGCAAGAGTAGATCGAAGTTCTCTCCGCAAGCCGTAATGCCCTTCCTCAAAGATGGTGGCAGCGCTGCAGCAGTCGGAACGCTCTCTCTTCTTAGTTAGCGCAAGGGGTGGCCGCGCAAATCGCAGCATCCCATGTGAAATTCGTGACTGACTGTCTAAAGAGGAGGTCAAGGATGCTCTTGATGTCGAGGGGCGGCGAGTAGTTCAGCAGGTGGGAGGCTCCTGAGACGAACTCGAGTCTTCTCATTTCCAGGAAGTAGTCGTGAAGAGACACGCCGCTGCTGTTGACAGTGGCTGCTGCGCTATCCACGCTGCGAGCAGCAGCAGCTGCAGCCTTGGCGTGCTCTGCTACGTTCACCGAAGCCGCAGCACAAGAGGCGTCGAACAGGGGTATCCTTACAAGGCCTTCAAAGATACGGCAAAGCCGTCGCAGCCATGGAGACTCCGCTGCATTTTGGGGGAGCAGCCAGACGGCACAGGCCGCAGACGCCGCCGCTGCACTGCCTTGCTGAGCGGCGGCTGCAGTCAGACAGGCGCTCTTGAGGCGCTGCACGAGCGCTTCCACAAAGGAGCAGCAGCCGTCAAGAAGGATGCACGAGGGGAAGAGGCAAGGCTGGTTCTTGTCCGCCAGCTCGTAGGCTTGCCCCGACGCTGCTGCCTGCAAGAGCCGAAGCAACAGCGAGTCGGGCAGAGCATGCCGCTGCAGCAGCAGCGGAGACTCTAGCAGCTGGGAGCAGATCTCTTCAGTCCAAGCCGTTGTCGTCTCTACGGAGAGCACAGTCGGGGAGCACCGCATACGCACCCACACACACGCGTAGCAGCCCGTCAAACACGCATTCTTCACTCTTGTCATAGCGCTGTGGAGACCGATGCTGCTCAACCTACCGGCAGCAGCAGGAGAAAGACCAATCAGCGTCGTTATTCCTAAAAGCGCAGAGGATTTGAGGCCTGCGAAGCGTGCGGAGAAATTCTGCTTCAAAGCACCAAACGCAACAGGCCATAACACTCTGATCAGCACAAACACTGCCTGCGAGCTCCTCCCACGAACGGTAGAAGGCGAGGAAAAGGGAGGGGGACGCCTTCATCCGGCCAAGCAATAAACCTTACGTCCATGGGATCCCTGGCAATCGCGTCTTCCGCTTCAGCGTAGAGCGCAACCTGTCGGCAAAAGCGGCAGCAGCAACAACAATGACAACAACATCCTCCTCGGGAGCCAGCAGCCGTGACGGCAGAGGCAGAGAGCAGCAGAAGCCACAACACCCAGCGCTGCAGCAGTCTCAGGATAAAGCTTGGCAGCCGAAGGCCTGTCGCCAAATGCCATGCATGCATGCCTGCATGCATCGCATTGCAGCAGCAGTAGCAACAGCAGCAGTAGCATGAGCGTCTCGAGCAAGCAAGCACTTGCGCTGCCTATACCATGTGCAGCCAATTCTTCGTGGAGGGTAGCGGGAGAGGCCGCAACGCCTCTAGAGCCCTAAAGGCGGCGTCCAAAGCCTGCAGCTGAGAAAGCATTTCCCTGCGCTTGTCTTCTGCGAGCTGCGCCTCTTGTGCGTCAAAATGCTGTTGCTGCTGCAGTGCAAGGAGTTTCTGCTGCATGCGTTGCCGCTGAGTGGCCACGGCTGCGCCTGCTGCAGCTGTTGCGGCTGCGGAGCTTTCCTGCACCGCGCTAAGGAGCCTTAAGGAGACATCATCTAGAGCAGCAACGGCGGCGGGCTGCAGCAGCTTCAGTATTTGAGGATCGCCTACTCGCAGACACCTCACGAAGGTAACAGCCAACAGCGCCCTGATGTCCAGCCACTGCGGCTCGCGTTGCTGCTGCTGCGGCGCAGTCTCCTCAGAGGCTGCAATAATTGCCATTTTCCTGAGCAGCGCTGCTGCTGCAGCGATCCCGTGACAGGCAACACGGACTGAGGGATGCATGGCCACCCGCAGGATGCCGCTTCTTAGCAAAGCTCCTAGCACTGCAGAGTCGAAGTGTCTTAGCGCCTGCAACGCATGCAGCAACGGCCACGCCGCAGGTGCAGCAGAACGGTGCATGCGCCACACAGGCGGCCCCGCACTTGCGAAGCCTACGGTGCAAGGCATGCGAGACATGAGCAGGTCCAGCTAGAGCAACGTGAATCGCGCAAAACCAATGGCGGCAGCAGGGGACTGCGACGTACATAGTCTCCGCAGTTCTCCACAAAGTTTTTGAGAAGCCCCGCAACGAGGAGTTGAAGCGTCAGGAGCTGTACATACGTACATATACACCGCACACAACAGTGGAGGCAGACATCCTCTGCGCACTTGGACCCTTGAAACGCAGGCGCAACAAGAAGCCCAGCTGCAAGGCGGAGGGAAAAGGGGGCCAAGCCAAACCTCTTCCTCGACGAACTCTTCGGTTACTGGCAGCGCGAGCACTGAGGCAGCGGACTGGAGAAGGAGGCAGCAAAAGGCAGTCATGCTTTCCACACTGACGCCGTCTATCGCCTGCAGCAGCGCACAAGAATCCCCGAAAAAAAGAGCCCCTCAGCCGCAAGAAGAGAGCAGTTCGCACCAGACAACCAACCCCGATGCAGCAAACCGCTAACATTCTAGCCAAGACAAACCTGCTTCTTCTGCCGTTTTTTGACGAGACGCTCATTAACGACGTCAAGGGCCTGCAGCAACAGCCCCTCCGCCCCTTGAAACTCTGCGCCTCCCAGCCCCCAGCAGCAGAGACAGCGCAGAACTGCCGCAACGTCTCCTAGCGCAGCCAGGCACCTGCGAGCAGCGGCAATCCACATGCAAGGGGCGTCCTGATAGAGCTCTGCGTGTATCGCTGGCTAGAGCTGCGCCTTCGCGGCTGCAAAATCTCGCCCTTTTCCCCTCCCCCCTCTCCAGCTGCCGTATAAACGATGCAAAGAACTCCTGGACTGCATTCGCACCGAATGCAGTCCAGCGCAAGGGGCTGCAGCCGTGCCCTCGCGGAGGCTTCCGAGGAATAAAGCAGCAGCATGCAGCGCGAAAGCTGCAGCAGCACGCTGCTCGAGCTGCCAATCTCCTTGTGGAGGGCCTGGGCCACCTGGCGACGCAGCTTCCCGCTCAAACAGCTCATCAGTGAAGAGCTCTCCTGCGGTGTCAATACACCCGCACGCAGCAGTCGACGGAAGGTCTGGCAGGGATCAGTCCCGCCTACCAACGGCACACGCGAGCGACTGCATCTCGACTGCCAGATACTGTGCACAGCCAGGCCCCCCTCCCTCCCCCCCTCCCCCCCGCGAGAGAGAGACACATCTGCTTAGGCCACGTCGCCAGCTCGCCGTCTGCAGCAAACGAGCTCCGGCTGGTGAGGTGATGCGCAGCTGACCTCGTTCAGCTCTAGGCAGATCTCGAGGAGGACGCCAAGGAAAACGCATGCAGAGACGAACGCCTGCTGCTGCTGTGGCGGCAGCAGGCCTTGCTGCCGCTTCTGCTGTGTAACTAGAGCGAGGAGCTTATGGTCATCCACGGTAGGATCGCAGAGGGCAGAGCTTTGCCTAAGTTCTTCCTCAGAGAGGCCAAGGGCATGCGACGCGAGTTTCAACAGCATTTGCCGCGTTGTGGCTGCTGCCGCAGCACCCGACTTGCTGCAGCAGCACGCGGAGGCAAGGCACTGCGAGGCTTTCATGAGGATCGAGAAGGCGGGGACGCGCGGTGTGGGGGAGGCTGCCGCAGCGGCTGCTGCGGGTGGAAGCAAACGGAGGTCAGGCTGCTGCTGCTGAAGAGTCTTTTGCTGCAGCAGCTGCAGCACGACTTCCTTCAGGGCGTTCTGCACGGGTTCTTCCCAGTCCGTATGCCAGTGTCTCTTGATGGCTTCCAGCAGCAGCTGCAGCCCGACTAGCTTGGCGGCCTCATCGTAGCGCTTGTACGCATCTGCTGCAGCTTCGCTGGCGGCAGGTGTCTGCTGCTGCTGGAGCTCTTGCTGCTGCTGCTGCTGCAGGGCTGCGAAAGTCTTGCACTGGAGAGACACTGGAGGGAAAACGGCGAAAGGGTGTAGCAGCCACTGGAGCAGCTGCTGCATCTGGGGGTGCTGCCGCAGCTGCAGCAGCCATTGCGTTGCCTCGAAGTTCCCGTCTGCATGCAGAGCCAAAGAGTCTGTGACGTGTTGCAGCAGCTCAAGAGGGAGGTCGGCCCCGAAAGCCTGCTGTCGTTGCCTCTGGGAGTGCTCGTGTTGCTGCATCATCATATAGGCAGCGGCGATCTCTTGAACAAGCCGGAGGGGACATACGGCTGGATTCCACAGTAGCCGCGCCACCAGCAGCAGCAGCAGCAGCACCTGCTGCGGCCTGGCCGCTTAGGGCTGCTGCTGCTGCTCTGAAAAGGCCTTGCAGCAAGGCTCGGCGAAAAACAAGCAGCGTTTTTCCGGAGGGCTTTGTATCCGCCGCTGCTGCAGTGGGAGGCGTGCGACTTGTGGCGCCGCGGCTAGCTCTCCTGCTGCTGCGTCGCTGCTTCAGCAGCTGCTGCCGCAGTGATGGTAACGTAGGTGTGGCTTTGGGGACGGGCTTGCCCAGCAATGCCGATTACCTGCTGCCACGGAGTCTGTTTGCACGCGTAAACAAGAGAGCCCTCGTATCCAAGCCAGCGCATATATGTACTGTCAATCTACGAAGCAATGACTTTTCACATGTCCCCCCACACCAGAAATAACGTCGATCTAGAACACGAGGGCATGCAGCTCCTGGCCCCGAGGCGCCGCTGCCGCGGCTGCTGGTGCTGCTGCTGGAAAGCGTTTCTGGGAGGTGTTACTGCCGAGGTCGCCTGTTATTTAAAGCCTTAAAGGGTACTTAGGACACCCCTGTGAAGTTTGCAGGAGTTTCAGTCTCTCGCTGCCGGGGAAGACACTACCCTGCGCCCCCGCAACAGACCCTTCGATCGGCTGTCTCGTCCCCAGTCCTTCTAGGATGGCGCGTCCAATGCGAGGAAAGTATTTTTAAGTGAATGCTTGCACTTCTCGTGGGCTTCAGCCTTCCCCTCGCCCGTAGGGTGCCTTCCCTGGAGTTGGAAGCGATTCCGTGCGACCCTCTTGCAACTGCTGCTCGGGAGGCTCGTGCAACCAGCAACGGATTGACCGCACCTCATGCACATGACTAAGCAGGAGTTGCAATGTCTGGTGCTGTTTTCGAAGGAGAGCGAGGCACACTGACACAATCGCATCCAGGTAGATGATGTCCCAGTGCCATCGCGAAGGGTTCGCAGTGTACTGCTAGCCACCCAAGTAGCCAAAAAGCTAGCACGCATGCAGGCACTGTTAGAGGCACCGTTGGCGTTTGTGAAGCCACTACCTCCAGTAGGCTGACCCTGAGACTCGCCATCGAAGGTCTCCCAAGGACGCTCAAAAACTCGCTACACAATAGAAACTAGTTGAGAAACTGTTTAAGCTCCTTCTAAAAGCGGGTCGCCTTCATCCGCCCACTTGCCCCCTCTGTATTTTCAAGCGAAAGGAGGAGAGGAACATCTAGATTTGCAGAGCTGCACAGTCTAGTCCCTCATAGCTAAAAAGCGCCTAAATAGCATCTTTTACGTAGCGCACGGGAGAGGAACATCTGGATCTGCAGAGCTGCACAATCTAGTCCCTCACAGCTAAAGAGCGCATAAATAGAATCTTTTACCTAGCACACACGCACGCCACATTGCGTCGTTTTGTTTCGAGTTGACACTATTCTGCATGGCATACGGTACACGAACAAGCGGAGATCCAATAAATCTTTCCTTTTTCGAATTGCAATTGATGAAATCAATGAAGTGCCTAAGCGTAGCTTAGCTCGCTGGGAGAAATGGCATTCGGGCACGCAAACCGCGCGTCTCCTCCACGGCATTCGGCACCACAAAACCGTGCGGCAGAACAGTTCCTTACAGCTAGTACATGTGGCCAGCAGCCAGCTAGCTAGCCACTAAATAAGCTTCATTACGTCACAAAGGTTAGGCGGCTTGCCAAGCCGTCTGTCTTGCCCCATATCTGGATAAAAGTACACAGTTCGCTGCCTTTGGGGGAGCTCTCCGCTTCGCAGGGGATGAAGACACAATTCTGTACCCCCTGCTGCGCAAGCGGTCACGGCTTCGGCGGCTGCTAGCAGCCACTGGCACTAGTGCTGCGAGCAACGCCACCGAGGAACGGTGAGGGGCGGGGATCTCAGACCCCTTGAGAACGCTGCTGCTGCTGTCTGCAAAAAGTTTACAGGTAGAACTCGGCGCGGGAGAAAAAAAAGGGTGCATGGCTCAGGCCTTATGAGACTTTTTGTTGCGGGGTCGATGCAGGGAGGCTTCGAAGGCCACGAGACGGTCAGCGAGCGCCGCTGCTTCATCCAGCTGCTTCTGCTGCTCCTCCAGGTCCCCTGTGGCAGCCCACCATGCATGCGCCAGCACTCTACAGTTTAAGTGTCTCCCCTCGCTTCGTTAATTATATGCGGAGCAGTGACAAAAAATGAACCCCTGAGGCCAGAGATGTAGGCTAGCGCGCATGCCACAGATTCAGGAGGCAACGCGAGGCGCGTGCAGCATCTAACAGAGAAATAAGGCAGCGACCTGGAGACTCGCTCCAAAAAACAGCAAACAGTGCAGAAGACAGCGAATGGGATTTGCCATGAAGGGCTGCCTGCTGGCGCCTTGCCTTCTTTGGCCGCATGGTCTGCTGCTTTCTTCGCTGCGGCTTCCAAGAGCTGCAAATGATCTGCAGCAGCAGAAGCATGGAAAAGGAGGCCCCCATAAAGCGTGCATAGCACGCACATAGCCCACTAGCGGCTCCTATCCCCAGAAGCTACATGTCATTGTGCTGATTTTTTTTAAAGCCATGGACGGCACAAAACCAACACGGTATCGAACAGCTAGAGACGTCTCGGTAGAGCGCGCTGGCTAGCCAGCTAGCCAGCCAGCCAGCACGCAGCACCCAACCCTGCACAAAGCCTACCTGTATAGGACATGAGGGGGTTTTTGCCTGAGAGACACTTGAGAATGAAGAAGGCGACGTCTTTGAGTTTAAAGTAATTAAAGTGGCTGTTCAGGATCGCCAAGGATGACAAATAGTGCTCGGCTGTGTCCTCCTAGCAAGCACAGAACGCAGGTTCGCAAACGGAAAGACGAGTATGTTCTACTTGACGGGCAGGCACGGCGCGGAGAGAGGGTCACAGACTATACTACACGTCCTATGCCTTTTTCCGCATTGAAAATGGCAAGCAGCAGGGCAAGGCAACCAGGGGGAGGGGGACGGTAACAACAGCAACTGGATGCCTCAGCTATATATATATATATATATATATATATATATATATATATATATATATATATGTATATACATATATATATATATATGTATATACATATATATATATATGTATATACATATATATATATATGGGCCCCTCAGACCAATATAAGTGCACAGCATAGTATACATATCGAGAGATCGTGGCCCTCTAAATATGCCCTATTAGCCAGCCACTCAACGGACTTGTAATTGGTAGTCAAGACGCGTCGGTATATACTGCTCCGGCTTCATTGCATTTATGGCCTGCATCACACCCGTCAGTCCCATAGCAGAAAGCAATGGCACAAACGTAACACGTACATGTCCGCTACTCGATAAAACAAGCGTATACCAACCCCGTGATGATAAAGAAGCGCATAAACAAAAGACACGCACCTCCAGCTGCAAGACAGCGCGCTGCGTCTCCCCAGACACGGAGGGAACCGTCACGCCTCCATCTTCGGTGGAGAAGTACTCTGCAGCGCGCAGGCGAACATACGTACAAAAATTCATACATACATACATATACATATATACATGTATACATATACATATATACATCTATATACATTCATGTACAGATACATACATACATATATATACATTCATGTACATATGCATATACACATATGCATGTATACATATACATATATACATTTATATACATTCATGTACATATACATATATACATATACATATACATACACATATATACATTCATGTACATACACACATACATGCATACACACAAAGAGGCCGCTGGTTCCCTGCTGACGAGGCCTCAGGAACGACAGCGGGTTTATGCGAGGGGCGACCGGCTGAGCGGCTACGAAAAGGGAAGAGACTCCCGCAAGCCAGCGTCGTGATTTCCGTCGACTGTATATACAGCAAGCCAAGAAGGCTGCTGTGAGCAAACGTTCCAGCCGTTCAGAGAAGGCAGAAAGCAAGAACAGTGCCAAACACCCCATGAATAAAGGTTGGAGAAAAAAGAGGACGGAGAAGGCCGGGGAGACGCAGTCTCGCACCCCTAGCTTTAAGAGCCTCTGCGCTCTCTCCCCCCTCCAACCCGCCCCCCCTTTGTGCTCCAGTCCTTCTCTGTGTGACATATTTCTTTCTAGAATGAATAAGCCAGTCAGATGGCCAACCCCCTTTGCCTGTGGAGTTCCCTCTCTGCTTGTGCGTCGTCTGTTGGTCGCGCTAGGCTGTGCTGTAGCTGCCCGTTTTGTTTCGCCCCTGAAGAGGAGCCTATAGCTGGCTTGCATACCGTGGCAAGTTGACCTCCTTCGCCCTTGCCTCTCTGCCTTGCTCCCGCGCAGCCTGCCGCCTCCAAGCGTCGCTTTTGCTGCTTCGGTTGCTGCTGCTCCTGGCTGCGTCTCTTGGTGCGTTTGGACGCGAGGCCTGCGGCTGATGCGATCTTGAAGTGTTAGCCTTCTCAGCTGCCTGGCGCATCCCGAGCTGAGTCTTCTGCCCGTCTCCGGCGCATCTGCTGCCTGGCGTTCAGCCGCAGCCGTTTCTGAAGCTGCTGCGGCAGCGCTGAAGTCCTCCCGGTGCAGCTTGGAGCCGAGTCGAAACCAGCTAGCCACGTGACTGAAGGCGTCGTCCTCGTCGGCACTCACATTCGAGCCACTGCTGCTGTCGAGACTGCCGCTGCCGCTCAGCTTGCTGGAGGAGGAAAGACTGCGGGTTTCGCAATTAGTCTGGAAGGGGTAAGCTCTTTGCTGAGAGTTCGAGCGCTGCAGTCCTGGGAGCACAAAAAGCCGCAAACACGCAGGGAGGGAGGGAGGCATGGACTGCAGCCGTGAGACCCTCTGCTTCTACAGTGCCATAACCGGCTAGAAAGAAGCGCGTTTAGCTGCTAGCTGCTGCTGGCAGAAGACGCAAGGCCTACCCAAAGCCACCACTGAGAGTTCGTACAGTGCCGGCAACAGAGCAACAGACAGAACGTGCAGCGCGAACCCGCTGCACTGCGTGTAGGCAGATGCAATGGAGAGCAAGAAGGGAGCGAGGCAGGAAGAGACAGAGAGGGAGAAAGAGAGCGAGAGAGGCAGACAGAGAGAGAGAGAGAGACAGAGAGGGAGCGAAAGAGAGAGACAGACAGAGAGGCAGACAGACAGACACAGAGAGAGAGAGGCAGACAGACAGAGACAGAGAGGCAGACACACAGAGACAGAGAGGCAGACACACAGAGACACAGAGAGAGCGAAGGCAGCAGACAGAGAGAGTGTGTGTTTGTGCGTGCAGAGGGAAGGCAGGAGGTATTAGGGGAAAGTGCGTCAGGAAAGGACTCGCGAGAAAGGAAGGACGCTCAGGGGGATGCAAGTAAAGAAGACAGGCGCTGACGGGTAGCGACAGAGAGAGTTTCACTGAAGACAGCTCGGCAAAGAGAGGCAGCGGAAGGAGCAACGGGCAAAGGCAAGCAGCGGATGTCGCAATGCAGAGGGTGAAGAGACGGCGGGGATGCAGCAAGGCCTTACTGGACTTAAACTCTTTGAGTTCTCGCGAGTGATCTGCACACAGCCACCACCACAAATTACACGACCCCCATGAATTTCAGATGAGACACTGTAATGTAAGTGCTGAGCAGGCGACGGGGCATTGCACGCAGTGGCAGTAAGCAGCCTGCGCGCATCCCTGATGTCTCAAGAGCCGCTGTTGCGTCTAATCCACACAGAGGGGCTTTAAGGCTTCCTTTGAAGCTTGTTTGCATCTGTCTATCTATCGCTGCACGTGAGAAGCCTCCTTCAAGCCGCCATAGTCACCAGCGTTTCTCCTGAAGTCGCTGCGAAGTTGTGGACTGGTTGGGGAGCTGCTGATGCGTTCCCGGACGTCTTGCTGCGCATCCTGCTCCTGCGATTGCGGTGTTTCTTGCAGCTGCCGATCAGCAGCAGCAGAAGCGGCCTCCTCATTCGCCACGAGAACACTACCCCGTGCATTAGGAGGGCTATCCCGACGCCACCAAGACATGACTGAGGCCGTCAAGTTGTTGAGGTTGCTCGTCACCATGTCCTTCGCTTGCTGTAGAGAGTGTACCGCTCAGCCGCAGATGTGCTTGCATTTCGAAAGAAGCCGCCCGAGCGCAAACGGCAGCGGCGACCGTCTATGCAGCAGCAGCAGCAGGAGTAGTAGTAGCAGGAGGAGCAGCAGTAGCAGCAGTAGTAGGAGTAGTAGCAGCAGCAGTAGCAGCAGTAGCAGCAAAGCGCACTGTGGCGGCCCCTTTTTAGACAAGACAGTAGGGCAGCCGTACGGATTCTCTCCGGGTAGCCCTGTAGAATTAAGAGCAGCAGCAGCAGCAGCACCAGCACCAGCAGCAGCAGCACCAGCACCAGCAGCAGCAGCACCAGCACAACATAGGCCTACCTGTACATTGAGATCCCACTTGTACCAGCCCTGTAATCCGTTCGTTCGCCAGTACGCGATCAGAACCGGAGGGGCCACCTCTTTGATGTTTGGATATACCAATTTCTCGAGACGGAACGCCTGCAGCCGCAGCGTGCTGCAATAACACCGCTCTATCTGTCTATGCGCGGCCCCTTCCTATATTCATCAGCCCTTAGCTTGTGATGATCTGTGCGTTTCCCAGCAAGCGCCTGTGCGCCACTGAAAGAAACTCGGCACAGCCTTACCGTACAGCCTCACAGATAGCCGCATTACTACCCCGTTCTCCCCGCCATCCCCCCCCCTTCCGCCGCTGCCTTTCGAGTAAGCGCATGAGGCCGCTGCTCTTCACATGACGCACAACTGGGTCGCACGGGTGGAAGAGGTTGTAGACGCGCAAATTTGGGGGGAGCTGCAACCCCGTCTTCAGTATCTGCAGCGGCAGAAAAAGCAACAGCCGGCGTACAAGGTGTATGATCGAAACCCCATGCCACCCCCCAGCTGCAGCAGACGGCACAGAGAATGCGCTGCATGCTCCTCGATCTGTGCGGTAAAACGCAGTTCGTCAAGGGCTCCCCAACATGGCAAAACATCACCGAGAAAAAGCAGGCAACAACAACAAACGCCGCAACAGAAGCAACGGGTGCTGCTGGAAGGGAGGGGGGGGGAGGATGGGGTCACCTCTGGCGAGTTCAGGAGGAGGAAGGCCGGAAGACAACCTCCGAGCAGAAAAAGACACTCCGCGTTGAAATCCAATTTGGGAACTTCGCTGGTGGACTTGTGTTGCGTCTGCACGCGTCATGGGGGCGCATGCATGCACACATCTACAAGTGGAAAACAGGGTGTGCGGGGAGTTGGAGAAGGCACAAACAGGTGCTGGGAAAACGGCGAAGCGACCAGACGCAGAAACGTATTAGCGTCTGCGCAGAAGCGTACTAGCGTCTACGCAGACGCTAATACGCGAGACACACGGGCCCCAGAGATCCCTCAAAGGGTGTGAACAAAGTGCGAAAAGATCAGATCTGCCTTGCAGCGCATCTTGACTCAAGGGAAACACTGGCAAACGCTGTGTAAGCGGCCACAGGGATGGCGAGCATACGGGTCTAAAAGACTTTCCGCTAAGGAGTTCGTATGCCATGACGCTGCCGAGGGAGTATCCAAGAAGGCTGAAGCGGCTGTTGGTGAAACGGCCTGAGGAGTGCTGCAGCCAGCGGCAGAGAAGGACTCAATAAAACACAGGTTTCTAGCGTTGTCTCGGTGCGCAGCCACCCTTTCTGCTGCAGTGAGCGCTGCTTGGCGCTGCTGCTTGCTGGGGGTGGCCGTATGAGGACCGCTGGCCTCAACAAGACACAGCTAACCTTACGGAGACAGAAGGCGAGGATCCTAAGGAATACTTGCTAACGAAAGAAGGGCAGGGGAAAGTAAGCCACCTTAGGCCAGCATGCGTGCCACGAATGGAAGCACGCGATGCATACAGGGCAGAGAGAGCCGCGCCTCCAACAAGGGCTAGCCAGCGAAAGAGCACGTGCTCATGACAGGAAAGGCGACTGCCAGACGCGGCTGTAAAAACGCTTACGTGCTTCAGTCGGTGGTAGGCAGCGTTGAGCTGGGCAGCAACTTGCTGCATGATGAAATCTCCGAAGCGCGGCGTCATGAAGAAGAGTAAGTCCCCCGCGGTTAAGGTCAGGAGCCGCCGCATTTCATACATAGAGGAGATGCCGATGCTCTGAAACAAGCTGAAAAGAAATAGAGCCTCACAGCGGAGGCGCACACGGAGACAGCTAGACAGACGGCCAAACAAATCCTCATTCAAACGGCGGAGGAGCACCAGGGGCAGGCAGTAGTCACACAGAGGGTCAGCGCGCAAAAAGCAGAGAGGGTCCACGACACAGATGCGGCACGCAACAAAACGAAGCAGCACGAATAAAAGCGCTCATAACTCTTGTTGGGAAGACTCTAAGGGCAGACCAACAGGAACGCGTTGAGGGTAGACAGGAGAAGAAGACGTTGTTAAGGCACTGATTCGTGGAGCAGAAAGGCACCCTCGGCGAGGGAGGGAGGAAGGAGCCAGGAATAAGCAGGAGCATTACCAAGAGAAAGGAAAACGTGCGTCTTGGTACGCGCAGACAGACGACAGCGAGAGAGCGAGAGAGAGAGAGAGAGAGAGACGAAACGAGTAAAGCGAGGCAGACGAGAAACAGAGGCGGTGGGAGGCCGCGGTATGAGGAGAAGGTCGAGAAAGGGAAGAAGAGGTAAAGATGAAGCGCAAATACTCTCGTCTAGAGGGGCTTAGCAGGGAAGTTCGGGTCTGACTGGTCTTGTGCTTCCACAATGCATCTTTTCCAGTTGATGGCGAGGACGTGAACGCTCACTGGCTTTCTCCAATACCACAAAGAGTTCACGCATCTGAAGGCATAGCAGCAGCACCACCAGCGTCTTCACATTTCCGCTCGCTGCGGCAGAGCAGGTGCAGCACGCGTGTTTCCCTAAGGCCTGCTGCAAAGGTAACTTCGCAGCACCGCCTCTTTGAACGTGTAGGAGAGGCAGGCAGCTCCCCACGAGACGCTGTCTCATGATCATCCGCGGCTCTGCCGCCGATCATTGGACGCACGGCCTTGGTAAGGAGATTAAGAGATGCACAGCATGGCATGGCATGGCATGCGCGCGAGAGGCGCAAACACGGCAAGGCACAATACGCAGCACATCCTTGTTCTTTTTTGGAGTTTGCACTGGTTTCTGCCTGTCTGCCTGCCTATTCGCCTGCCTATCTGCCTGCTTGGTGGATGCATAAGGGAGTGAGTAGGCGAGTATATCAATAGAAGCAGCGCTACCTGATGGAATGCCTGAGCTGCTCTTGCTGACAAACTTCGTGCTGAGAGCCGCAGCCGATGCCGTGAATGACGAGGAGCACGTGTTCTACAGGTGCACACTTGTCTGCCTCCCCGAGGAGGAAAGAATCTGCTGGTTCTTCTCCAGCGTCGGCGGATGCTGTTGCCGCTGCGGCAGTCTCGGATACTGCCGTCCCCTGAACTGCACACAACAGGTCAGAAGGGGAGGGCCTTGATTGCCCAGAGAGGCCGTTGAAAGTCTCAGGCCGCAGCGGCAGCAATTCTGTCAATCTATTGATGCCCTCCATCTGTAGATCCTCGCCAAGAGAAACTGCTGCCGCTGCGGCGGCTCTGCGAGCAGCAGCAGCGGCCTCCTCCTCCTCCTTCTCCCTCTGCCAACTGGGGGCTCCTTCAGCGTCTGCTGCCGAGGAAGACTCTCCTGCATTGTGTCTGTTTTCCGCGTTCAGCAGCGCCTCATCTGTCAGAATCGTGTTCACCTCCTGCAGCTGCTGCTGAGCGGCGATGCTGCGACTGCTGCCAAGAGCGAGCAGACGGCTGCGCAGATTCAGAGGACTGCGTTGAGGGCCTGTTACTCCTGCCCTTGACACGATCTCTCCCTCGTCTGCCTCGAAATCAAAAGAACTGCTGCTGCTGCTCCTGCGGCTGCCACTGGCGCCCTTCTGCCGCGTCGCCGAGGGGGCTAGTAAAGGATCCATCCCCCCCCCCTTCGCACTGCCGCTTGAGGCCTCTTCGGGAGAAGCGCCTCCCGTTGGATCCACCCCCCCCTCGCTGCCGTCAAAGGAGGCTTTCTGCTGTTGTGTCGCGGCCTCTTCATACCACTCGTCGAGACTTGAAGATTCAGACGTTGGCTGCCCCGCGAGGAGTCTCGCTGGAACTGAAGCTGCAGACTGTGGAAGCGCTGCTTGAAAGTGGGGGAATAGGAGCTGAGGGACTGCCTCGCTCGTCACTTCGAAAGACTCGTGTCTCAAAGCCTCCGCGTTCTGTAGCTTGGCCTCTTCCAAGCCGACCGCCTCCTCAATTTGCACAACTGATGCTGAAGCCGAGGATCCGTAAAGCGAGGACTGCGGCCTGCTCTGCCGCAGGGCGTCGCGGAGGCGTTGCAAAGCTCTCTGTTGCACTGAATGACGCTGCGCTCCTGCGCCTGCTCCCTCTGCTGCTGCTGCAGTTGCTACAGCACCATCTCCCGCGGCCAGATCTCCTACCGGCTGTGCTGCAGAAGCTGCCGAAGGCTCCTCCAGAAAATTGCCGGAAGAAATGCCTCGTAACAAAGAGTCCCACATGTTTTGAGCGCTCTGCTGCGTCGGCAGATGCCGGGGAGAAGGCGGTCGACGCGGAAAATGCCGCAGTGTCGGTGCTGTTGCGACCCTTCGCGCCTCAGAAAACTTACGCCAGCAACGGACACACACGGACCGGCAGGAACGGCGGGAGGCAAAGACGTTACGGAAAGCCGATTCAATGAAATCCTCGCGCTGCTGCAACAGCCTGTTGTAAATGCTGCTGCTCTTGCGACGCGGGTTCCTGATGACTGGGATCCCGCTGTCGCCAATGCAGCAAAAAACACACTTACCTGCACTTGCTGCGGGTGGGGTTACCGCAATATTTAGCCTGTCACGGACGCAGCGACTGCTAGGACAGCAACAGCAGGAGCAGTTGCAGCAGGAAAGTCATGAAAATTCATGCGCACAGGAAGGCAGGATTGACCGCAGAAGCTTCGCGCGCGTTTGCTCTCAAACACGCTGCTTTTCGTTTGAAGACCACTGGAGGGCCCTTCGGCTAGCAGCAGCCGCCGCCAAGGTAACAAGCGTGGCGAAAAACACGAGTGCTACATGTAGAGGTTTGCATACTCTCTTCTCCGAAACACTAGAAGAAATGCCAAAGCAGAAGGTGAAGCAGACTAAGTATACACTGCTCCGGCGCGTGTTGTCTAGGAACATAAAGACAGATCTCAAGGTAGTAGCAGCCGCAGCAGTGGCGGGAACAGGGGCTGCTGCCTTTTTGTGCTATTGCCAAACGGCCTGCGAGCCTATACGCGTTCTGGTGCTCTTGAATCGCGTTCATGTCCATGTATGTGCTCTTTGCTGCATTTCAATTAATATAACACTGCGAGTTTTCTTTGGTTTACCGAGGCTGCGGAATTGAAGTCGGCACCGCGCCTCCTCGTGCCCGGCCGGCAACTGCTGTGGATTTCTCACCTCGTTGCACGATTTCCGCATGAAATATCCCCTTACTTCCTCTAGGGCGATCTCATAAACTGGTGCCTGCCTTCCTATCGTCAGCATCTGGAGCTGCAGCAGTTGCGCTTGCAGCGTGTTGCTCGTCCGCAACCCCACGCCTGCCGCTTCCTGCCATACACAATGCCCAGTAGAGGCGCTCCGGGGGGCCCAGGCGGAAGGCGAGGAGGCTCCCGGGGAGGCCGTGGCTCTAAGCCTCAGAGAGGCAGTCGCAGTATTCCTACAGAGGAGGAAGTGCTCGCAAGGAACGCGGGACCGTCGGAGAGCAGCGAGCAGTCAGACGAGCAGACAGAAGAGGAGCTGCAGCAACCAAGGAGGGGTCCAGCCTTCGTAGCGAACAGTGACGTGAGTCTCAGCAGCTGCGGCGGCACCCAGCCCTTCCTTATCCTGTGCCCCCTGCTTCTTCCATGATGCGCATGCAAGCATGCATGCATGCATGCACGTTGTTTCTTCTGTACATCCTCAGGACGAAGAGCCACTGGTGGGACCTTGATTGCCTTCTCGCCCCTTCCTGCGTTCCCTAGCGGATTTCCATGGCATGCAGTGCTCCTCGCTCAACAAGGGCTGCCGTTCTGTGGTCTTCCCTCCCCAGTGCACATCTGTTGGAGACGAGTGACTACAACAAGCTACTCTTAGGGAGGAGCTTGCTGGATTTGACCCTGTTGCTTGTATCGCTGTACAGGGGAGTAGAAGAGGTCGTAGGACAGGATGGGGGCGTCTTCTGGACGCAGGGAACCGAGGGGTGGTTGCTCGTGCGTGAAGGGGGGGTTGTCAGGTCCGTGTTGCAGTGTGCTTTGTGCTTCTGCTGCTATTTCAGCTGGGGGGAGGAAATCCTAACAGGGACGGAGCTGCGATCGAACATCGGGGACCATCGCGGCGCGAGAGGGAAGCCATGGAGAAGGCCAAGCAGGCAGCCCTTATGCAGGTGATCTTTCCCCGCCTTCTGTGCTTGGTTTCGCTCGCTGTTTCTGCGTGCTCCTGTCTTTCGGTGCGATCATTTTTTGTGTATGCTCGCTTCTCGCTGCGGCTCGTGGGAGGGAGGCGCCTTGATAGGCTTGTTGTCGCGCTGCTAGACTAGCGTGGTCAGCACTTCTGACTGCCGGTCGCCTCCTAGCTCCTCGGCGCAGCCACAGGAGGATGCCAGAAAGCATTCTTGTAACAGGGAGGGGGCCCTTGATACGGGGGTGGGGCCTCTATAGGGTAGAGAGTGCGTAAGATTGTACGAGGCAGCCTAGCGGCTGGTGTCGAGGCGCACAGAGAGCAGCTCTTTGCGAAGCCGTTTGGCCAACACAGCCTCCATGGTAGAGGCGTGTTTGATGACTCTGTTGCTTCTTCAGAAGCTCCAAGCTGAAGGAAAAACAAGCCGTGCCAAGGCAGACCTTGCCAGGTGGGTTGCTCAATACGGAGGACACAAGGGCGAGAGGCTACTTTTCCCCGTGTGTTTTGCCACGTGCCCTGCCTGGCTCGGAGCTGTGTTGACGCCATGGCCGCTACAAGATAACAGCGCCAGAAGAGCATTGGCTGCCGCCGATGCTCACACCTTCCTCCTACGTATTCATCGGCTTGCATGGAGTGTATGTTTGTTCTGCCGGCTTGCAGACTGGCTGAAGTTCGAAAGAGGAGAGAAGAGGCAGAACGCGCCAGAAGCGGCACGTCTTCCTAAGCCTCTCTTAATATTAAAAGCGCTAGAAGCAGCAGTACCAGCTGCCTTCGCAGGTCCGCATATGCGAAAACTCAACAGAGGTCGGGTGACTCTGTTGCGCGGCGAATTCCCGCCATGGCTTATGGTCTGCTTGCCACCAGCACTACCACTTAGTGTTGCCACAGCCTCATCGTATTGCTGGCTGCACTGTCGCTTGTGCTTTAGGGGTGCAGCATAGTCTGCAACTTGAATACTTAGCAGCAGGCTCTTGAGGGATTGCCTCTGCCGAGGGGGAGGGCAGGGAGGGATAAGGAGACACAACGGCAGAGAGGCGTCGCTAGTTTGTGCCTATGATAGAACTGCAGCGGAGAGCCACGTCCTTCAGCTGGGTTCCCAGTATAGAGGCCTTTTCAGAGATGGAAAGGCGCGCGGAAGGGGTGCCAGCGTTTCCGCCAGTTATAGACTGCCGTGGTTTAATGAAGCTGCGGCGGGACCGGCTTTTGTGGGTCTTCATATCTCGCGAAACCAGAGCATGCAGAAGCTGCTTTAAGAAATCGTTCTTATCGTATATACCTGCAGAGCCGCTCACCAGACCAACTGCAATGAGATAGGGGGACTAGCATGGGGTACAGTTTGATGGTAGTGTGGTGACTTGAAAAGCTGTATACATGCCAGGAAAGGACAGTTACTTCGAGACATATATGTTTCAAACAATCGTTGCCCGAAGTGATGCCAATGAAGGGGCTAAGGGGTGATTGACTGGCAAGAAAATAAGAATAGCGGCATAGTTGGAGTGCGCAGGGCAAACCCTCACCTGTGAGAGCCCTGGCAGACACCTGCGCCCAGGTGCTGCAAAGTCCCTGATCGACGAATGCCTGAAATTCTTCTGCAGTAGCTTCTGCCTTGCGTTCCGAAACGGAGTCGGCCTTCGTGGCCAACAGGCACACTATGGCGTCGGGTGCGTATTTGCGGCACTCTGCCATTGCTGTCCTTGTAAGCCAGCGGGTCGCGGTGCTCTTACAGGTCGAGGACTGCCCGTCCACGCATACCAACATTGCCCTGGTACCCCGCCAGAAAAGTTCACCAGCAGGATAATTTCCAAACTGACGCAGCACAGAGAGGCCAGGGCTAACTGCGGTCTGGGAGTGTCTGACCCCATAATTTCTCATCATTGGCACTGCATGGGGTTTATTGGCCTACATATGCAGTGGAAGAAAAGGAAGTGCACGGGGAAACTTGAGACTGACCCCCCTATGGGTATCCCAAAAATCGACATTCACAATACAGGCAGCCGGTTCTGAAATCGCCCAGGACTTGGTTCCCAGACGCATGGACCAAGTAGGCTCAGGGTGGGAGCTGAAGTTGTTACTAATGTACCTGCATCAGTTACAAGTCTCAGTTGCCTCTTCTGTCTGCCCTTCCACCTACTCTATAACTCAATAGTAGCTTGTGGATTTGCCTACCGTGGTTCTGTGCTGCATGGCCATAGATGTGAAGTACATGGGTGGATATGCAGCGTGCTTGCCCTTGTATTGGCCTTTCGTGTCACTAAGTGGTGGAAAAAGCTTCAGTGTCAGTGTTCATGTTTTTCGACGAGAATAGACAAAAGTAGACAATCAGGAAGCGCTAGACAGGTCGTAAGAGAAGCCACTGATACAAATGACGCAGTGTATACGGGATCAACGGGTTACTAATTAAGACTCAGCGGATGCAGCTGCTACCGGGTATTTGCGTCACTGTATTTACCTGTTCACTATACTTGTCTTGCCGGACTTCGGGTCACCAATAACTACAATTTTCTCGTGAAAAACCGGCAAGGCCTCCATGACGCTGTCATCCAGAAGTGTGCTCGACAAATCAGGTTTCCTAAATTTCCACATTGTCTAGTAATAAACTCTACGAAGCGCAATTGCTACTGGAAAGGGGGGGTCTAGTAATAAACTTTGTGAAGTGCAATTCCTACTGGAAAGGGGGCCACCAATAACAGCGTCAACTGGTCAGGTTCAACCATAAAACACGGCGCAGAGAAGTCTATCTGCCTAGAATGTACGTACAGATGTATATATATAATACTTGCAAATTTTTAGCTATATGTAAAGTCTTTTGAACTGCATGTTCTCACGCAGGCCGGGCTGCATGTAGTCGTCAGACTTACCTTAGGCCGAGATACATGTAGAACATAAGGCCCCGCCGAGCAGACTCCTCAAACCATCGCTAAAGGGAGCCGTCAATGCTATTCCTGGGGAAGCAAGTCCTTTCAGCATATGTGTGCTTACCGAAAGTTGTCTAATGAGGGAGTTTTTGCCAAACCTTTATCCCAAGCATGCCCACTGCAGCAAGCAGGATGAAGACGGTTTCACTTGAGACATGAGACTCTACGAGTCTTCACCTAAATGTATTATTTTCCTTTCGATTATGCCAATCACCAAAAATATTCCGACTTTGGAGAGCATCACTCTTGAGGAAGAATATGTATACTGAGGTCACTTTTAGTCAGGGACAGCCCAACAACACTCCAGCATCATAAAATCTGACACATATTGTGGTTTCAAAAGCTAAGTACAGCTTTACAGGTTAAACTTTGGGCACGCAGGCAGAACACAGTCGACACAAGCAAGAGAGGGATGTGGCAGCCCACATCGGTCCTGACCGTATAAGGAGCGTCAACACTGAACAGCGCCCGTCATTTTAGGGGCGCAAGTTCCCATCTTTAGCGTATATTGTGGTCTGTTCAGGCCACTTATGGCACGGTTCATTACGAACGCAGGATACAACCAACATCTTGCCCCACAATATTGCTTTTTCTCGTCGTTTACCGTTGTCACCCCACAGTTGTGATCGTTCAAAATTCCACCGACCTTAAGATGCTTCACTTCCGAGCTGCTGTGGATAGGGGCGTCTGCATCATGTATCGGTCTTTTTGTCTCTTTCTCAGAAACATGTTCAGCTTGTGAAATAGCAAAAATTCTACCAAGGCGCTGTACGTGTGGGCTTGCATTCGCCGAAAATTGCTTGCTGTGCGCATAGCACCCTTTTCCCGCAACTCTGGGGCAACATTCTACGTGGCTGTGTCCTTTTTCCAAATGCACTACGCTAGAGGACTCAGCTACACTTCGGCATACGTCCTGCAATAGAATTGACTAAGTGGGTTTGCTTTTGGTATCTTTCAGTTGTAGAGTAGCAATATCTCAGTAGGCTAACAATCAATGTTTTCTGCCTGTGCGCTACATGTTTTTTGAAACGATCAGTGAGTGCTCAAAGTAACTAGCAGATGCAGCAACGCACATCCTTTCTTCCCCTCTCTCCTGATGGCGGAACGCCGCTATGCTAAGGCCCTCATAGGGGCGAGCTCTAGGGAGAGGGCACTTGATAACTTCCCACTAAGTACTGCACTGGGTCTGAGGTAATTATCTCCCTACGGTGACCCTAAAATCAACGTTACAACTACACACTGGCATATTTGGGGTACAGGTATTGCGTGCAGTATCACAGCTAGTATAAATAACATTTGGACATCAGTAAAGAGCAATCACCGGAGGTGCGTGTATTGCTAGCAGGATAGTGTTGTGGCTGCATCCTAACCTGCTGTCATTTCCAACTTTTTTCACACCCCTACAAAGCATCGAATCTCGCCATTAAAGCTTCCACAATCAAGCAACTTGTGAACAATCAAGGAGTCTTCCGGACTATTCGCCTGGGTCTCTATGTTTGCCTCCATTAGGGACTGTCCATTACACTAGTCAGGTAATGAAGTGTTGCGGTCGCAACTATATTCCTGGCTACACTATATCAATGCACATTTTACTAGATACCCTCAAACGTACCGGATCCCCAAAGTGCAATCGTGTCCCTGATTATCAAGCCAGAGACAAAATCCTGGAGTGACGGGCCTGTACACATCTTTGGAGCATGCTCTGATTCCTGTTCCTCAAAACACCACTAAAAGAAGCGTGAACATTGCCAAAACGGTACATTTTGCATTTAGAGGTAACCAAGCAATGCATCACGTTTTAGGGCCAAATACCACGAGTTCCGGCTTGTTGAAAGCACAAACCGATGATATTAGATCGTTTTACGATCCCCAGCAATGCTGGTGGTGGACGTTTTCGACGAAGCCATCCGGCGGCTCTGTCAAGAGTTCTGTCGCTCACTGTGGGGACTTGCTAGTTGCAGAAGGAAAGAAAGGCTCCACATAGAAGCATGGATGTGAGCGCCAACCTTTTTCAATATTTTGGTCACCTTTTGGCACAAGCTCTTTCCAAAGCTCCCCAACAGACTGCTTGACCTCAGGGCTCAAGCGCTTCACGTCCTGGGGCGCCACGTGTGAACTTGGTCCAATCTTACTCGGAAGGGAAAAAGTACGCCCTATTGCTCCCCCATCAATGGGATGCACATAGGTCCACTCGCTATACTCGTTCTATGTCCCAAAGTTGCTTTTCTGGACTTAAGTTCTCAAATGTGGTGCTAGCAGCACAGTTCCGTGTACGCGCGAAGCTCGGCGTTGCTTGCCCTTGAATGTAGGCGAACCGATGCTAACTTGAGTAGTCCTAATAGTTTGTTTTAAAGCCTTGTTTTATAGTAGGCATGCAAGAATTTTGAGCATGATAAGCACGTGCAAAGCAAAGCATGCCCAAAGGCCGTCCGGCGTCGTGGAACAGCAGTGGCTTTTCGCGCCGTACAGCTACCTCACAGCCGGGAAGATTCTTGCTGAAATAATAGGTTGGGCTGAATACATACTTTTAAAGGCATAGAAGAAACTTGCAAGGGCTCATGTTTTGTTGCTGTGCCCGGACATATTTGCCATGTATTGTGAGCCACTGGTCTACTAAATCGAAAGATCCAATAGAGGGATACTATTAAAAGGACTCTGTAAGGTACAGCTTACTAAGCTCCTGATTCCAAGGTTAAAAATCAATTTCGCGCCCAGAGACCCATAGTGCAGTAGGCTCAGGATGGGTTCGTCTCGGTGCATCGATTCGTCAGTCCGTAGATCAAATTCTGGTCCACAGTCAAGCCCAAAGACTTCTAAGGGTCTTCACGCAAATCTCTCTAAAGCCATAATTAGGTATACTGAGTCAGTTCAGAACCGTGTCGTGCCTCACCCCAACGCCTGCGTCTCCGAGTCCGGCGCCGTCCGGAGCATTTGCCGTGGGCAGCATCCCGTGAAGCATCACAAGTTTCGCGCCCTCTTCCAGGATGTAGCCTCAATTACCGTGTGTTTTAGGTACGATCGCCAGAAGGTTGGGTTTTAAGGGAGCTTCGTCATCCCAGTTAAGGTAACTTTTTCATGCCTGTCAAGCTCAGCAGTGCGTGTCTTCCTCGGACAGGGATTCCCAGTTCCTTTTTCGCCCTTTTCCCCCACGATTCTTTTTACTTTCCTCTAAATTGAATTCACGTAAGCAGGAGGCTTGTAATAATTGTGTTGGGGTCGTTTTATTCCAACGGTTCCTGTGGACCCCTCAGTTTCGTTCCTTGTTTTGTCTTAACTTTTCATAGTTTTCGTTTCCTATACCAGTTTTTGTGCTTATCAGAAGCTACCACTTTTCACTCCCACCGAAGCTTCCCTTAGTGCGGTGCCTGTGATGTTTACGCGGTGCACCGCCCTCCCTGTCACCGTTTTCTTTTTCCAGAGGCTTCTCATCCCCTCAACTATTTAGCCCCCAGATGATGCGATTTATACAAGTAACGCATTGTCTACTTTTCCTGAGAGGCATAATGCCCCGTCGGATGCGATTTCTCCATGTGGCCTTGAGCGTTGGCTTGGCAGTAACAGGGTGTCTACGTGTTGAAATCGGCTGCCAATGGGTAGCTGCAGCTGCTTCAAGGGACAACCCTGAAGACCTCACAGTCTCTCGCTTTGCCTCCCAGCTTGCAGTCAAGGCTGACGCGGCTAGTCTTGTAGCATGGCAACAGGATGTCGAGGACAGCTTGCAGCAGTTTCGACACCAACTGAAGAGTGACTATCCTCTGCCGCCCACACGTAAGTAGGCAGTCGCGTTTATTGTTTTCTCCCACGCTGTTGCGCGCACGACTATAAATTAAGTCAGTGAGGATCATTGGTTTCCTGTGACCTTTGCAGCCGAATCGCTGCACACGAATGCCATATTTTCTCTGAGGGAAGCACCTGGAGAGAGATTCCGCTATGTGTCACACGTAACGCCTCGTATCTTTGACTTCTTTTCGATCGACACGAAGAAAAAGCGGATGGTTGAAGCTGACATCTTCTATACTGAGGCTCGAGTCCTACATGGTGAATATCACGCCTTTACCAGACCTTACTTGTATATCTTCTGTCACCTGAGCCGCGATACCACTTGGAATGCTAAAAATAGAATGAACCACTTCTGTAGAAGACTGCTTTAAAACTCTTCTCGCTTTTTTGTGTGCTAATAGACCCCGTCAGAGACGCTGAGAAGATGGCCGAGCGAGCAGAGAACATTATGCTACACCTGCAGAACAAGCAGTCCCAGTTGCGGGCTCTTATCGATACGAGGTCCACTGACTCCTCTTCAGCTATGTTAACGTTACAGAAGGGTGTGGGTGATATGAATCTCGAGCAGCTACAAACTTTTGAATCCAAGGCAACAGAGGAGCTCGAAGCAGCAAGGAAGGTACTGGGTGCTTCCCCCGTCGTTTTCTGCTTGTCGCCCCACGCAACCCTTCCGCAGGGTAGCATACCAGATACTATCTGTGAATCCGTTTGTATGCCCTCTGTTGCTTTGTCTGCTCAACTTTTAGCTGTCGTGAAAGCTTGTGAGTGGTAATTGCATGCTTACTCCTCTTGTTCCTAACTGCTTGCAGTATTCCCTTCTAACCCCAGGAACCCGCATTCCTAGTGCAGCTAAGCTTTGCCTTCTGTGTTGCCTTCGGGCTGGCGTTTTTGCGTGTTAGGTAGTAGAGGACTTGGAGCGAGCTGATGCTGAAACTGTGAAGCAGACGACACAGGCTGGGCGGCTGTTGCATGAAGCGAGGGCTGGAATTCTGCAGTCGGGGAAGGAAGCAAACAGTTTGAGGAAGGGACTGCAGCGTCTGGGTATACAGTTTCAACACCTAGTAGCTAGCAGCGGAGTGGAGCTGCAGTCATCCGTAGACTACATGAAACGCGCCCAGGAGGTCTTGTCCAACTTGACCAAGTCTTACAACGCGGGCATGAGCGAATTAAAGCGGAAAAAGGCCATTCTAGAGCGTATGGCGGAGGCGATGAAGATTCCCACTTTATTTGAAGAGGTGATGAGACGCCTGAGATATTCACAGGCAGCCATTGATAAGGTAATGAAATCCGCACCATCCGCGGAGGAGAAGGGTAATATGTTGAAACTCCAAGAGTTGATGGTACGCCTAGACGAAGAAAGGGCTAAGATACGAGAGGCAGGCAAGGAAGGAAATGCTCTCATTACTGACATGGCAGCGACAGAGGCGCGCCTGAACGCAGCGATCGACCAAGCAACCAGCAAAGCCATGAAGGATGAAGGGCAAGTTCACTTGCAAAAAGTACAGGATCAGTTGGTAGGAATGCGGAGTAGCCTGACGGAGAATTTGAAAAAGGCGGAGTCCTTGCTCTCCTCCGCCACCTCAGAAATCTCGAATCACCTTGAGAATTGCCTGGAATTTTGCAAAACAGCTATTGAATCCAGCGAGGCGTGGTTGAAGCAGGCAGTGGAGCAACAAAAGAACTTGCGCAAGACGCTTGTCACGAAGCAGGAAGAAGCAGCTGCTGCTCAGAATGCGGCTCGTCAGCTCAAGCGGGTGCTACTGGAAGACATTGCAGACGTCCAGTCGAAACTGGCCTCTGGAGCAGCAGATGCAATCCAGCTGGAGGCCCAGTACTCGCTGAATGCCCACAAAGATACAGCTGAAGCTTTGTTGCTTAAAGCAGATGAAGCCGTAAAACGGATAGAAATTGAGGCGGCGAATGTTCAGGCGCATGCAGCATCTGTTTACGACAAAGTGAAGGAGACCTTGCATACTCTTAGCAGTTCGGAGAAACTGGCATCAGAATTGGCTAGCAAAGCAAAAGAGCAGCAGAAGGCGCTGCTAGAACAAAATCTTCAAGGCAAGGAAGCCGTGGAGGCTGCCTCTGAGGCTGAGAAGGCAGGACGAAGATCTGCTACTGCTTCAATGCTTGCAGACAGGAGCTCAAGCCTTTCTAATGCCTTGACGATGCAGGTGGAGGAGATGAAGGCAGCCATGAAAACGATTGACGACTCTCTCGTCTCTATGCAAGGATCCAACACGGATGAGGCACAGAAAGCTGAAGAGGCCGCGCTCACCGCTAAGGAGCTGAAGAAATACCAAGACCAGGCGGTGGATAACATAACAGAAGCGGATAAGTACCTGACGCAGGCCAAGCAGACGAAGGCACAGATGAATCTTGCAGAAGACAAGCTAAGCAAATTGATCAAAGAATTTCACGAGGCTTTGAAACAGAATTCAATAGAGCTTGTGTTGAAAGATTTTGGTGGAGACAGTACAGCGAAGTCACCGGCGGGGAAAGAAGATTCCACTCAAGGAGGTCCATACCCTGCAGGCAGCGGGGAACCGAGCCGACTGGTTTCTCTTGGAGCGTCTGTGCAGCAAGACGTTGGACAGCTGCTAAACTTTGCATCTGAGATGATGAAGTGGGCGGACGAATCTGAAAAGGCACAACAACAGGCGCTGTGGGACTATACCAACCTGCGGTTGTCATCTTTGAAGGCAAGCTTGGAAACTGGGGATGGCGCAGCTTGGGAAGGGAAGGAGGGACAGCACAGCGGTGCAGAGGGGGACTTGCTGCCTACGACAGTAATCAAAAAGATTAAGCAAAATCCAACCGAACTGCTGGAGTTCAGGAACCAAGGAGGAGGCATCGCGGCCATAAGGGACGTTGTAGATGGGGTGCTGCAGCAGCTTTTCAGTATTCTCTCCCTTGCTGAGGGTCGGCTCACAGATCTTCTCAACATTGGCGTGCCTGAACTGGAAAAGCATATGGCATCTGCCCAAACAGCAGCAGAGGAGCTATACAAAGAGAAGGCCGAGGCCGCAGCCGCTGGTGGGGTGCAGGCCGGAATTCTTAGGTTCTTAGAGAGTCTCTTATGGGCACTCCACCTTTGCGAGTCAGACGCTTACGACTATCCATTTAGTCTTGCGGTTCGACGGACCAGGGTATTGAATGCGCTGTGTGTCTGGCTTTTGCAGACAAGATAGAAGATCACGATTCCGCGTTGGCGGTGGCCTTCGCCTCCTGCGTACAGCGTGCGCGGCAGCTGGCAACTGGGCTGCATGTTGTCGCCGACGAAGTGGAGAGCTGTTCCCGTGATGTCGGCTCCACTTTAAAGGAGCTGAAAACCTTCAGAAGCCTGCATTCCCTCACTCCTTCAGAGGTGGCAACGGAAACTATGCAGACCTCGAGAGTAAGAAGCCTTTTGTCTACTTCTGACTCGTCTGTGGCCATTCGCCGATTGTCTGAAATTTCTAGCTCCGATATCAGCATTCCCTCTTTGGATGAAATGGCTCGTCTTTCCGAGGACCTTGCGGCTAGAGCTGCAGATGCCAAGAATGGACTTGTAAATCGCGTTGCACATCTCAAGGCCCTATCAGAGTCTGGAGTAAATGATCCTGCACCCTTGCCTGAGACGGGGTACATAGATCCCTTACCCATCCCAAGTAGCTCTGCTCCGCAGCAGCCCGAGAAATCGACTCATGGGACCCCGCCTGGAGGAAGCTCTTCAGGAAAGAACGATAAGAAGGGCGGAATTAGCAACCCTACAGTATTTTTGGCCGTAGGCGTCGCTGGGGCAATTCTATTGTTTGTAGCTCTGTCCTTCTGCGGGTTGTACGCATACAAAAAGCGGCAGAAGCGACTTAGCTGCCGAAAGCAAGTGGATTCTTCATCTGACCAGATGCGCAACAAACCACCAGACGCTCCCGGAGATTCAGTTGTCTGCAAGCCCACCTTTGGCCTCTATAAAATATCTCTAGAGATGGATGATCCTGGGATGCAGGCGCACATGCAACAGGTAAACTCTCGGGCAAATGCTGGCGAAGGTGCTCGCGGGTTGATCCCGGCAGTTGTCAGTGTCCCCGCGAGGGAGATCAGTATGGGCGACTTGGAGACGGGAAAAATAGACACTACCAAAAAGCAATACTTTATAGATGAGCATCATTTAGTGGCCAGAGAACTTAGCAAGATTCAACCTTCTAGGTGTCGCACACCCCTAGCCTTTGTTGTCTCCTCAACTCCTGTAGACGCAGAGCCCCCCGGGCCGACCTCTGCCACCACAGGCGTACGTACACCACGCTTGTGGGAGTCCGATCATACTGAGGAGTCTGTCCAGGGGCGCTCTGCCTCCCCATCTGTGGAGCATCATCGCCAAGAGCCGAATGACGAGCAACAACAAGAGCAATCTGGGGCTGAGGAGCTTCGCGAACTTGAGGGTGAAATGGAGTTGAACTTGGAAACTCCAGTGGATGACGAAACGCCCAGGTCTTAGATGCGATTTGAAAAGCACTCATCTCTGTAGTGTGGGCCTATGACACGCGCCTTCTTCCAAATATTACCCAAAGAGTGAAAGGGATGTTCAAGAAACGCCCCTTCTAGTGGGGGCCGTGTTTCCTCTCGCAAATTTCAATGTCATCTTCTAGAGCTGCATAGGTGGCTCCTCGCTATAGCGTTTGCCTCTAAGGAGGAGTTGAAGACCCTAGGTAGTCTGAATTTTCCGCTTGCAGCAGCAGTGTTTAGAGCTCCGGACATGGGCTCACTCATATCTTCCGGGGTGCCTGATCCATAACTTACACAAGCAAGCTTGTTGCCGACGCAGTCGGTGCATTACAGGCCATTGAAAGCAACAGAGAGGGGGCAGCCCTCAGTGAATACAACTTGCGTAGAGCCCTTGTATACTTGATCTTTATGTCTGATGGCAAATGCCGTGCGTGCGATGCATGCACGTGGTGAGCAGTGGTGATTTGTAAGGGCATTTGTGCCTGCGCTACCTTCATTTCATGGGATGTACAAAGGAATCCACAAGAGGGGAGCTTTTACGTCCACCTGGAGTTGATGACGCGGGTACAGCTGCTGTCACCCTGGATTTTTGAGATGGAAAAAAATAGTGAGTTTACATTGGTGTCTTCGCACAACCAGCCTCCACCAGGCAATGATGTGCTTCTATTTGACGATACAGCAGAGCCCGGTTCTGCCGTACAGGATTCTCTCCTGTGCAGTTATTCCCTGTTGGTCAGCGAAACGCATTTTCTCTGCGAGATGAGGGCTGATACGGAGCAATGCGTTCAACTATTGCTTGGAATTCGGTTTCTTGACATGCTGTACTTTGGCCAGAGTTACACACGATGTTCTTCCCTGGACAGAACTAATTATGTCTCATCTTATGAGTTCCAGTATTTTATCCACTTTTTATTCCTGATCAAAGCCTTTAGTTTGGGTTTCACCTCAGGCCAGTGCCCTTGTGCGTGTAGAAAAAATCTGGTCGGCATCTCTCCACTTGTGTACCACTCTGGCGGACTTGATTGGAATTTACAAATTACGTACTGACCTAGCGCTGCCGGTGCGGTCCGGCGATTAGTATGGTAAAGTGCTAAGAATTTTGGCGGCCTGCGGTGCCCACGAGGAAATGGGCTGGAATTTGTTCTTGAGTATGATCCTACATGCAGGCGTGCAACGCCAAATTTACTTCCCCCGAAAGAGAAGAGACTTGCGCATAAATCTTTAGAGGGAACAGAACTACACTCTTTTTGCCGTATCGACTGAAGGCGCCTGATCCTCGCGCACTTATGCACGGAGACAAGCAACGGTCTATCATGCCTTCCACAATTCGTAGCCGCCAGCTAAATACGTGCTCACACAGCGAGAACACCGGAATTTTCTCTTTGAAAAAGATTCTCAGTGCTGCACGCGGCCCAAGTGTCCTCACTGGCAAGTGATTTGACCGCTCCAATATATTGAAGTGCGAAAGGGGAAGTGCAGCCCAACTCATGCGCGCCACGTTCCATTAAGGCAGAATCCACAGCAAGCTTTTCATGAAGAGTAGCCTTTCGCTCACTTCATGCTTCTTGTGAGTAGTTGCTTTGCTGCCTGCCCAGGAGTACGCTTCCCAAATGTATGCTCATTAGGCTTGTTCGCCGTACACCCCTTGGTACACAGTGGCTAACCAGAAACGCATTGATTCGAAATGGAGGCCACTGCTAGTCACTGTTCGCCTAGATCAAAGTAGGCACTGAGGGGCTCAGTTTGTTCCCAGATAGCCTTCCTACTGCTTTCGCAGGTGGGCACGTCCTAGAGTATTCCACCTGAATGTGCGAATCGTAGGCTTATCCTGCCGTTCTATTGTAGTCTAGCTTAGATGTAGTTGAAGTTGGGCTAATTAGGCAAGGATTCTGCATTCGGTTCCGCGGGGTCATGGTCTAGTTTCGGATAAACAGGACTCTACGGTGCCGTCAAACGCTTGCGGGCCCTTTCGTATACGGACGATGGACTACGCCCAACCGCCGAGACCACAGTGGATCTGCGAAAAGAATTCCCTATGGGCCCTTGGAGGGCCTTTTAGCGTGCCACACTGTCGCTGCCTGAGGTTTCGCCTTCCCCTGGTGCCAGTAACGGTGCTATTGCGCAATCTGCAAATGCATTCCCCCAGCTAATACCCTAGATGATCATTTTGCGTTCTACTTTGTCAAGAAGTGTGCGGTCCACCGGCCTCTCAGGCACGCACTTGTCGATAGAGGACGCTTTGAACCCCGCGGTCAGCATTCACAGGCGACTACGAGGGCAGAGGTCGGGTGAGCGATTGCCGCCAGAGCCTCTCCTCCTCTTTTATCGTATGTGTCCATACTGAGTCACATGTATTATGCTCGTTTCATGGATAAACATGCTTGCATAGCCGTTTCGTCCTGTCCTCGTCGGTCGTTGCGTCTCAATTTCCTTGTATCGCTTGCGCAGCTGCGGCTGCAGCTACCCAATATTTCTCGCGAGAATTACGCTCGAAAAAATGTTGAGTCCACTTGGGAAAGCCAATATTATTTTCTGAAAGAAATATAGCTACGCGGCACCCCGGGCAGAGCCACACCTGCACGGCGCCTGCTGCAGCCAAAGGCGGAGGCCTTCCGACGCCTTCGTGACAATCTTCTACTGCAGTAGCTTCCCTTACCAAAGATGCGATGATTGAAAGCGACAGTGATGCAAAAGATCATCCCAAGCCAGTCCCCCGGGGGCCCCCTCGGAGGCCCCACATGGAAACGCCCTGTTCGGGTTCATTCGTGGGGTAGGAACCCCTAGTAGGTAATAACCACGGCCTTCCCTTGCAGCACACTAGACCGCGAGAGACACTCCAGCTATTTTCTAAAGAGATGGAACGGAGAGGAAGGAGTAGAAAAAGGAGAAAGACAGTAGCAGCGAACTGCGTATCTGAGCTCTGAGGCAGAGAGCATTGGCTGCGGTTGCGGCAGCACGTGGGGGTCCGAACCCCGAGGGACACACGCACCGAGCACACTGCTCTACTACTTTTCTGAGAGCCTCTCAACTTCGTTTCTAGAAAAAAGCGACAACGCATAATTGTTACTGATTTCAAATATGGGCTTACGCGCTGCTGCTTCAGTGCGGAAGAGACGGCCCTCCAGATGACTGCGGACAGCGGCAGCAACGGACGCGGTGTACGAGTAGGAATACGATTGGTTAGCGCTGCAACAGGAAGAACCTCTTTGTCTGTCCCCCTCAATATTTTGTGCTGTGCTTCCTACTTCGCCGCAGCAGCGGCTGAGGCACACAGCGCTCTTCCAGCCGGGGGGACAAAGGCCGCTCCATAGCAGGGCCCCCCCGGCGGTAGAGCCTAACTCCAGACGGCTTTTCCTCCAGACACCCTCGATTTTTTCCTTTTCCTGCCTCTAAAAGGGCCCCTCCAGATTCACTCAGCGCATGGGGGAGGGGGGCCCTGCCGTAGCAAACTTTCCGAATTTGAAGATCGTGCCATCCTTCGCCATGGCTGCGTCGTTTAGTGGACCTCCCGAGGGCCCCCCGAATTTGAACAGCACACACGCAAGCGGCGCTGCTGCAGCGGGAGGATGCGGCTGCACTGCAGCAGCAGCCGAGTGCAGTGTCACTGCGGCCGACGTCCCCCCAGCGGGCTGCTGCTTGGCGCAGGTGTACTGCTGCCAGTGTGGGAAGGAGGGTGCTCTTTCTCCCGAGTCTATGGACTGCGGCAAAGCCTCGCTGCTGCCTGACTGGCTGCATGCAGGCGCTGCGGCAACGGCCGAAAAATGCCAAGTTGCAGCAACCGTGACGAGATCCGACTCCTGGTTGGGGGCTCCCACTGCTCCACCCTCTGCGAACGGCTGGAAGTCACCCCCCATGTACTGCAGTACTGCAGTGTCGCCTTCGTACCGCTGTGAGCAGCTCTCGTGCTGCGGATCTCCAGCCAGTAGGTGTGGAGAATGCTGCTGCCTCTCCGGCTTGCAGCTGAGGTGCACCGACACCCCGGCTCTGCAGCTCGGCGCGTCCTGCTCAGCAGACGACAACTCCTCGGCAAATCCTGCTTCGCAATCGATCAGCAGGCAGAAAGAAGAGGGCGGAGCTGCGCGTGCAGGCCGGCGAGTCCACCCTGCCGCTCCGCAAGCCGAAGTCGGAGCAGCTGCTGCGGCAGCAACGGTGAGTGAAGCCGACCACAGCAGCTGCAGTGCTGCAGCAGATCAAACGCCAAGGGGCCTCCTACCCGCCGACTCCGAAATCGGCACAAGTAAAGCGGCAGCAGCTGCTGGCCACGTAGCGCCATCCCCCTCGACCCCACAGACCCTTAGCGGGCGTGAGGCTGCTCCAGCAGTCGCAGAGCCTAAACAAGAAGCAGCAGCAGCACCCGCAGCTTCCGCTGCAGCAGACGCCGCAGCTCCACAAGCAGCTGCAGCGGAGGAAGATGCGGAAGGATGGATTGCTGTGAAGCCACGGCGTCAACGCCGTTGGGCCGACGTGCCCCTATCCGATGACGAAGACGATGGCATCGTAAGCAGCAACCTCGAGGCTTTCCTTCAAAGTCGGAGTCTTGTTATCGCAACTGCATGCGGATGCGGTTTGTTGCTTACCTGGGTGTATGCCTGCTCTCTGCGTCTGGGTGTATGCCTTCTCTCTGCGTCTGGCTGTATGCCTGCTCTCTGCGTCTGGCTGTATGCCTGCTCTCTGCGTCTGGGTGTATGCCTTCTCTCTGCGTCTGGCTGTATGCCTGCTCTCTGCGTCTGGGTGTATGCCTGCTCTCTGCGTCTGGGTGTATGCCTGCTCTCTGCGTCTGGGTGTATGCCTTCTCTCTGCGTCTGGCTGTATGCCTTCTCTCTGCGTCTGGCTGTATGCCTGCTCTCTGCGTCTGGGTGTATGCCTTCTCTCTGCGTCTGGGTGTATGCCTGCTCTCTGCGTCTGGGTGTATGCCTTCTCTCTGCGTCTGGGTGTATGCCTGCTCTCTGCGTCTGGCTGTATGCCTTCTCTCTGCGTCTGGCTGTATGCCTTCTCTCTGCGTCTGGCTGTATGCCTTCTCTCTGCGTCTGGGTGTATGCCTGCTCTCTGCGTCTGGGTGTATGCCTTCTCTCTGCGTCTGGGTGTATGCCTTCTCTCTGCGTCTGGCTGTATGCCTTCTCTCTGCAGCCTCGGTATCACAGAAGACTCCCTACGGCGATGTCTAGCGCCACAGCACAGCAACAGCAGCAGCGCTGCAGCCCTCCTTCACTTGCCCGGCAGCGCAGGGTTGCCTGCGGCTATGGAGAGCGAGGCGCAACAGCTGCACCTCGACGTTATCCGCAGCAAAGCACCACCACATGCGTCTTCAGTGCTGCTGTTCATGCGGGCCTGGTGAATCCGGCTAGGGATAGCTGCATCCTGCCCACCGACCAGCAGCAGCAGGAGCAGTTCTTGCGGGCAGACAGCAAGAGCTTTAAGGCGGCGCCTTCTTCCAGCAAAAGTTCGGCCCCTTGTGCTGCCAACTGCCGCAGCTGGTACCTCTGGTGAGTTGTTTTCGGCCCCACACGCCGCAGCAGCGCAGCGCCAGCAGCAGCAGCGGCACCGGGCACGAGCAGAATTGAGGGGTGTGTGGCTCTCCTGCGCGAAAACTGGGGACTGCTGTCTCCTCAGGCACGACCCCATTGGATCAGAAGCGAGCGTCGCCAGTCGAGGCAACGGCGGCAACAGCAAGGGACGCCTCCAGGAGGAGTATGAGAGGGGCCTCGTGCAGATCGGTGAGCCTCTTGCTGGCCGTTCTGGAGGCGCTCCGCGTGCTGTTCACGGAGCTGCGTCTGCTGCTCCTGACTGGCAGCTGCAAAAGCGGGAGCGCTGGCAACATGATGGCTTGTCGCTTCTTTGTGTGTGCCGGGGTGTCTCCGCGGTTTGTTTCAGGCCGAGCGGCCTCGATGAGGGGTTTGTTGCAGTTGTGGGGCCTCCTGTCGCACAGAGCTCTAGGGCCCCCCGTAAATGTAGCCGTCTGTGTGGGAGGCTGCTCCCCTCTGTGGGAGGATCCGGTGAATAGACGAGGCGGCCACTTCGCTGTTCGTAATATCGCGGGTCGGACTCAAGCCGTGGTGAGGCTCGTGCACTTTCCTTAGGCTGTGTGCTGTCTAGGAGCTGCCCTCAGGCTCCCAGTATTTTTGTTTCCGCTGTGGCTTAGCTGGTGCTGCCGCTGGGCGCGCATGCCGCTGTCTTGCGCGCCCACAAGGCTGCACGCAGCGCACGTAGAGTCCAACCTGCGTGTCATGGGCAGCGAAGGCGGTCGAAGGGCGGATAGAAATGACTGAGCAGAGGAAGGGCCGAGGGCGAGCGGCGGTGTAGCCGAGTCTCAGCAGGCGCAAGAACCCGCGTGGGTAAATGGGAGAAGGCGGGTTTGCGAAGGACAGAAACGGATCCGCGCGAAACTCGCACTCTTGTGACTGCGCTGTTTTTCCAGGAGTTGTTTAAACTCTTGCTGCGTAGCTTGGACCAGCAGCAGCCGCAGCGAGGAAGGCGCCCCGTGGGTGCTCTTCTTTCCACGCTTACTGGGGTTGTCCTCTGTCTCCGAACTAACGACAGAGGTCACAAAGTTGAGGTGAGTTCACCGCGGGCGCAAGAAACTGTGGTGAAAGTAGCTCGGGCAGGAGCGAACGCTGTTTTGGCAGGTTAAGGGCTGGGAGATCGTCTCGGGGAGTATGGCTGTAAGAGCTTCTTTTCGCGCGCCGATCGATTGCTGCCGTTGCGACAAGAACCTAATAAAGGCCGGAACTCGTGGCCGCTGCTGCTGCAAGCCGCATTGGAGATGTCGCATGCTGTTGGAGGTCGTTCTGCGTAGGTTTGGGTTGGCTCAACTAACCCCCACACGCTGCGACAGCAGGAGGCGCAACTACGAGAGCTCCTCAATTCAGGCACTTCAGTATCCCACCGCCTGGACATGGGGTTTCTCTCGCACGAGGTTTGCTTGTGCAAAAATCAAAGGAAGGTAGGCGAGTCTCAGATAGATGTCGGGGGAGACGAAATGCAGCTCCCCAGAACTTGTTAGGGCCCATGGAGGACCGAAAATGGAGGCAGAAAGGAGAGGAGAGCGATGTGCATTAGGAAGATATTTGCAATTCAGTCGCGAGAAAAGGGCGCTCGCGCTTAGGGCGTCGGAACCAGATTAGTCTGCACCTAAGAAAGCTGACCCTGGTCGACACCATGGTAAAGCTCACAGCTGCGTGCGCTAGGGAGCCTTTGGAGCCAAAGAGTAAGGCGGTTAGCCTTTCGAAGCCAACTCGACACTGCTGTGTGCTTGCGTATGTGCGTGCTGCCGCAGCTGCGTCTCAAACCTAGCCGAAGAGAGCCGGAAGCGCCTGTAGTATTGGCTGCGCAGGGGACCCTCTCACAGCAGCAGCAGGAAGAGCAGCAGCAGCCGATAAAACAGCAGGAGCAACAGACCAAGTGCCCCTCGCTAAACCGCCAACAACAGAAAGAGCAGCGTAATTTTGTTCTACCCCCTTTCTCGCATGATGGCACCCCAGAAGCAATGCCCTCTCGCTGTTGCTCGAAGGCAGACGCGGGAACCCGCGCCTCTCCGGATGGGCTGCCCTCCACGAGTGGGAGTGTCAGCACAGATACTGGGAGTTCACACTGCAGCAGCAGCAGGGAAGGCTTCTGCGACAAAACGAATGACACGGTAATAAACCTCTCTGACAACACAGGTCTCACCCACCCAAGTTACAAGAGCGTAATCCTGATGGGGAGCAGTAGTGGAGATCAGCTGCAGAGCTGTTCTGCTCGGGCACCTAGCGGTGCTTGTGAGCCTCTCACCTGCGCTGACGGCGCCAGCTCGGTAGCGAATCAGGTGGAAGAAGGGAGGAGAACTGAAGCTGAGAATACAAAGGATGGTCTGTCTCGATCCTGCCGGCAGCATGTGCGTCAGCAGCAGCATGTGCGTCAGCAACAGATTCGTTCTAGTAGCAACAGCACCACATCTCTGGCAGCGGCTCCAAGTGCTCAGGGTACTGCTGCTGTGGAGAACTCTGCCGTTCTACTTTTTCCACATAGTGCTCGAGAGGGTTTGTGTGTCTCGGACGGAGTAGTGGCCGCAGCCGCTGCCGGTGATGCTGCTGCTGCAGCAAGTGGACCGAAAGGTAATGCAGCTCAGGGGAAAAGGCTGGGGAGGCAGAAACAACAGAGGAGACCGTGCGAAATGGAACCGAGAACTGGGGGACTGTTCCCGGAGCAGCGACTGCTACAGCATCTTTATGCTTTTGACGCGCGGGAGTTACCCGATTATTTCTCGATGCAGCAGGCTGCCTATCAGGGCCGAGTCGCTATGTACGAAAGCTATGCTGCATGTGCCTCCGCCGCCATCACATCTGAATACGCCGCTGCTACAGTGCAGCAGCAGCAGCAAGGAGAATGCACAACGTGGGACTTCCCGCCCTTGAAATCCTCCGTCGGCACCCGCGTGCACGGCCAGAAGCAGCATCACAGGCAGTTTCAGCTGGACCAGCCGTGTGCGAGCGGGTACGAGACAAGGAGCAGCAGCAGCAGTACAACCTGCAGCACGAGCAGTACGATCTGCAGCACAAGCAGTACAACCTGCAGTAACAGCAGTGCGCCGGCGGTCGAGGGTACAGTAGCGCAGAAGCGTACCAAGCAGTTTGCATTTAACCCTAATGCTCCAGGCTTTGTCATGCCTACCCGACCTACTACGAGCATACCACTGGCTTCAGGAAAAAACACGGCTGCGGAGGCTAGGAGGGACTGCACTGCTGCGACGCCTGCTGAGCTGTCGGAGCCTCTGCTACAGCCAGAAGGCGTAGCTGTAGCAAGCAGCAGTCCTCTTGCCACACTACCCACTGGAGAGGACGGGGTCAGGCTGCCAGTTCCTGCTGCAGCTTCCGAGGAACCGGGGTCGGTTTCAGGTGCATCAGCGGCTGCTGTCGCCGCACAGTGTATGGGCAGCTTGTTCGACGCAGACTTTGTGGATCCTCGCGACCCCTCATCTTTGCTGCTAATCACGCTGATGCTGACCCCTGCCCTCGACGATGCCAGCCCCCTTCATGTTCCGTTGCTACCTCTCTCCCTTCTGGAAGGGGAAGGCTCCAGTGCTGCTGCGGAAAACCCAGAGGCGCAGTGCGTGGAAACGGACTCCCGACTCAGCCTGACTCTCGACTATGAAGAGCTCACGCAGACTCTCTCTCTTGACATTGTGCAGAACTAAGCAACGCACCGCCTCTTCTCCGCGAACCACCCCCCCTCCATCCACAGTCCCTGGCAGTCCACAAAAATTGCCAAGGGACCAATCGAGGGATGGCCTCTCAACGCCAGTCTGAACTCAGTAGATGGGAACGCATTGCTGCAATTGTGCAGCAGCAGCAAGCAGCGTTACTGTTGCTGCAACCAAGGGCGGCGATGCCCAACCAGTGCTCTCTTGAGGCCCCCTTCCCCGCCGATATTCTATCCCTTTTTTCAGTCCGTCCATTAAACGTATGCATACGCCAGAGGCTGGAGCCTCTCCCACACTGTTCTGCTGTTGCTCTCGGTCCAAGTGGCAGCAGCAACACCAGCGGTGCTTAGGACAGGTCGTGATAACGAAAGCCCATGTGGCGTCTTTCTGAAGGCCCTCCATAACTTCGTCTCCAGCAGTAGTGCTCCACTGCCTAAGCTGTCAGCAATAGGTCCCTCGAATGAGTGGGTGGGTTGGTAGCAGCTGCAGCGGGTAAGGGAGCTCCTAAGCTACTCATGGGATGTCAGGGGCAGCGATTTGCCTGCATGCGCGTAGCAGATGGCAGGCCCGAGCTTTCAGTGGGACGCACGTCCTAGAGCCGTGGCATGTGTCGTGGAAGAGCAGCCTTTCCCTACTCTACCGACTAAGCAGCAGCCAATGAACATAGTGAACAAGCAGCCTTTGTTGACTGGGGACGCTGGTCTCGCCTCCTGTTTATCAGTTCAGCAACTGCGATTGGATGTGGGGCTGCCCACTGCGGCCTTTCATGCTTTGTTGGCGGCATCGCCTCATTAGGTATCCACAATCTAGGGGGGTTTGGCCTCGAATGTGCTCGCTCGTCGGATTTTCACGTGGAAACAAATTTTTTGCCAGTATGTGTTTACGGTGCTTTTGTCATACTTAGTGCAGTGCCAGTTAGCCAGTGTGGGATTTAATTTCAGGGAAGCACTGCACGCATCGCCCCTAAGCCTCTCGTGTCCGCTTTGATGAAGTCGTCTTCCGTCATGGGGTGGCACAGTCGCGCGGTAAGAACTCGCGAGACTATGCGCCGTACCCTTGACTTCGTCGCGGCCCTGTTGCCCGCAGCCGTCACATGGGAGCTGGACGGGTGGCTATATAGCAGCGAAGCGTTGCACATCTTAGATCGACGTTACCACTACACGCATGATAAGCAGCTCCCACTTTCGGCACAGCAAAGATGCGCGAACACGGGGGCGCTTGTAGCGTTCGTGTAGCGTTAGCAGAGTGACACCGCAGCAGCAGCAGCAGGTGAGATGAGCCAGGCTAACGGCAATGAAAAAGCAGAAATTAAGGGACATGCACTGCGAGACAACGAAGGAGCAGCAACTGGAGGCCGCCAAACGCCCATAGTGTATAAAGGCGCATACCGGCATCGGCCCCGGGCGGTCCATAATCAACAAAAACACAAGAAGCAGGGAACTGAAAGTGCAGGCAAACAGTATTCGCATGACTCATTAAGAGCAGAGCAGCAGCAACAGCAGCTCTTGCTTTTGCTGCTACCCCAGCAACCAAGTAACCGTGCGTGGATGTCGTAGCACTTTGGCATCAACTGCCCCACTAAGCACTGCGAGAAGCGCCGCATGTTCAGTTAGAAGGCCCGCTCAAAGGCGTGGCTGCTGCTCGGCCTTTCAAGAGTTTTGCAATGTCAAGCGACTCCACACTGCATCAGAAGCACACGGACCGCAGCACAGAAAGCACGTGATACTCTGCTGCCTCTTGCTGCAAGGTACTATGACAACCTGCACGCCTTCAGTTGTTGTTAGGGTCTGTTTATAGAGCGATGCTTCGAAGCGTCTAGGGTAGATGCGTGTACATGTGGAAAAAGCGTGTGGAGTCGAAGAGGGCAGGAGGGGGCGGCGTATAGAGGAGCGTCATACAAGCCTCCAGGTTGCTGCTGAGAAGGGCACGCTCATGATACTTCAGAATCCCCAGAACCAGCTGTAAAACGCAAGCACAACTGGGAAGAATTTGGCCGTGGGGGCAGCAGGAGAAAAGTATGTCAGCAGAAGAAGCTGCGCTGTCGCACTCAGGCTTCACTTCACCAGTCCTCTAAGCTGCCCTGTACAGTGTGATCATGAGCGGCTTTCATCAACTGTGCTGCAGGTGCATCGCTGCGACGTGCCTGATAGAGCCTCAAAGTAAGGTTGTCCGTTTCCTGAAGGATACGTTCTGCCTCGTTGCAGCTCGGCAGGAGAATGCCGTCCCACACCCTTACTGCCACGTGCACTGGCAGGGCACAAAGGAAGAGGGAAGCTAATAGAGGCAGGAGCACGAGAGTAGGCCTTAAAGAAATGCATGCACAGTACGCGGAGAGTGCAGGCAGGGCCATGGCAAACAGCCTCTGGAAACAACTGACCTCCTCCCTCAAAGAGCTGCAACAAACACCAAGACTCACGGCTGAAACAGACGCTTGCAGAGCTTCACACGGAAAAATGCAGAGTTCGCTGACGAATCGAACAAAGCGGCGTCACGAGGGTCGAGGTACGCATGCACCAAAATTGAGAAGGTGATGTTGCCATCGGGATGCTTAGAGGGAGAAGGAGTATGACAAGCAAATGCGCGTGCGAGGGGCTGACACCAGGAAGAGACAGAGAGACAGACAGAGAGACAAAGAGAGAGGCCGGCGATAACGCAAAGGAGGGAAAGGGGGGATAGAAAGACACACATACACACATACACATACACACACACGCGCTGCAGCAAACAGGGCAAAGCAAACAACAGGCCGAAAAGAAGAAACTTATTGTCTTACCGGCGTGCGAAGGGCCTGAAGAGGAGAACCCCGGAAAAGGGAGGCAGTCTGACGAGCCTAACGAGGAAACTGAATGTCTGGTGCATTCACACACGCAAACCAGCATGGCTTGGGAAAGGGGGAGTGCGAGAGGCAATGCAACCGTCAAGCTCAGCGTCGGCAAAAAACTTAAAGCCTTGCCCTTCCCGCTCCCGCCGAGCCTTAAGCGGCGTGGCAGGCGTGCCGCCCTTTCTGAGACAATTAATTTGGTCCTTGTGCTGCTAAAAAGTAGTGCGACCCTTGCGCCTCGATGATTGTGGCTGCCTGCTGCGTGGTGAGGGGCAAGGGCTGCAGAAATGCGCGGCTTCGTTCTGCACTTAGGGCATCAGCAGCAAGGCAACATCACACGATAAGGGAATTCTAACCTGGTAGGCGTCCAAGTAATACAGCATGACAGTGGCGACTCTCGCGAGGCTATCAAGAGATCCGCACTGCAGCATCACCTCAGCCACACAACACAGACGGGGAGCTTCCTGATACAATCAAGGAGGCCTAACCTTCTGCAGCTCCCTTCCTATTATGCAGCTCCCTTCCTATTATGCAGCTCCCTTCCTATTATGCAGCTCCCTTCCTATTATGCAGCTCCCTTCCTATTATGCAGCTCCCTTCCTATTATGCAGCTCCCTTCCTATTATGCAGCCTTCTTGCGGCGACCCCAGGAGTTGCCTGGAATCTACGCGTTGCCACACAGTGCCCCAGGGGAGAATTCTCGAGGCGCAATCTCTGACAGTGCTGTGCAGCACGCACATCCGGAAGAAGGAGGTACAGAGACTCCATCACAGCCTGCAGTCCCGCGGCAATGCTGTTGTTGAGTGCGCCGCTGGACGCACTGTGGGAGCTACAGCCTGCGCTCGCCAGAAGAGCCGCTTGCTCGTTCTCCGCAGCGGCTGGTGCTCCTGGTGGACTGCACGCTGCAGCCACAGCTTCCTGGCAACAGCTGCAGTGCGGCAGCTTCGGAGCAGACTCAGGATGACGGGAAGGGCCGCAAGAGGCTGCAGCTCCTCCGGAGGCGGCAAAGGGGCTGCATCTGCAACTGGCGAAGCAGCAGCAAGGGCAGCTGTGCCTTGCAGCTGCTTTCAGGTGTCCACTGAGCGCGTTGTCGCAGGCACGCGGAGAATGTAGGGCCATCAGCTGCGCTTCGCTGCACTCAGGCAGCACAAAGGACCCGTACTGTTGCGGCAGCTGCTGCAGCTGCGTGTACACCAGAGGCAGTCTCCGCCTCAGCCGCCGAAGAGAGGCCTTGGCTCTGGGATGGCCTGCCGTGGCTGAGGCTGCGTCGATGATCTTGCGAATGGCAGATCGCTCTCCCGCCGCTTGAGGGGACAGGTTCGCTCCGAGACGTGGCGCTTCTTCCTCTGCTGGTGCGATCGCGGCTGGAGCTGCCGAGGGAAGCGCCCCCTGCGAGCAGCAGGGAGCAGCGCGAAGACGGGGGCGGTCTCGAGACTCGTTCGTGTCTTTGTGAGAGGGCGTGAAGCATGCGCAGTCTGCGGAAACGTGAGCTGGAGACTCGGGGGGAAGAAGAGAAGGCTGCTGCGACTGTTGCTCCGAGGCATCGCGACGCCGCAGCACAGTGCATCCTCTGCAGTGTTCCTCCCGTGGCTGCTGCTCAGACCGCGTGTCAGGAGGCAAAGCCTTCAGAGCTGCGACGGGAGTGCCTCGCGGAAGCTCCACAGCTTCTGGGACTGAGGCGTCCAGGCTAAGGAGGGTAGCAGGCGCAGTGGCTGCTGCCAGGTGCGCTGAGAGTCGGCTGCTCTCTCGCGTGCTGTCGGCGGCTCCCAGTTTGCCGAGCGTGTGCTGCTGGCTTGGACAGCACGGGAGGCCTTTGCAGTCTTCGGGCAGACTGCTGCCCTTTGCAGGCGACGATCCGGAGGTGGAGTTTCTGTTGCCTCTGCGTTCTCCGGAAGGGCTGCACGGCGCGATCGTTCCCGCGAGCAGCCTGTCCGCGTTGTTTCTAGAGGCGCTGCTCTCGAGCTCGCTGCCCCCACGCTGAGGCATCGTTGCCGCGTGCTGGGGGCAGGTCGGTGCGTGGAAGGAAGCCGTGGAGCCTGCCGCGACTGCCAGCCCCGATAGATGCTGCTCTTCGGCAGGGACTGTTGCCTCAGGGTGTCGCAGTGGGGAGCGGGCTGCTGCTGGCTCTTCAGTTGCCAGACGCGCTGCGGCTTGAAGGAGCAAGAAGTCCTCTCGGCTGAAGATGCAGTACGGTTCCTCTAGAGAAGCGTCGGTGGGCTCTGCGCCCTGCGCACACCTGCAGCTGCGCAGGTGGTGCTCTGGAGTGCTCGTGCTGCTGGTGGAATTCGAATGGGTGCTCCCTGCGCAGGTTCCGCAGACTCTGCCCGTTTTCTCTCCAAAGTCGAAAGTCGAAGCGGCCGAGCTGCAGTGAGAGCTGCTCCGGCAAGCTAGAAGGAGACAGTGTGGCCACAGGAAGGGCCGGAGGCAAGGAGGCAGCCCCTCCGAGAACAAGACAGCCTGTAGAGAAGCGAACACGAGCGCGATCGCGAGAATGGTTACTCTGCATGCGTCTGCCTGCATCTCCTATGCAATGTCTTGCTACACACTGTCTGCGATTTTTTCGTTCTGCATTGCTGCCAGTGTGTGTCCCTACACCCCTCCTTTCTCTCCCCGCGCTGTATCTCGCAGCTTGTGCAGTTTCCGACACGGTTGTTCCTGCTAAAACGAGAGCTCACCAGCGAACTATTTCGGGAAAAACGACTGCCGCATCCAATTAGCCACAGGCTCTGAGAGCAGCGCACCGAAAGCCGAGCTAGCCCAGCCACAAGGCGCTGTCGAAAAGTGCCTGGTAAACGCCCTGGAGATGCTTTTCTCATGCCCAAAATCGGTATCAGCTGAGTAGTATCCTCCTCCTGCTGCTGCTGCTTCTGCTGCTGCTGCTTCTGCTGCTGCTGCTTCTGCTGCAGGCTCAAACCTAAAGAGGCCGCACCGAGTGGCCCTTGAAAAGCGTGCAGAATGAGAGCTTCTCCTGCGCTGTGTCTGTTTGCGTCGTCTCCTGCTCCCAATGTCGCATTTGCCCCTTCTGGCTGCGCAGGTGATTGTGCAGCCGAGCCTAGTAGGTCCCCTTGCCGGAGGTGCTGCACCTCCAAGCGCCTCGAGCAGTTTCTTCTCAAGACTCTCGCTGCATCCTCCTTCCACTCGGCCTTCGCCAGTCCCGGGCACTGCTGCAGCAGCAGCGCCAGGCCAGACGCCTGCACAGAGACACCGCAAGCCGCATTTGCAGACGCGGAGGGAGCTACAGCAAGGACCACCATGCGGCCGAAGAAGGCAAGAATCAGCGTCAGCACAAAAACGCAAGCGAAGTGGAGGAAGGATCGAAGAGACTGCAAGAGCAAAGGGCAGCGCACGCGCAGCAGGTGCAACAAGGAGGGAGACACAGACAGAGAGACAGAGGGGAGAGAGACAGAGGGGAGAGAGACAGAGAGAGAGAGACAGAGAGACAGAGAGAGAGAGAGAGACAGAGGGGAGAGAGAAGGAGAGAAAGAGAGAGAGAGACAGAGAGACAGAGACAGAGGGGAGAGAGACAGAGAGAGAGACAGAGGGGAGAGAGACAGAGAGAGAGAGACAGAGGGAGAGAGACAGAGAGAGAGAGACAGAAGGAGAGAGAGAGAGACAGAGAGAGAGAGGGAGAGAGAGAGAGACAGACAGACAGAGGGGAGAGAGACAGACAGACAGACACAGAGAGAGACAGAGAGAGAGAGAAAGAGAGAGAGAAAGAGAGAGAGAGAGAGACAGAGAGAGAGAGACAGAGGGAGAGAGACAGAGAGAGAGAGACAGAAGGAGAGAGAGAGAGACAGAGAGAGAGAGACAGAGAGAGAGAGACAGACAGACAGAGGGGAGAGAGACAGACAGACAGACACAGAGAGAGACAGAGAGAGACAGAGAGAGAGAGAGAAAGAGAGAGAGAGAGAGAGACAGACAGACAGACACAGAGAGAGAGACAGAGAGAGAGACAGAGAGAGAGAGAGAGAGAGAGAGAGAGAGAGAGAGAGAGAGAGAGAGAGAGAGAGAGAGAGAGAGAGAGAGAGAGAGAGAGAGAGAGAGAGAGAGAGAGAGAGAGAGAGAGAGA